AACTCAATATTTTAGAAATGTTTGACAACGAGAGATTCAAAAATACGGTATTCAAGTGACACTTCATTTGGAGATTTCCACTGAAATGTTTACAAAACCGCAACACATATTTGGCCATAAACTTTTTCTTAAGGGCAAAACACATGCACTACAGAAAAATCCTTAAGCCGCTCACAATGGATTTGAATCGGTGGAGATTAAATCCAATTGTAAAAACGTTCTCAGGAAGTTTATTCCACATAAATATAGTTCTCCAAATGGAAGAGTTCTTAAACAGTGAAGTTAGAGGTGTACTGAGTTGAACCTCAAAACAATGAGCAGCCACAATCCGTCGCGTATTTCTGATATATACATTTCTTGGTGGAGTCAAATGTGCCAAATCACTTGAGCACTTCTCGAAAAAGTATCTATAGTAGAGTCAAATCTTCAACCTTTGTTCGATATTCCAGACTATCAAGGTTGCAAGTGATGTTCGTGTCTCCAATTAGGCGGATGGCTCTTTTTTGGATGGAATCCAGCAGCTTCAGGAGCTCCATACATGAGAACAATACTCCAAAGGAGGTCTGATCTGAGATTTATGAAGCATTGTAAAGTTGCTGTGGTGTTTACAGTTTTCTGGTTCGGAACAGTGTTCCAAGCTTTCGAGAAGCAGCCTTTGCAATTCCAGCGATATGATTGTGCCAAGACATATTGTTGTCCATTTTAACCCCCAACAAACTCATCGAAGCAGAAAGCGGAATTGTCTGACCTGACATTATTATATCCAGTTTATCTTCTTGGAGAAAACCGATGCCTGGGTTTTTGTGGCACTTAATTGAACCTGGTTTCTTTCACCCCAACTCGAAATCACTTCTAGATCCTCATTAAGATATGCAATCTCCTGCTGCCGGTGAAGATGTGCCTCCGTAGCCGATGTCCTGGAATACAACTGGAACAACGAGATAAGTGTGTTGTTGTCAGCAAAGCAATATATTGGATTCTTGATTTTTTTCCAATAAGTTGTTGATATACGATAAAGAGAAGATTGAAGACAATATAGATCCCTGGGGAACACCAGCGTTGAGATATCCGTCGACGTTCACTTGCAGAAAACGTTCTTTCAGGAAGCTGAAGTGCCATACACGAAAATGTTCATGTTTCTCGATTGCGTTATTCCAAATATGGGTGACATAAAATAGAAGGTCACCTGTTGATCTTTGTTTCCGAAAGCCATATTGATGAGCGCTCAAGATGTTGAAGCCTTTCAAATATTTGAGGATATGGTGGTTTACGACTTTCTCCATGATTTGTGATATCACTAATTGCAAAGCGACTGGTCTATAGTTATTTGGAAGATTTTTCTTGTCCTTTTTGGGAATAGGCTGAACGAGAGCAATCTTCCAACAAGAAGGAAAAAATCCTTTCTTGTAAGACAGGTTAAAAAGTCTACAAAATACTGGTGTGCACCTTTTAAGTAGGATGACGGGCACTTCATCAGGGCCAGACGCCTTGTTGATATTGAGCTGTTTCTAAATTCGCCTGTCCGGCATTGTGGATTCTAGTGTGTGAATAGTGGATGGTGCCTTTCCCAGAAAATCGACTGTGGAGCTTTCTCAAGCGTGTTTATACTGCAGTATTAACACGCCTGAGGAAGTTATTGCATACCGAAACATGTGTTGCGATTGATTGAACTGTTCGTAGGCTAACACACAGATGACGCTAGTTGTATTAGATCCATAATATTTTCAGTTAGCCCTAACCTTCAAAAGACACGTGTACAAATTTTACAGCTGTTGGCTTATTAGTTTGTGGGATAGAACATTTTGAGTGAAGCAACTGTTGTTAGTTTGAAGAAAATGGATAAAAAGGAATTTCGTGTGTTATTCGTTGAGAAGTGGTTTCCTAAATTTAAACGAGGGGAAACGAGGACCGACAACGATACAAGCAGTGGACGCCCAAAAGAGGCTGTTGCCGATGAAATCATCAAAAAAGTCCACAAAATAATTTTGGTTGACTGAAAAGTGAAGTTGATCGAGATAGCTGAGACTCTAAAGATATCAAAAGACGTGTTGGTATCATGCATGACTATTTGGGAATGCGAGAGCTCTGTTCAAAGTGGGTGCCGCGCAAGCTCACAATCGACCAAAAACAACAGCGAATTGATGATCCTGAGCAATTATTGAAGCTGTTTCAGCCAAAAGAACCTAATTTATGCGTCGATATGTGACAATGGATGATACATGGCTCCATCATTTCACACCAGAATCAAAACGATGGTTATCTGAGTGGACTGCACGTGGTGAACCGACTCCAAAGCGTGCAAAGACGCAACAGCCATCAGCTGGCAAGGTTATGGTTCAGTATTTTGGGAGGCGCATGGTATAATATTCATCTTGGAAAGGAAAAAACCATCAACAGCGACTACTGCATAGCGTTATTTGAAAAGAAAAAGTGCTATTTCATCAAGACAATACACCGTGTTTCAAACACATTTTTAATATATGCACACAAAAATTTCAAAGAAGTCATTCTTTTTTTCAAAAATAACGGTTTATAACACAAGAATTCAGCCACACTTTGAATTACTGCTACACAAGAATTCAGCCACAGTTTGATTACTGCTCATCATTATTATTTTTTCTTGACCTTAATGAGCTAAATCAACTCCAAAAGTTGCAAAACCGTGGGATGAGAATCGTTTTGATTGTTTGTTGATATGTTTAATACATTGAAATGGTTTCCTGTCTCACAAAGAATCTACTATCTTTCTATTATTTTGTTTACAAGATACTGAATAATTGGCACCAACTTATTTCCAAAACTGATTGATTCTCCATAAAGATGTACATACCCACTTCACCAGAAACCGGGATAATTTATACATCCCTAGAACAAATCGTAAAAGCACAATGAAATCTTTGTTTTTCAAAGGATTCCATGAATTTAACCAGTTGCCTGCTTCAGTGAAAAATAGTTCCTTCGTAAGTGTTTCATAATTAATCAGTGAATTTTTATTGTTGTCATTCATCGGGAAACTACTCTTGGTTTGTTCTTAGTTTGTTGTTAAGATTTGTAATCTTGGGTAAACATATTTGATGCACTTTCTTTTTTTTATTACTCTTAGTAACATATAACATTTCATACAACAAATGTAGGTTGTCTCCAGAGGCTCCAATAAATTCAAAACATCGCCAGAACACTTCGTGACATGACATTCGTCAAACTTAAACCAGTCCGTTTCGTCTTTGGCCAAGGCGTAATAATGACAAGATTCAATTACAGAGCCACAATGAACAATGACTGCATGAAGATTATAATAGTGGTCTGTTAGATTGAAGTTTTCATCTATTTCGAACCTTCCTAAGAGTTTGGTGCATCCATCAGAGGTTGAGTCATGTTTGAAGATTGTCAGTGTCATTATTAGATTGACTGGTGCCCCAGCTATACTTGTTTTCTTATAATAGTCAGTTAGTTTGGCGCATGTTTGGCAATACAGTTGATCATCACCCGTTTAAAGTTCCATTTTTAGATGATTCGACAATAAGCTTTGCACGGACTGGTTATTAGCCATATCAGGAAACGCTAGTTGAAGTTCCAGAAAATCACATACGTTTTTGCTACCTCTTGAACAGTTGCTACAAAGTAAACAAGTGAGGATTTTTCCAGCAAATGATCTGTACGGAATGACTGTATGGAATCATTCACTACAGAGCGGTCAAAAGTATTGATTCTGCTATTTGTTTGCTCACGAAAAGTATTCAACAAGAACCCCAAGAATTCGGAGAAATCGTTTGGTGGAAAAGATGATATATTATTTCGAAACTGCAACTGCATGAACAATTATTTGAGTTTGGGTCGTTCTCGTTCGTGAAAACCTCGTTCTTGAAATTCTTCGTCATGAACATGTAGCAAGTGTTTCCTAAATCATCTAATTCAATTTTCTCCTCAAGATTTTCAGGACAACCGTCTACTGCTTCGTAAGGAAGAACATGTTTCACAGAATCTATATAAGAACCATTTCTCAAGCTGCAATCGATCCTTCCAAGTGATGAAGGGTTTCGTAGAGGGATCGATTCGGCTCTTGCTTCTGAAGCTCTTTCACTGAAAGGTAACCGGAACCACGAGGACTGCAGCTCATATTTGGGGGCAAAATGACCTAAGTCCATTGACCTCACTGTAAAAGAAGGTGGATCAATCACTTGTGAATAAACCTTGATAGGAGACTGATGAATATACAAATATCTTGGCTTGTTTCGATGCAATTATTTTCAGTTTTGCAATTTTAACTTAACAAATCATTGGTCGATTCATGTAGGAATATGTATACGTGATGCACGTTTCCGCGCACATAAATCTGTTTGTTTTGTGAATATACTCACTTTTAATTACTTTGGAAACATCAGTAATATATAAAAATTGTACTATATATGTATTTTATTTATGCCTGAATTGTTTTCAAGTGAATTTGTATATCAATATTCCTTTTTCAAAATAAAGATATATCTATAATCGATGAAACCGATAGAAAAATCGCTTGAATTGGGATTCGAATTGTTTTCGCATCCATCGTATTCTCCAGATCTGACCCCCAGTGATTTTTCTTGTTTTCAGACTTCAAAAAAATGCTCGCTGGGAATAAATTTAGCGCTGATGAAAAGGTAATCTTCAAAATTGAGGCCTATTTTGAGGAAAATCTAATTTTATAGAAAAAAAAGTTTTTCTCTGTTACCCTTCTAACTTTTCAGCCCATACATGAATTTTCATCAAGTGTCAGAATTTTATCACGAAACTTCTTCCATTAATTTTAATATTCACAAAATAAATGTCTGGATCTTGTTCCCAAAATTGGAATCTCCCACCAAACTTAAATTCAACTGGGATAATTTTCATCATTGGAAATCTGAACCTATACAAACACAATTTTGTTCACATTCCAAAGCCAAGGCGACTCGGTATCTCCGTCGTACCAATAAACAAGAATTTCTTTGAAATTAATTCAAATTATTCATAGCTGTTATTTAGCTGCGAGTTTATAAAAGGTGGAGCCTGCTCGGTTTCTTCCATTTGATTCTAGAAATTTCCAAGAATTGTGTTTTGTGAGCATGGTAAGTTCTAAGATATTCTATTCTATTTTATTATATTGCAATTCCTCTCGCCATTTTATCTGTTTGTACAGAGCGAAAAAACGTTTTTTCTCTCGCGGGGAAGGTTGGAATATTTACGTGAGGATACAAAAAAGCGTCGCGACGGGGCTTCGAAAACTCTGGTCAGACTTTTCAGAATAAAGCTGCATTGCATCGTTTTAAATTTGGCTGATGCAATATGTTCGCATGTGTTGCATCAGATTCTTATCCATCCATATGTTTTTTGAAATGAAAGTCCCTGCACAAATTCAACTAATTGCTAACAATCATTTGTCAAAAGAAATTTGTGATGCTGGAAGATCAAGAACAATTTTTCGAGATAAATCTTCAAATATTTCACTCAATAACAAGAAACTTCAAAAAAGTGATTCAGCGTATACGTAACTCGAAAATCATCAACGTCTGCGTTTGTCAATTAATCTACCTATGAAAAGTTTCCATCAGAAACTACCATCATAATTAACCAGTTCCCTGTGAATACTTTAGATTTTTTATATGAATAGTTCACCGTCAGGGGGATTTTTCCAAAGTTGTTCTCAAAGATCTTCCTTTCCTCCAGTATTGAATTCATATTTAACAGTTCTTACATGAATAATAGGATGATTTTAGAAAATTGTCAATCATTATCAAAGGACCTCATGGACTATACCTTTTGGTAGATCATTATGCTGATGGTAAATATTACAATTCCAAAACTAGTTTGTTGTTTTGATCATTAAAACAACGAATCAAAATAATCAACTTTCATTTTCATTATTTTTTAACAATACATATTTTATCAAGAAGAATTCATGAAATTTCATATTTTATCAAGAAGGTATTCATGAAATTTTATTCATAATGAAAAACTAACATAATCTTGGATACCTTCCTTGTATTTTAGAATTCACAGCAGAATATCTATTCCAAAAATGGAAAAATGATGTTTTATTCAAAAAATGCACAAACATGTTTTGTTCAGTTTTTAACGATATATTAAACCTTTAAACCATCTTTATAATTCAATACATGTTTTTCAACCGACTAAGAAAATTCAAGTCAATTAGAATTCCAATCCTTCCTTCACTTTCCGAATGAGTAATATTTTTGGGAAAAAAACTGTATCGGCTTTTACTTCTCCGTCTATATACAAAAAATTGTTGTCGAAAACTTCATAAATGATATCTGGTTCAATTTCATAAAGAATAATTGTATCTGAAAGCAATTTCTATACATGATCTTCACTTCTTTGTGAAGAGTTTATTTCAAACGTCATTGCTTTCTTCTTTTCTTCGGAATTATTCCACAATTTGGAGATGGAGAATTGGAAGCCAAAAAATCCTTTCAAAAAATACACCCCTTTCAGTTTCATAATATTCATAATATTTCAATTCATAATATTTTCAATTTTGGAGCTTACTCTTCATTTTCCATTCAAAAATTCTTCAGTAGTAAAGAAAAGACATCACTTCAGAAAAATTTTCTGAAAACCTCCTGAGTAAGAGCAGTGTCCTGAGTTAGGGCACTTGACTGTTTCCAAATTCATAGGGTTTTTGTGTGTATGCCAAACTTGTGAATTCGTCAATATCGTCACAAAATTTCTTTGGTATTGGTAACTACGTGTAATTTTGAATTCAGGCTATTTCAGGTGGTTTTTCTGCTTGCAATCAATCACCAATACTGGATTCTGACTCAAATTGAGGGCGAGTATTTCATTTATTTCACATGAGAGAGGAATTTGGGTAGTTCGTTCTCCACATTTTTAAATCTTTCCTTGGAATAATTAGATATTAGGTCGATTTTTGAAGACTTCACCTAGGCTTCCTACCATTCCTTTGTTAGTCTCTCTTGAAACTTATTATTTGACTTGACTCCACATTGAAATATTTTGAGGTTGGAGAAGAAAAACATAAATTTCTCACGAGATTTATCACAATTTCGTCGTTAACGATGAAAACGAATTCAAACCAGAAATTTGTTAGAAAGTTACAATAAAATATCTAGTTTGCATTTCCACAATATTGAAATAAGTTTCAAATGAATATCTGAAAATAAACGTTAATTTCACAAAATTGAAAGAAATTTTCGAAGTTTCATCATTTTGTGAAAACAAATCTCAATCAGGACTTCATTCAAAATTTCAACTGAGTATTGATTCCACAATAAATGTGCAATATTTTGTATGAGTTTTAAATTATTATCTGAAAATAGTCCTTTCGTTCACAAAATTGAAAAAAAAAATTAAAATTTCAGTATTTTCTGGAAAAAAAAGGTTCTGGCTTTCTATTTCTCTATTTTTATACATAAAATGTGGGAACATATTTCTTTCCAAAAACTAACCTTCCTTAAAAATATACCTCTTTCAATGTTGTGGAGGGTCTTTGTAAATTTTGAGAGAAATAAAAATTTCAGTTTCTCAAAATATAATGAAATTTCATCTCTTTCCATGAAAACAAATCCAAAATAGTCATATAATTCACAAATCTAAAAGATATTTTCAAATTTTCAACAGAATATTCTTTCCAAATATCTCTATCAATTTTTCAACGAATTTGAAATGAACATTGAAGAAGATTATCAAATTTCATAATTTTGTGAAGAATTTGTGTTTTAAACCTATTTGCTCAAAATATGATGACAATTCGTTTTTTTTCCATAAAAACAAATTCGAATCGGAAATTCATTCAAAAACTTATCAACAATATCTAGGAATAAATAATCACTTATTTCACAAAAATGAAAAAAAATTCAAATATTTCGTTGGGGATTTGTGTGAATTAGGTAAGAATATGAAATTCTCCTGTATCTCAAAATATGAAAAATTTTCATCGCTATCGGTGAAAACAAATCCGGATCAAGCTATTTTTAAAATTCATTCGAAGGAAATTTAGGCAATTTCGACCTTTCCTGTGTGAAAAACTTGTGAAAATTATGTGAGAAATTCAAAAATATCCCTCTTGTTGCTCAAATATCATCTTGAAATATTCAACAATTGGGATATTGAGTTGGCGGCTGCTGTTGCGACTTTACAAAAGTTAATGATATTCAGCAACTGGTTCCTAGAAAAATTATAAACTTGTTTAGAAGTAATCCTTCTACAGTAGATTTGGGTCTAACCTCATAATGAAAGTTTCAAAAGCATCCTCGTATAGGATGTTTCTTTTAGGTCTACGTATATTGGGATTGTATTTCTTCATAATATTATTTGTTGCCTGTCAATATTGACATTCGTCCAAATGAAGAAACGACATTCTTCTCCATATCATAAACACTTTCATCTCAAAACTTGTTTCTTTTTCATTCCCATGGCAGTAGTTTTTTTTAAATCGTGAAACTATTTTTGCAACACTCATGCAATTGTATTTTGGACTACGGCCCTCCAGCACGGATTTTATTTTTTTTGATAATCATATTTTCAATTTTTATTATTTTTAATACAGTTCCAAATATTGAAAAACATAATCAAAACTGAAAATACGACATGTTCATGAAGAAGTAAATTTGAGCTGAACATATCAACTTTTGTTTTAAACTAAATTTATTATTTTTGTCAAATAGAAACGGTTTTGAAAATTCAAAAATGCCAATTCCACAGGCTAATCCTATGGAACTGTGTCAAACAAAAAAATATTTCAATGATTTTCTATATAATTTTTTGAAAAATTGCACGCATTCCTTCGCCAAAATTTGCAATAACAAACTTTTTAATTGTTCCCGAGCAGATCTTCCACCATTTTTGTCAACTTCACTGAAACATTTTCATTTTTTTCTTTTATATTTTTCAGACCAGTTATTCTGACAAAGGATCTAAGGTAAATGCATATGACAAAATCAATACACAAAACTATAATACTTTTTTTTCTAGCCCACCAACGGTAGATTTCTGTATTTTGACCACCTTACTTTTTACGTAGGCAACGCCAAACAGGTAAGAATGATAAAGGTGATAAATTTCTAAAATCTGAATTTGAAAATAAATTTCAGGCGGCTTCTTACTATATCACACGTCTAGGATTCGAGCCTGTAGCATACAAAGGACTCGAAACCGGAAGTAGGGAGTATGTACACTATGCGGTTCGTCAAAATCAGGTAAAGTAATGATTTTATAATTTTTTTAGTTTTCCTAGATCACAACATAGCCTTTCCTACCTTTTATCTTGGTATTTTCTTTGTTACGAATGTGTGAACACGTTCTTTATTATTTTTTCTGATAAGTATGTGAAATGATCTACTGAAATAACTTTTCCCTCACCGGAACAAAAATACGCGCGTTACGCTTATCAAGTTGACGTCATCGGGAGATGTAAGACTGATTCTTATGGCTACATTTTCATGCATCTATATAAAAAAAGTCATTAAATTCATTTCCAGTATTTTATTATTGTTTCTTGTTATGTGTTTTCTGTTTGATGCATAACCTTATTGTAATACCTTAAGATCAAGCCGTGAATTCAATCACGATACTTGTTTGTTACTCTTCAACTCCATTGTTCGTTCTAAGCTGGAATATGGTTGTATCATTTGGAATCCAAAGGCCTTTTCATATTCTGATACTATAGAAAAAGTCCAGAAACGATTATTAAGAATACTCTTCTTCAGAAAACACAATGTCTGGCCTTTATTTATATCGTATTCCAGCCAATTACAAGAATTCAATATGCAACCATTGGAAGACCACCGTGAGTCCTTGGAAGTGATTTTTGTTTTCAACATTCTTATGAAACTGAAAATATCTGAAATTTTCTGTACTATTGATTTTATTGTACCTGGCGTAAGACTGAGAAGAAGAGACAATCTATTTCGTGTCACAAACAATTTGTCTCCTCTTCAACAATGTCTCGAAACCGTTAACAAAATGGTGGGGAACTGTGAACTAGATATATTCAGTATTACAGAGGGACAACTCCTTCGAAAGCTCAAATGTGTCTGAATTTTTTCAGGTTTATTTGATTATCTATTGTTTTAACTGTATCAATGGTACTCAATGAATACTATGTGCAAGAACAAGGCAATCGTGTACGGCTAGGCTATTAGGCGGCATACAAAGGCTGGCGTGCCTAGGTGTCGCGGGAGTCATGAGAACGACTCCAACTGCAGCACTTGATGTCCTACTCTGACTTCCACCATTGCATATTTATATACAAAGAGAAACTCGACTGGTGACACACAGATTAATGCAGGGACAAACCCCAATCGGCCAGTCACATGGTGCAGAATACTTGAAATTGTACAATGAACTGAAGACAGATCCACAGGAATGCCTGTGGATTACACAGTAGGTACAACTTTTAAAAAGTTTTCAAAATCATCATACCAAGTAGAGACGACTGGCAAAACGGCCCTCCGGTAAAAACAGAAGAAACTTGGTATACAGATCGCTCAAAGAATCAAGAAGTACTGAGAGTCGGTATATACGGAGGCAGAACAAAGGCGAGAATCGCACTCAACCTTCTTAAGACTGGTAAAAAGCTGTCTGAGCGCAGTCAAGGAGATAAGTACCCAAAATAGGGTCACTCTAGCTTGGAGACCCAGACATGAGGGTCACACGGGCAATGAGGCCGTCATGTACCGGTCAATTTCAAGCATTCCTCACTTATACTGAATATGTGAAAGTGAAACATGTTCCTTGTATCGCGCTGTCGCAGTCCACGTAGTTTGACCAACATATTCTTTATCGTTTTTACAGCTCGTAGAGAAAAATTGGCGAAAAATCGTTTAACGACATCATATAGTTAATAATAACCTGAAAAGAGGCGAAATATTAAAATCTTGAAAAAAATTAATAGCATCAAAGTATAGAGTACGGAATTCTCAATCGATTAGGCTGCCGGTCCGTAGCCGGGCGGTTTGACGTGGGTGCTTTGTTCGCTCAGTCAATCGGCCGATGTGTGAGTCGATGGTTCAAGCACCAGGCTGAATGCTCGATTTTCACTTGCTATCGTCCAACCCGTGTTAGGAATCACACATTAAAAGGTAAGACTTCGTTAGTCCTCGCACAAGTTTCGACTTCTGAGGGTTGTCGTTCGTAGGGGTGTGATAGCTGGTTAACGGAAAAACATATTTTAAACATATTTTTAAAACATATTCACAACGCCACAGTAAAATAACTATTTATTGAGATATGGAGCTGCAAAAACACATGTCATTAAAACGGACAAAACTTTTGAAACAATCTAATAGAAATATATGTCCTTTTCCACGTAGTAAATCAATGATGGAATAAGTCTTGAATTTGAATCGTTAAATTACAGATTGTCTTTGTCTTTGTTTCCCCTTACAACCCGGAAGAGAAGGATCTGAACTCGCACCTTATGAAGCATGGAGATGGTGTCAAAGATATAGCATTTGCTGTGGATAACTTGGAAGGAATTGTTACAGTAAGTGTCAAAACATTTCACCCAGTATAATAATAATTATTAGACTGTATTTATGTAATAAATCCGATCCAACGCCCTTCGCGGTATTAGCCAGGGAAGTAGTTGTTTTGTTATAGGTGTCAGTCCATTAACCTACAGTGTAGATGAGTTGAGACTGGCCTGGACGAAGTGTTCTTTTATATAATTTAATTTGTCGTCTTTCAAGAATACCCATTTTTGTTTAATTGAAATGGTATATTTTCAGGAAAGATCAATTTTTGAGAAAGACAGGTTTCGGCTTTCTACTACTCCATCTGTGGGAATCTTCCGAAGAAAGGAAGGAAGCAATCTATTTCAAAAATCAACTCTATATAAAGAAGTAACTTTCAGACACAAACTGGAAGAAAAAACGCTCCCCAAACAGCTATTTTCATAAAAACATTGAATTTTACGAAAGAAAAATACTTTTGAAACCAATACTTTTATATGAACGCTGAATTATACAAAAAACACTTTTCTCTATTCCGTTTGTATTCCAAACTTTCGTAATGGAATCGAATCAGATATCATTCACAGGATTCCTACACAATTTAATTGAGGAAAGAAGTGAAAATTCACTTACATAGAACACTGTCATCCTCACTGGTAGACATCCAGATGTTTCGCCGTAAAACACTTGCCTTATTGGCTCTTCAGAACGAATTGAGTGTTTTTTTATGTTATCCGTATTTGTTTCGAAAGTATTTTTTTTCATGTCATTCAATGTTCAGGTATATGAAAATAGCTGTAATGAGAGGGTTTTTTCTTCCAGTTTGTGTCTGGAAATTACTACATAATCTACATATCTTTGTATAGAGTTGATTTTTTTTAAACTGATGCTTCCTTACTTTCTTTGAAAGATCCCCAAAATTTTTTGTATAATGATGGAGAAATAGAAAGCTGAAACGTTTCTTTCTTGGATATCCAAATATTTCTTAACATTCTCTCCATGAGTGATTACTTCTTTACGACAGATACAACGTTATTTAATGAAATTTCAGATTGATGAAGTAGAATTTGAACTAGAGAGATATTGATGCAAAATTCAAAAATTTCCATATGTTGCAATTAATTATGGAAAATAAAATACAAGACATTAAAATCATAACCAATTTCATTATTATTAATAATGATCAAAAAGTTTATACTGAAAAAATGAAATATAAGAAATGAAAAATAAATGTTTTTAGGATTATATTTGACAATTTTCTACAGTGCATTTCTTTAATGGTCCCCCCCTTTTATTTTTTAAACGGGTAAACTCAAAAAATTGAAATTTGGGGTAATGAAATTAATTCATGAATACCTTATTTTGAAGTGAAATTAACAGATGAAACTTTCAAGATGGCGACTGGGCGCCATCTGGGAAAAAAATTAGATAGAAAGGGGAGTCTTGTGATACATCATTTTGAAGTTCCTGACGAATACTTCACAACCCTAGAATAAGTCGTCAAAGTGAAAATGGCGGAACATTTAATATTTTCCTAAAGACAAACACATTAATATCGATATTTCTAGAATTTTTCCTTTTTATCTGCCATATGGCAAATTCCAACAACCCGATAAGTTATTTTTTGTTTATAAAAACGACAAAAAATGTCAGTACGACAATGAACACCATTTTTCAGTTAGAATATTCTCATTTAGTTTTCGGTTTTACTAGTAAAAAGGCACCACGCCAACAATCTCTAAAATAGTCAATTCTTGTCCATTGGAAGAAAAAATTGAAGCGATTTTCATTCACGATGCGACGCGTAACTGTCACGGGACCTTAAGGATTTCCAATAAACGTTTTCCTAATCGTCCTATCTGTAAAAAATATTTGAGGAAACGTGTATCCAAATTCATAACTACCGGTAGTGTACATAACAAAAAGCCCCCGGGTCATCCGTCCATTCCGGAAGAACAGCAAGTGCAATTGGTGAGATGGTAGTGAATCCTGAACAGTCTACTTATTTCGTCGCGAATGTTTGTGAGGTGTCTCCTTCCACTGTGTGGAGACTTTTGAAGAGGAATAGGTATCATCCATACAAAATTAAATAGGTACAACAATTAACTGAAGATGACACTGATCGAAGAACAGTATTCTGCGAAATAATGACGAAAACCATTGCAAGGCATCCTACCTATCTCCACAATATTTGTTTTAGTGACGAATATACATTTTTTTTAATGGCAATGTTCACAGACAAAATTGCCGTTATTGGGGTGACACCAACCCTCACGTTTTCCGGGAAACACATACCCAATATCCAGATAAAATTAACGTTTGGGCAGGAATATTGGGAAAACACATTTTAGGACCTCTATTTAATGATCAAAATTAAACAGAGGAACTGTATTTGAATATGCTGGAAACTGCTGTTGACCATCTCATCACTGAAATCGTCCTAATGAATTCGATATGGATATTGTATACCAACAAGATGGAGCACCACCACATTACTCCAGACAAGTAAGAAACTATTTGGATAGTAATTTTTCTCGGTCGTTGGATTGGCTGTCAATGTCCTACAGAATGGCCAACCCGCTCGCCAGATTTGACACCTTTGGACCTATTTTTATGAGGCTATTTGAAGCAAAAAGTGTACGAAACTGAACCTGCTCAATATTAGATATACGGCGGATAATATTTGTAGAGATATTGACGTTACTGTGTTCGAAAATGTTCGGCGTGAAATATCGGATACTGTTCATATGTCAAGAAGTTCAAGGCAACCATTTCGAGCATCTTCTGAACTGACCTCAAGCTTATTACCTTATATTATGTAGTTAAATGTCAATGTATTCAGGCAATTATTAATTTATTTTTCCCAGATGGCGGCAAGTCGCCATCTGGGAAAAAATAAAGTATTCATGCATTAAGGCAACCATTTCGAGCATCTTCTGAACTGACCTCAAGCTTATTACCTTATATTATGTAGTTAAATGTCAATGTATTCAGGCAATTATTAATTTCGCCATCTTGAAAAAGTCATCTGTCAATTTTACTTCAAAATAAAGTATTCATGCATCAATTTCATTATTTCAAATTTAAATTTTTTGAGTTTACCCGTTCTAAAAATAAAAGGGGGGTGGGGACCTTAAAGAAATGCACTCTACATATACATTCACGGAATTTTGCCAGTAATGGCAACCCATGTGAGATTTTAACTGTGATTTTGATTACTCTTATTAGTCGAAAAATACATAACTCGGAAATATAGTGACTCTGCAGATGGCGACAAATGTTGACGAAAACAGTTGGCAAATGGGTTTTATAGATTGATTAAGGCTTTCACGGCCGAGATTTTCAGTGTCACTATCTTTATACGGGTTTAAAAGCTTCTGAAGAAGCCAGCCACTCGTACCGGCTAAACGTTAGGATGCAGTACCAAACAACGACGGCCTTCAAACCCGAATAAAGATAGTAACACTTGATATGTTTTTATCGACCTTCTTTGGGTATCTTCACCACCCCCCGCGATCTGAAAAATATGAAAATTGTAAAGGAAAACTCTATACACGTGTAGAAAAAGCAAAATTTTCAACTCACCCCGATAAACTACTGCGTAAAATTAAAAAAAAATTGTGTATAGTGATAAAATAGCAACAAACTAACATCAGAGAACACAACATTTGCGTGTCTATACAGGCGTCTCACTATAGACACGCCTGAAGAAGCTATTGCATACCGAAACACATGTTGCTGTTTTGTAAACTGTGTAGTGGAAATCTCACAGTGAAGTTTTTCTTGAATTTGAAGTAAAATTTCACTAGAGCCTCAATTGTACAAACCGGTTAGCGGTTTCATCAATGACTGTGTGTATATCTATAGTTTGGCAATATAATTTGGTAAACTGTAATGACTCGTAGGCATCCATTCATTTTACAGAAAGCAAAGGAACGTGGAGCAAAAGTTGTGCAAGATATCTGGGAAGAATCAGATTTCAACGGATCTGCACGGTTTGCAACAATTCAAACTGTGAGTAAAATATCAATATCACTCATTGCAGATTTTCAGTGCTGATCATTTATTTTCACAGTATGGAGATGCCACCCATACATTCGTGGATCGAAGCCTCTACAGAGGAGCATTCTTACCAGGATACATTCAGTGTGCTGAAGATCGATTAGGGAAGCAGCTGTAAGTAGTGCACCATCAACCGAACATTTGGTAATCATAATAATAATAATAATAATATCGTTTATTTTATGCATAAAAATACATTTATACATAAAAGGAAAAGGTTTAACCAAAGGCTCTCTTCCACCCCTCCCAAAAATTATTCAGTGAGTATAAGAAAATAATTATAAACATACTTATTTACTAAAATAACAATGATAGAGAAGAGAAAAAAATAATACATCATATGATTGCTAATTACTCTTAATATTCATAACATTATTTTGGCCAATTTAACAATTTCATACATTGAATTTTATTTTTTTTAAATTAGCACTGAACAGTAAGCATCTGTGATTTTATTTCTTTCTTAAATTGAAGAATATTATGATTCAAAACGGGGAAAATTTCATTCAGATAAGAAGGGGCTATATAAGAAAAACATCCTTGAAATTTGGAAGTACGGTGCCTATAGGTATGTTGAATGAGTTAATTCGCAAATTAACCATATGTATGTCAGAATGCCTGCTTGATAAACTATATAAATAACTAGGTGTTTTAGTTTGAAGCAACTTAAACAAAAATATTTTTATCAAATATTGGACTCTGTACCTCACATTCAGCTCCTTCATTTTTAACAAAAATGGGGTGACATGTTCACCATATGGTATACAGCATACGAATCGCATGCAAGCATTTTGTATACGTTGTAACTTCTGTTTGTTATACTGTGGCAAAAAATTGTAATACATCGAACAACAATACTCGATATGGGAGTAAATAAGAGTTTCACCTAACCTGAGTTTCGTTTCTTCTGATAACTGATTCTTGAATTTATATAGCGATTTGAGTTTGAAGAATGATAGGTACTTTGAAAATGTTTGTCACATGTTTATGGAAAGACAAAGAGCTATGTTACGCCAAGATTTTTAGCACTGTCTACCCAGTCAATGTCTGCGTTATCGAAAGTGAGCCTAAAGTTACACTGAGTTTCTACTATTTGTATTTGAGAACCTTTGCATAAGGCCAAAGTTTCATTTGGATTGATTTTCAGTCCATGATTAACCGAGTATAGGAATGTTTTGTGCAAATCTGTGTTTATATTGGCCACGCAACTTTCTGTATCGGTGTTATGAGAAGACAAATATAACTGTAAATCATCTGCGTATCGATGTACTTGACAATCTAATAAGAAAGTGGGGTAATCAAAAATAAACACCGAAAACATCAAGGGTCCTAAAATACTTCCCTGTGGTACACCTGAGATTGTTTCTGTAATCATCCAGTTTGACCCTCTGTGATCGGCCTGTGAGATAGCTGGTCATCTATTCAAGAGAAATGTCATCGAATCCTATGAACATGAGCTTGCTGATGAGTAAATCGAAATTAACTAAATCGAAAGCTTTACTTTGATCAAGCAGTACTAAAATGGTGACTTTTGATTGATCTCTGAATCTCGCAAGATCGTCGATTACTTTCAAGGGGACAGTTTGTGTTCCGTGTTTTTTGCGAAACCCAGACTGCTCGTATGGGAGTATTAGATTTTCTTCAAGAAAAGCTCTTATTTGACACATAATCACATATCACATAATATTACGATAATTATGAGCTATCGAAAGACATTTTTCGATCTTCCACAAAAATTGCCAGTTAGAAATGCTACGAAACTAGGAAATATTATGAAAAAATTGGATGAAATTCCAAAAATCCGCGGCCTTCAACTCCGAAAAATAGTGACATTGAAAATATAATGAGATCAAATAAGTAGGTAATGAATAACCATAATATCTGTAACTTATTTCTTCAAAATACATAATCTGTTGACTATTGTCTGTCCAGAATGTAATTTTTTAACTTTCGATTGTTCGATTGTTCCTTCTGTTTACAATCTCTTCGTCAATCTAACGTCGTTCGGCGAATCTAAGTTTATACGTTTTTTATACATTTTGATAGTACTTGTCATCCAGAATACGATGGCAATAATGTCAGAGGGATAGTATTTATAAGAACTGAGTATTTTATCAAATAATAGTGAAACGATATATATTCAAGTGTGTTGATATATTCCTATATTTAATACAGTTTTTTCCACCGAATACTTTCCACCGATTCTTTCAATTCTTGAATATTTCCAGAATATAGATAGATTAATATTAACAACCAAAAATTATATAAATTGATAGGTGTAGCCGTTACTACGTGGTAGAAAATCATCATTAAAAATGAGAATTGACACTTCCTATGTTTTTACCGCTTTTATTTGTACCTCACTAACGTTACTGTAGGTTAGTCCTATAAGGACATTGAATTTTAATGTTTAATGTATAAGTATAAGGACATTTCCAATCTTATACATTGATGATCACTTCAATCTAGCAAACCACTGTTATAATCTTCATGCAGTCATTGTTCACTGTGGTTCTGGGCGTTGAATCTGGTCTGGTTTAAGTTTGACGATAGTCAAAGTGTTCTGACGATGTATTGAATTTATTGGAGCCTCAGGAGACACCCTACATTTCCTGCAGCTGAAAATGCAAATGCGCCACTGGAATCAATGAAGTCGCCCCGGAGCGCCAATTAATTTTTGTTTCAATTGAAGGGGTTATATTTTTAGGAGTGATTGATTTTTGGGAAAGAAAGTTTTTGGCTTTCTACTACTCTATCTCGATACAAAAAAAATGAGGGAATCTTCCAAAGAAAAGAAGGAAGTAATCAATTTGAAAATAAGTAACTCTATACGTGGATATGTAGATCATGCAAAAAAGTAACTTTCAGACACAAACTGAAAAAAAGTCTTCCTGAAACAGGTATGAAACTGATTGATTTTATGATCGATGTTATTTTGATGGATGACTGAGAATTGATGTTGAAGTAAGAAGAATCGGATTTTCAGGCCTCCAGGGAAGCTGGACTTCATTGACCATGTTGTTGGCAACCAACCAGATGGTGAAATGGAATCGGTTGCTAAATGGTACGAGAATGTTCTGCAGTTTCACAGATTTTGGTCGGTGGATGACAGTCAAATCCACACCGAATTTTCATCTCTGAGATCCATCGTTATGGCCAACTGGGAGGAAAATATCAAGGTATCAATATTATACTTTTATCAATCATGCTTGAAAATCATATTCAGGAATTAACTATACTTCTGCATAGTCATACAACACAGAGTGAATCATAAGGGATTGTCTTATATCCTATGGAAAAATTTCATATAAAAATATGTTTTTAATTTAGTGTTGGGACTCATGAGCATACATAAAACCACTTTGTATATTTTTCTCTAAAACCAAACACAATTCTACCATTTTCGATGTCTGTTTTTATTACAAACTCAAAACCATTGAGAATACAACTATTTAGGCCATAAAAAACGATTCGAAACAACCACCGTCCCCAAACACCAAAATTGTAACACTCTTCTCGACGCGCTTTCCACCGAAACGAAGTTAGCGAAATGTATTATACCAATCTCGACAATACTGGACAGTTTTCATTCATTCAATGGCGTTTTCCCAAGGTCATAGAATGACAATAAATTTTTCTTGTCTCCAAAATCGAATCTGTTGTGTGTTCTTTAAAACGGGATTTAATAGCTCGCTTAGTCTGACCGTTAGTTAGGGAAGCCACAGATTATGCTGTAGACGACCCCTCCCGATATAGAAGGCCCCGACACTCTGTCGAATGAGGCCCTCATGTCCCCCGTTAACGGATGAATAGCTTTCTCATCCATCCCACCCCAGCCAGGTAGGGGTATCCCGTGAAGGGCGGTACTGATGTCTGAGGACTTCATGCCGCCATACCATCAGTCATGAACCCATTAGTCCTTCTCGAGACCAAAAATCAGCCGAAAGGGTAAGGGAGCTGGACTCCAAGCCTGAATTACACGAAGATGACTTTCCACTGCTTAGTCTGACAACTTATTTCATATATCACCTTCATTTGCCAACATCTTATAGAGGTTGCTAACATTTGTTGAAGTGAGCAAGAAGTTTACAAGGTTATTACTTTCGCATTCAACATAATGTTCATATTCCCTTCATATATTGCTGCTTATATAGCAGTTATTCAATAGTTGTTCAACATTTGTGAAAATTAGTTACACACCTATATGTTTCAGGCTGTGAATAATTATTATATGTCGTTAATTACAGTTGCCGATCAATGAACCAGCTTTAGGAAAAAAGAAGAGTCAGATTGAGGAGTTTGTGGAATACTACGGGGGAGCTGGAGTTCAGCACATCGCATTGAATACCCAGGATATCATTACTAGTGTAAGTTTTTCCCAGGACACATCAATTTTCACTTCAATCATAAATTATTTTTACAATTCAAATATTTATTATATCCCGTTTATTTCCTTACCATATACCTATATCAAAATTAATCCCTGTCTTTACTTTTTCACAGGTGAGGAACCTGAAAGCACGAGGAATTGAGTTTTTGTCAGTTCCTGATAGCTACTATGATGCACTTAGAGAAAAACTAAAGCACAGCAAAGTGAAAATCGCTGAAGAGCTGGACATTCTACAAGAACTTAAAATTCTGATCGACTATGATGAAAATGGTTACCTGCTGCAGATTTTCACGAAGAATATGCAAGACAGGCCAACTCTGTTCCTTGAAGTGATTCAAAGAAGAAATCACAATGTAAGGATGACTTTTTTCTACTGATGTACTCAAAACATACACCAACTTCACTGTTTTTAACTGTTTTTGAAAATTTAACTTGCCATCCGCCCCTGCTCCACACGGGTGCAATGCTGATACTAAATATACATATGCGATCGCTGCTAATCATAAGTGCTATAGGGAAAAGCACCACCTTCGACGCGCTATTTATAGGCAGGCGCCTTCGGCCTCCCGGCCGGTACTGCCGCAACCAATATGTCCCTGTATTTTAAATCTGTAATATCTTGGAAAATACTTATTTAAGTTCCATGCTGTAAAGGGTCATATTGATCTATAAAAATGCACAATAAGGTACTTAATTGGATAAGGATTAATGCTGTATTGCTTAAAATTGCTTCGTAAATAAGCCATATCACCGCGGACTTTTTTGTAAACATTTTTAAGGTGTATAATACTGTAGTACATTATTATGATCTATTCGTAGGGTTCAGCCAGCTTTTGAAATGTAAGCGCAAAGAAATGTTTTTATTTTAAGGTATCACATTAGAAACCTCTGAAATCATCAGTGTTCCCCTACTATATTATGCATGTTACATACATATAAACATTAACCTTCCTCTTGAATCACTTTATCTATTTATCAAAATCCGTGGCGTACTTTTAAAGATCAATCAATCAAACATTTTTCGAATCAGTTTTCCTTCACAATCACATTAGACAAAAAACATAACATCACCATAAAATACTGGCTGATTCAACAGGTCAAACAAACATAAAAAAGTCAATATAAAACATAAACATACATAAAAAAAAGTTATTAAGCTACAATCAAATTAGGATTCAAGGAGAAACTCATCCACAGAATAGTATGCTTTTTGCAATAGGAAAATCTTGAGTCGCCTTTTAAAGGCATTGATATTTGAGATCATTAATCATTTACTTATTCATAAAAGAGTAATAGTCTATTAGACTCAAGCTGCAGAGAAGTGCAGGTCGCTGAATTTTTCACAAGACCTTAACATTTTTTTTAAATTCGTCATTATGTGAATTTTTTACAAAACCTCAATAATCTTTAAAATTCGTCAATCAACATTCACCTCCAACGTCTTTGTGAACACTAATGAAAATATATTGAATCGGAAAGACCAAATTCCAAACTCTTTTAGCTGTGAATTAGGTAATCAATTACTTCTTCCACAGAAACATCAATTTGTCTATGAACAGCCATTAAATGAAAATCAAGTGAAAGTTGAACAAGTGTAGACACTATTTTTAATGAGGAATACCATTTTCACAGCATTCACAATGAATCTCTATCGCACAACTAAGTCCATTACTTTTTTCTTCATTCATAATGAACACGAGTAAGATTCAAGAAATGAATAACATATACTCTAAAAAACAGTAACATCACAAAAATGTTTCCTTGCATATTCAACATGCTTTCTGATAATAAATTAATTTCCAAATGTTTTTTTATTATGAAAATGAAATTGTAAAATGGATAATAGGGTAATAATTAATTTCAATAAACTTTGTTATATCTCATATTATACATAAATTGTTGTTCAATAACACATATTGTAAGTTTATTTCTGTATTTATTCATTAACCACTGATATTCATTGTTACGTTTTCCCCGTGGGCTCGACAATAATTGACCACACTGTACAATTGAACTCAACGTCATTTCACTACTACATTGCCAATATTACACAAAAACCTCAACCGAACTTCAACTAATACTCAATTGTCTATCGCCTTATTAGCCCACTTCGTACCGCACTTTCAACTATTTAGCTCAATCTGCCTGTTGGTAGAACTTATATATGCTAATAGAAATCTTAGGATAGAATTATTTTCGAAGCAACACGATACCTAGAACGATTGAGAAACTTAAGTGGAGTTAGCGCGACCTTGAATGAATGAATCAATCAATACACTTATGTCACATGAAAATCTAATCTTACTTTTGATGTATGAAAACCGCCAAACTCATTTTTGATATTTGCTAAACCAAAGCAAATGCTACTGGCCCACTATATGTTTTCTACTACTTGATGTGTGCCTTCAATGACATGGATTAGTTTACATTCATTACTCATCCAATTAATAATCTATCTGTTAAAAAACCACGATTTTCAACATATAATACATATTTTTACAGGGATTCGGAGCCGGTAACTTCAAAGCCTTATTCGAAGCCATAGAGGTTGAGCAAAACAAGAGGGGAAACCTTTAAAGGAAGAAAAATCAGTTCAATTTTGATTCTATAACTAGTTTAGGAGTAATTTAAGAAAAAAATCGCTGAGTTAGGCTAAGAGTTATATTAGTGTTAAGTATATAGTAGTAAAAATATAATTTAAACAAAATGATATGCTTTACATTGGTGATGGAGGAAAATATCACATTGGTTTCAAGACTGAGCAGATTTATTTCTCCCTTTCCTTTTCAAGGTGCAAGCGTTAAGTCCCAAATACCTAAAAAAGAAACATTCATGAGGTTCACAATGCAATTATGGCTACAGTTTTGCAAAAACAAAAAAGATTATAACTTTTTGGTTCATAGTTACAGTCAATACAGTTGATCACTTATTTTACTATTTTATTTTACAACCAACCTGGCAGTGTGTCTTCTGGTGGTTGATATTTGTAGCGATGTTTTGAACATTCATCCATCTTTTTCTGCAATTCTTCTGGAGACAAGTTCATTTGACCATAAAACTGTAAAAAAAGTACTATTAAAATATTCAATATTAACGATAAAAGTGTTCAGAGAATAAAACTAAATTAATATATCACAAGTATATAACATAATAAATATTTTCAAAAACCAGATATCTCACAATCTGAATGAATGTATTTATTTGTATGCCAGTCATTTTAGGTCGATTTAGCCCTGTATTTCGGAAAGTTGACATACCCAGCTGTAAATTTGTGTAAACTTTGTATTTTGGCATCATAACAGTATTCTCAAAACTCACATATGATTCGACGGCCGCAACTTCAAAAATTGGGGGTCAAAAGAAAAAAAAACGACTTTTTGCACGATTTTTGCCAATATCTCGTTTCCAATGGGTTTTATGCTAATTGTATTTATTTCAATGTTGTAGAGAATTGAATTCTCTACAACTTTTGTTTCAAACATTTTTTCACACGTTGATTCGTTTTTGAGATAGAGGGCAGCACGAGCGCAGATTAAATATTATTTGAAATCAACTGGTTCTCCCGATCGAAATCAGCTCATTTAAGGTTTATACATTATTACTTAATAAATAATTTTCATTTTTTATCAACAAATACATTATATTTAAATATTTTTTTTCATCAATGAACCGATCTATGAATTCAATAATGCAATTTATTCCTGAACGAACAGAGAAATGGACTGATATAGTCATAGAACAAAGTTTCATGAAGTCTATGAAAACAGAAGGAGGAGTATCTCGTGGTCAAAGTACGAAAGAAAGTGTTTTGTGCAAGTGGGTTTATGCTATGTACGCTACAAATACTATATGTGAGGAAATAGCAAATTTCTGCAATATTTCCTTGGAATCTTCAGAACAACACGTAGATTCCAGGGATTCGAGAATAAAAAAGATAATATGGACGTAAAGAATACTACTTGAATGGTTTAAACTTCATGAACCTTCTCCAATTACCACACAGTTGATATCGTTAGCTTCTGGGATAGTTGGAAGTGAGCAAATTAACTGTCATAGAGCTTTTGACATCGGATTAGAAACTATGACAAAACCATGGTTGTACCAAATTTCTAGCTCTCTTCTGTAATACAAATACAGACTCCAGCAAATCAAGGCTACACACACCCCAAAAAGATATACCTTTTTGCAGGCAACTGTTTATAGATAAAAAAAATTGACGGTTGTAGCTCTTTTTATTCTGGAGACAGTGTGTTTGATTAAGAAACATCTTGTGAAACTTGAGCTTACCACCCATCACTATACAACTCGTCAGAGCGTACAAAAAAATTTAAAATTACCTATTCCTTGCAACTCTCTGGTCAAGGACTCCTTATTTTACAATGGTGTGAAGATGTATAACCATCTGCCGAGTTACACTAAAGAGATGAATATTGATACCAATCAGTACAGAAAAATGATTAAAGAAGTTTTGAATAGTAGACCCTATTACAGTTTGACTGAGTTCTATACCAATCATTTTTAACTTAGCATGTTTTATGTGTATGTATGTTTCAACCATTGTTTGTGGTTTTTTATTCAGTGTTTTTATACTTAGGTTTACATTATATTTTATCTATATTTTTATATTCATATGACATTTATGTATTCTTTTATATTTATTTACTAACTTTGTCAACAAGATTTTTTCTTTGGACAATAAAGTATATTATTATTACATATATGAAAAAAACAATAAAATCGCCGGTCAGAACACTGAAACTGAAGCAAAACAGCAAGTGAAAAATTAGAACGATTATATATCTTATTATTCTTCTGTGAAAGAATCCTCTAAATATTCCTTATGACTGTAGTAACATTTGTCCAGTAATAAGTTTTTAACTTTCTTACTGAACAAACCTCTTTATAGAAAGTGGCAGTTTGTTATGAAAATTTATGGCATTATATAATGGAGATTTTTTGAAATGATCACTCTTATGTGAAGGGACCCTCAGAGCAGTAGCATAGCGAGTATCACGACCATGAATGCTCAAGTTCGTTATGTTGTGCACAAAAATGATACATTTCATTATATAAATTGCGGGTGCAGTCAACAAGCGTTCTCTTTTGAAAACGGGTCTACAACTTTCTTGGTACCCCAGGTTGAATATCAATCTTATCAGTCGTTTTTGAGATGCACATCCCCAAGCCATTATGTTGAAACTGATGTGGGAGTATGCATTCGCAAAGTAAACATTTAGTAAACCAAACCTATCTAAACAATGTTTTATGCAGATGTTCTCAATATTGAGACAGCTATTGAAGAATTTAAACGTCAAAGAACATCAATTATAGTCGGTGAAGATATTAATTTACTTGTGATTTTAATTGGGCTTGGATATGAAATTTTCTTTAAGAAAGTTGGCAAAACGGAAATAAACTCCTCTAAGAGTTTCGTTAAATATTCAAGTTCTAAAAAACACATTTTGTTCCTTCACGCTTCAAGCGGCTGTGATACGACTTCTGAGCTCTTTAAAAAAGAAAAAAACAGGTTTTTAGGAACTTCTATTTCTATTTCTATTTCTTTCTATTCATTTTCCAATCGTGTTCTATAGTGTAACACGTGATGCGATTTTGTGGATGGTGAGCAAAAATCTTGTAATAACAGAGTCGTTTATAACTTTAGAATTCTCACAGGAGTTGATTTTGACATAATTCCTATAAATGCATTCTTCATTGAAGTCAATCTCTATTGTAATGCTTCTGGGCCTTTCTTTTTCATTATATAACTAAATGGAATTGAATCGTTATGGAGAGGAATCAGATATCTGATTAAATTTCATAAAGAATGTTTGGAATACAAAATGAATAGAGAAAAGTATTTTTTGTACAATTCAGTGTTCATATAAAAGTGTTTAGTGTTTCGAAAATATATTTCTCTTGTGTAATTCAATGTCTTTATGAAAGTAGTCGTTTCGAAAGGGCTTTTTCTTCCAGTTTGTGTCTGAAAGTTACTTCTTTGCATGATTTATAAATCTGTAAAAGAGTTTGCTCTCTTCCTTTCTTTAGAAGATTCCCACATTTTTTGTATCAAGATGGAGAAGTAGAAAGCCAAAACCTCTCTTTCTCAAAAATTCAATCTCTTATAAAAATATACCACTTTCAATTTACAAAAGAATCTAATACCAAATATTGCATAAAGGATCATTGTGACCTTAACATCAATAGATTTCTTACTGGATTAAAAAAGGAGTATTTCACTTACGTTTCTACATTTTTCACAAGCAAATCCGTTCAAATCCTTACGGGCATTTCCTCTTACTACAGGCTCTGGTAAAACAGCCAGTTTCAATTTTCTGTAAGGTAAAACAACATATTACATATTTACATCATAACGTGAACCTCGCATTCATTTTTTTTCTGTCATGAATTAGATAATGAATTCAGAAACATTGCCAGCTCAGATGATAAGATAATATTGTATCATAACAAGTTTGAGGAGGCAATGATGAATGAAGTGGAATAAGTCTAATGTAACACCAAAGAAACTAGCAGTCTGGAATGAAGTGAAATACATCTCTACACGAAACATTTGCCTCAGAGAAATTTCATGAACATAATAGTATATTATTCAACGAGCGAGAAATGTGGCCACTATTGATGAGAAAAAATATTGTTGAAGGTGAGCGTCCTGAATCATTTAACGAATAATGGCCAGTTTTCGTGAGTGGAATACTACACTTTTTCTATGACTTATAATAGAGGTATTTTGTTGAGGATGTAATGGAAATACCATTATATTTCATAACAAGATCTAGTTAATTTCAAATAGTTTCAATATTGAGTGGTTGAAAAAAAAATTAGCGTAGGTGAGACTTCTGGAGTGCTAGATCATACCAGCGTTCTAACAACGACTTCAAGAAGCATTGCATATAGCTAATTAGATTTCTAATAACTCTCATTTTCATATCAAGCGATGAACTTTTGAAAATATTGTCAATTTTTTCGACACATTACAAATTTCTGGTAAGGTACACTTCATTTCACCTACATTACCTTGTTTTAATTACTGTTTTTTTAGAAAGTACATATTTCGAAACAAAATGTCAGTTCAATGTTTATGTTTGATATTAAGGAAGATATTTTGAATCAGGAAATTATTCACCTCGTCAACTGTAATTGATTCAAAGTTGTGAGTTATGAATTGTTTTGCCTACCTACCCAACAAGAAATGGTCACATAAAAACAAATTAATTAATACATTTTGAATTATAAGAGAGTTGAGAATATTCTTTATGTTATTTTATATATTTTTGCCAGAGGTCATTTCCTTTCAGTAAATTTATTCCTGTCATTCCACTAATCGAAAATAATGGTTCATTTGATTTCAAATCTGTAAAAAATTGTGAAATTTAACAAAAAGGAAAGTGAAAACTCTTAGACAGTTCTTGTAGATAAAGAAATAATTAAAATAGTTGTATGTATTACAGGGAAGCTAAAATAATACAATATATTATTTCTAGTAAGGTTTACCGAATTTTGAAAAAATCCTCCATCAGAAATGACTTGAGGCTACTTCTAAATTCAAGGTTCTTAGACAATAAGGTTATCTTTGTCATGTTTAAGTCAAATATACATGAATCTATGTCAATGTGCAATGTTGTTAATTGAAAGAGAATTCAAAGCCAAAAAAAAAGCCAGGAAACAGTAATGGGCTTGTTTCATGCTATGGAAAATGATACTGGTTTGCTTATAGACTGATCGAGTTAGGGGTATACTGCGACTCCAACGGACCTCCCTGTAAATTTAGTTCAGGAGCGAGTCTACAGAGGAGATAGATGTCGAGTTTACGACTCCAACTGACCTCCCTGTAAATTTAGTTCAGGTTTCAGGAGCGAGTCTACAGAGGAGATAGGTGTCGAATTAACGACTGCAACTGACCTCCCTGTAAATTTAATTCAGGAGCGAGTCTACAGAGGAGATGGATGTCGAGTTCACGACTCCAACGGACCTCACTGTAAATTTAGTCCAGGAGCGAGTCTACAGAGGAGATGGATGTCGAGTTTACGACTCCAACTGACCTCCCTGTAAATTTAGTTCAGGAGCGAGTCTACAGAGGAGATGGATGTCGAGTTTACGACTCCAATTAACCTTCCTGTAAATTTAGTTCAGGAGCGAGAGCTGCGGCGTACGCAGAATCTGTCTCAGGTGGGGAACTAACCCCCCATGAGCAAGTTAGCATACGTTTGTGCTCAAGTGGGGTCTCACCAAAACCAGAGGCGAAAAAGCCCTGCACGGCTGAATCTAAGGCATCGTCAGGTGTAGCTGACGTGCAAAAACCCTCATATGGGAAGGTTGTCGTGGGTATCAAGGTGGGAATCTTGCAACTTGACTATCCGACTACCCCATTAACCAAGCATATACTTTGTGCCTGCCCCGCTGGGGACCGAATCAGGCCTTTAGAGATCAGCAGAGCCGTACTCTTACCATCTGACCTGAAAGACCACTCACCATACAAAATAATCGGCTTCGTTAAGAAGCTGGGTTTGTTTGGCCGAGTGAGAATAGGTGTGAGCCACAATAAACCCTTGCGGGTTGGGATGGAGGGTCGAATAGACCCACTCACTTTGGACCCAACTAACTTAGGGATATACTATACTTATCAAGTCTAATCAGTCCCAAGATCTCTTTATATTTGCAGAAAAAAGAACATTTCGAAAGGCAAGAATTTAAAGTGGCCGCGTGTCTGTTGACCACCAAAATTGATCGTTTCTAGAGTGGAGTTGCCAAGTGTAATGGTTTTTAATATCCAATCACAGATCTGATGATCCAATTTGACAGACGCCATTTTTGTTGTTATTGTTGTCAACTCGGTGTGAAAACAACTATTACAATTATCTAATTAAAGAACGTTTTTTTTTGTGAAAGATAGGTCTCGGCGGGTACCTATTTTGCTGCATATTCCGTGTAATTAGTTTACATTCCGAAAAATATTTTTTCAGGTTATTTTTGGATTGAATTTTACCATTACTACCTTGGCCGAGCTGAAATAAAAATTAAATCAAAACTTTCCTTCCTTCGATAAAATACAAAGTCTGAAATGAATGCCATATAAATTAAAGGAACCTACTAAATATACCACCTATCGTTTCAATTTTTTATTCCTCATTTCGGTACCAAAGTATTGCAAATGTTTCAAGTAAAATTCATCGATCACTTCAAAATCAACTCTTGGTGAGTTGTCGGAGTCAGCTTTAACAAAACTAGGGCCAACCTTCATTTTGAAATTATTTTAACAAAAATACGAAATTATGTGTAGAAACCATTGACATTAGAAACAGCACATTTTCGCATACACTACAGAGGACGCTGGCTGACTGGATGCCAATATGGCTAATATACCAGTAACATTGAATTTCTTATTTTTGGTGGGTGGCATGAATGCATAATTGATTTATTTTATTAGGGTTCATGAACATTCGAAAACCATTTGAAAATACAGCTCGTTAAATTCTATTTAGAATCATATTTAGATATAACTAGTACTATATCAGTTATCAAGGCAAATATTATTGTCCATTTTTATGCTTGATTCGTGGATTCGAGCGATCTTATTATTGTATATTGATTTGTTTGCTGGCTTCATTCCTAACAAAAATGAATGAATAATTACAGGAAATTATTTTAATTGATTGTGCATTTTCTCAGGAAAATGAAGTACCCATATCACAATTTATTGGTTTATTCTGCATTAAAAATGTATGTCATATCGGATCCATTCTGTTTGTTTTTGCAACATTGAGTTTCAACTTTTTCTTGGCTGACAGCTCGCGTAGCAACAATTCGTTTTTTCATCGAGTTTAGTTTGTGTGTGTTTTAAAAGTGTTTTAGAGATATATTTGAATATTAACATGGTGCATTCTTGTGCTGATTTCAATAATGTGGAAAGGCACAAGAAAACAGAAAGCGCATTGGTTTATAGATGAGTTACTTCATTTGATGAGTTTAGTTTCCCAAAGGTTAAAATGATGAGAAAAAAAATGGGTGAAAGTATTGAAAAGAAAGGACTACAATCTTTCTACTCTTCCAAGACTTTATAGAAATCAGTTAAAAAGTGACTATAAATGAAAGGGGGACGAAAATATTGAATTTGATGACACAGTTTTTTATTTCAACTCCAAGTATTCTTCACAGAAAGTATTATCTAGAGTTAATACTGTTGCTGAAAGTATGATACATTTTACTTCATTAAATTTCATCATATGATTAATGGTATTATCTCAGAAGCTTTTGTTGGATCAGTTCAAGTACAATCAATTCTGTCTATACTTGATCTCATTCAACCTTCCTCTCAAGTTTTGGAAGACGTATGTATTTAGGAATCTCCTTTTTTTATAATTGCAGTTGTACAGATTGAGGATTGTAGAATAAATTGAATATTTGAAATGATTCTTCAATCCAGTTTGCTATATTTTTTGATTTTCATAACTGTATATTATTAAATAATGCATAAAATCATAGTTTGGGTAAATATTTTGTGACCTTTCGACTTTGTTTACTGATTTTAAATATAGAACCTATTTCCAAACATGATTTTTCGTGTACATTTTATTTCATGTGGAAAATTTTTCATTAATTGAAACGTTAACGGTTTCATATACACTTCCATAATTGAATTGATAATTGTAGGCTTCCTAAATTTTACGATTTGGCAATGGTGATTATTTCTATTGTTCCTATTGGTCAATCGAATAAGACGCGGAAATAGGGCCGAGACGTCACCGCCCTAATACATTCGATTTTTAATAATTAATTACTGGAAAACTACGGAACTTAGAGAGCTGATACAAAGTGAACTGTTTTTCAATTTGAAATTTCTATCAAGTGAACTATAACCAAAAATCATGAAACAAGCTCATTTCTATGTTGTTGAAATTTCAACAACAAAAATTACCTTGTAACTATTTAAAGAAGATAATATGAGAAAAGATGAACCAATTCGTCCATCAAATCAAAGCTCTTACTTCTGGGGTGATGCTTCTTCAAAACATATGCTCTCATCTAACAAAGCCCCTTTCGAAAACTGGTCAACTTCCTGTGTGGAATCTAAATCATCCATATCACTGAAAGTGTTATCTTTGGATGATTCATCTTTATTTATGTAACTCAGAAGATCAGTAATGCCCATTCGAGAAGTACTTTTGTTATTTTCAAAGTATGTTTCGTCTGAATCTTCTCCAACATCAAACTTCTTGTCACTGGAAAGTAGAAAAAAAAAGTATTTTCATAAGTTGGGTGAAGCTTGAACATTTTCATTTACCGCTAAGCTTATTTTTTCAGCAGACCTCGTAATCATCTTTCAAACCTTATAAACAAAACAAAACTCATCAGACTAGTCAAGAAATGAACAGATATGAAATTATTGAAAATTATATTGAAATATATGTGACATGCAATAGCTCTGGATGGTAATAATGCGGCAGGTATTTCTCTTTTATTTTTCTTCATAGTTCCTACATATGTCAGGCTTTTTTCTTTCAACTTCCGAGCTGCCTCGATTGATGTATACCAATTATCTGCAGTGAGATTTCGTTTGGAATTGTAGAATGATTCCGTCATTCGCATAACAACTTGTGTAGGATGAGAAAGTGATTTTTCTTTGCATTGTTTGCTACTTTTTAGTGCATTGATTTCTTTTCCGGTATACACCTCAGGAATACATTAATTTGCAATCTTAAATAATTCTTCAGATATATATTATGTGATTTTCAAAATATTCACTTTTGAAGTTGGTCTTTCTCCAAAAATTCATTTGCTGAATAAAAAGCATTTGCAATTAGGTATTTGTAGATCAGTCTTGCATCACTGATTAAATCTATGCTGGGTCGAAACACCGCTGCCTGAATCACCAATACTTGCTCTGGTTTCAATATAATAATGAAATCAAAGTTCAATCGTCTTTAAATTTGTGAATATCACGCAACTGTCTGCAACTGTGACAATTGAATGTAGTCAAAATTCAAGGAAAAAAGTTGGAAGAGGTGAATTGTATAAGTGTTTCCTGCAAGAATTAAGGTGAGGATTCCAATAATTTTCTTAGGAGATTTTTGAGGTTCTCAGATAAATATTATCAATTTTAAGAAAACATTCAGTGAACAATATTGTTTCAAATTAGTGATATACCTACAAGCTTATGAAATGATTACACCAGGTATTATATATATTTCGATCCATAATTACAGAAAACCAAACACTTACTTATTTGAATTGAATTTTATGCTGTTGGGAAATATTTGCGTCAGTGTTAAATTTCTTCCTTTTCTCTGGACTTTCTTCTTCCTTAACAATTGACTCACTTTGGAATCCGTTTTCAGTTTCCTACTTGCCAAATCTGGTGTTGAATCTATGACTGACATTTCCAAGTCAGGTCCAGGAGTGTGAAAAATATTTTTTCTCACCAAGTTTATATCCTTGCTATTATTTGAATTTGAACTATTTGCTCCACTAATTTTTGACTTACTTTTCCTAAGATCTTTTCTATATTTGGATATGAGTGTCGGGCTAGTATCAATTTCTCTTCTATCATCATCCGACAGAGAGAGGTCAATTATCATAGAGTTTGAAAATTCGTGTTTATCTGATTTGGAGTGAGAATTGGGATCAATATTTTTGAAAAGATCTGGACTCTCCAATTCTGTAACATTACTTGAATACTTGTTAGATTTTGTTTCCGCCTGAGAAGTCGATCTGTTCTCTGAAATGAAACAAATCTTAACAATTGCAATAAGAACGCTATTAGTAATATTCCAACCTTTTTCATGGCTTGGTGACTTTTTCTTGGGGCTAGTCCTAGAAAAAAAATATTGTTTCTGGAAAAACGATCAATTGAAAACTACAGTACATTTACTGAAGATACAGCTCTTTGCCATAAAAATTAGGTCAAGGTAAGACACACTGGGTCCTGCTTTACTGGATACCTATTAGAATTGGATACATTCTAACGGACCATATTTCACCAGATATTTCAAAGTGATTTGTGATTAATATACAGGTATCAGTCCCAGTAACATCATTGTAAGGGAAAAAGCTAGAGAAACATGTATAATTTTCATATCAAAAAAATTTTCATCCGGTTATTATTTGACTTGTACTACCTACTAAAAAACATCAGAAATACATGCATGGAAAACAACTTCATGAAGATAACATGCCTCTATCTATATCCATTATCAACAATCACCTATTATAACACTATGAATCTGAGCAGAAACAGTACCTAACATGAAACTGATACCATACAGAAAATCGACCTTCATCTTCAACACTTGCAAAAAATTCAGCATAAAAAGTCCCCTCTGTATGCTGGAGCACACCTAATTAACCTGCTGCTTGAGGACTTGAAACTTCTAACCGATTTGAAAAAGTCACGCATTTCAATTGCCAGACCAGTATATCCAACTTCTCCACTAGAATGTTATTATAATTACTATTTTTCCTCACAACATCCCCAACCCAGTCTCGATGTCATGTCACCTTTAGGTTCATCAATGCCTCCAGTGCAGGCTGGCTGTGAAAATATTATTGTTGTTTTCAAGGTTGCAACTTTATGGCTTAGAGATATTTCCTCAACAAATTAACTGGAGTGAGCTAGAGTCTACTTTAAAAGTTCTATCCTGAATACCTACAATTTCATTTTTTTCTCTAGTCGATCTTTATCATTCAGCTGTTGCCTTAAATTACTCACTTCATCTTCAAGGCTTTTATGAACGTCTGAAATCATTAAAAAAGGTGATGAAGATTATACCCTTTTATTCAAATATAAACTCAACTATTCAGTTCTTTTTTCAATGTCCAAAGTAGCATGACAGATTTTTGCAGTTCTTTTCTTTCTGATTTCCAAACCTCCGAAACACTGCTGTCGAATAAGTCGGTCCATTCTTTGTATGCATCAGAATTCATTTTTATTTTTAAAATTACTGGAAAATAGAGATGAATTCAAAAAACATAAATAAAAGTTAACATAACCTCAAATCTTCTTCTCTTTTTTATGATCTTACGCCGCAGTAGACCAGTCTCCTCCTATTGCATAACGGATATACTGCAATGGACGCTTCGTCCGTAAAGGTGTGTCTTGCTCAAAGCAAAATTCTTTAGCTCATAATATTTCATTAAGATTCCTTCCCGTTTTACAAAAAAATTTATCTCTTATGAGTCGGGCAATGTCTTCTTCAAATCACGGTTTACTATATCTTCCTTGACATTTCTATAGTATTTCGAAGACTTCCCTTTAACAACTTCCGTATTCTACTGGGAAATGTTCCTCCTGACGAAAATCAAGTAGTTTTCATAAAATACTATGAAACAAGTTCCGAGACATTCTGTGACATATGACATTTTGTGCACCTAACCTATCTTCCTCTATATGAATAAATAATAAAACAACTGTTGTGTATGTGGCTTGTAGAGGTGGTATTGAACTATAATTTATATTTTGCCTTAATTATCGATGATTTTCCTTTTTTAAAGTAGAATATCTAGGTACATATAAATTATTTCAACTTGATATAGGCGCTGTTGCCAATATGTGAATTGGAAACAAATCCCTTTAAAAATTAAAACCCAACATTTGAAATATCAATTTGAATACTTTTCGAAGTGAATTTGAAAAACTCATGAATTAAACTCAACTTTATTTTGTTCAAACTTGCATTTGCTGTAATAACCCAAATTGAGGAACATTCCCCATTACGGGAATGCCCATTATACATTTCATCCACATCCTCATACTGATGAATGGAATCATGCAGTATATTCAATTTTTATGTGATATAATCGATATCAAACTTGATAATGGTTTTCAATAATATAAATATGACTCATATAGATGAACGTTCAAAGATTTTTTGAATATTCAAAGAATATGTTTGAATGAGTTAGAGACCATCTCAAATTGAAGAAAAGAATAACTCATTATTATCCAATTATTTCACATTTAAATTTTTCAATTTCAATAGTTCGGACTTCCATTGTCTAATATATGAAATGATTTGAAATCCCTGAAACAACTAAAAAAAAGGAAGAATTAAAAATGAATAGCTGAAAATAACAATTATATTAAGCAAAAAAACCTGAAATGAAATAATAGTGAAATAAAATACAAGTAAAAATAGAACAATTGAACAAAAAATAAAGAAATAAAAATGAAAATAAAAAGTGAAGAGATTCCAAGCCAAGTTAGTTCACGACGTTTCGATTGTTAGTATCTACTTGTATTTTATTTCACTATTATTTCATTTCAGTTTTTTTTGCTTAATATAATTGTTATTTTCAGCTATTCATTTTTGAATCTTCTTTTTTTTTTTTTTAGTTGTTTCAGGGATTTCAAATCATTTTATATATTAGACAATGGAAATTCGAACTAGTGAAATTCATCATGAAAAATTTCAAGTTCGAATTTTCAAGTACCTAACGCAGAACATATAATAATTCACAAACAATTGGGTATTCTAATCAATTCTATTTGTAACATATAAATTCAAAAATGACTTCACGAAAAAACAGATTTTAAACAAATTTATTTAAACAGATTCCAGACGTTTCCGATTTGAAGGCAACTCAAATATTCTTAGTATCGCATTTCTCTGTAATCTAAAATCTAAAAAAAAAAATTGAATGTTCGTCATCAAAGTACAATGAAAGTTTCAACAGAGCAACAATGACTCTCAGACTCATCCCAACTTTTTGAGTTTTCTGCTCAGTAGCTCGTGACAAATCATGTGTTTTGGCAGCTCAGGCGGAGTTATTCTGAAAAAAAACAATAATTTCTATTAGTCATGTTTTCGTTCAAATAATTTTTCATTAATTGAGCGAATGAAAAATCTGAAATAGAAACGTTTTTCCACCTAGGAGTAAACTTCTCTCAAACTCTCATCAGGAGTCTCTGAGAAACTGAAATGAACGGAAATTATGAAATAAGCAATGAGAGTTGCGACAAGATGTATGTTGGTCACGCTAGAAAAATTATAACCAGCCTCGGAGAATCAAAAAAATCTAATTTCGCTACGTGTCTATAAAAATACTTTTAAGAAATTCACTAGATTTTTGGGTGGTTTCAAAAATCTGAAAATGACATAGTATGTCATGAGGACAATGAACAGCGACAAATTTCAAACAGTCCATCGTTCACTTCTTCATGAACTACGTGAATAATTTCAACCAGTAAAATTCATGAGTACTGAAGGTCACTTCGTAACTTAAAATAACACTTACCTTTCGGGATTGACATTCTTCAGCCACGAAGAGTTCAAAGCATCTTCTACTGTTATTCTCTTGTCAGGATCCAACATCAACATCTCATCTAATATATCTAATGCTAGAGGGGGAATGAAAGAAAATATATCCCTCAGTTTCCTGCGGTATATATGTGTGGGATTTAGCGTTTTAAAATGCGGTAGACTGACAACAGAAGCCCAGACATCAGGAGTGGCAGAACCGCACACTCTTGATATCAAATCCAGCTGATTGAGATCTTCCTTCCCCTGAAATATATAACAAGTTACTAACAGTGTTGTGATTCATTCACGTTAAGTCAACTTCAGAAAAGTGGAGTTTTATTTCAACATATTAACATGAATACAAGAAGAACGAGTTTCAAAGTGATTATCATGGGATAATCACCCATCCCCCTTAATTTAAAAGTATGAGTTAAACAGTGTCAGCTCGCTGAACCCGAATCATTCAAATTTCAAAAGTTGTCCGATTCTATTCTCAGTATCAACACAACAGACTTACCGGAAACATGGGCTTCTTATGGAAAAGTTCCCCAAGAACACAACCGCAACTCCATATATCTATTGCAGGACCATATCGCCGTTCACCCAGCAGTAACTCCGGAGGCCGGTACCAGTAACTGACGACTTTATTTGTGTAAAGTCTCCTTGCATCTCTTGGATCTTGCTGCTTGGATAAACCGAAATCAGCCAGTTTAACTTGTCCCCTGCAACAAAAAATAACTCTTTGAATAACTCAAATAACTAACTACTGATTTATCAGAATGTTATAGTTTAATTCAGTGGTGTAACTGAAAAAACTGAACTCTCCGAGAAAATCTAAATGAAACTCTTTTTTATTGATTAATATACTGTACTACTTGAAACATCATTAGTGTTATGTCTGAAACATGCATTTTATTAAGATGACTTACCGGTTGTTCATTAGAATATTACTAGTTTTTATGTCTCTATGAAGTATATGCTTCTCATGACAGCACTGAAGACCCCTCAACAACTGCTTCATGATGGAAGCAATGTGGAGTTCGCTGAACACAACCATCGATGACTCCAGAAGGCCCTTAAGATCATGATCCATATATTCCAAAATCAAATAAATCAAACCGTCCTTCTTGAAATCCTCAGATTTGCTCTTGTTAGACACCACCCCTTGGATATTGACAATATTTCGATGATTCAGTTGATGGAGAATTTTAACTTCCCTCAAAGCAGTGATCGAGAATTCATCTACCTCGTTGAAATTCTTTATTTTTTTAAGGGCTACCAAGTCATTCGTGTTCTTGTCTTTTGCTTTATAAACTTTTCCATAAGTACCTGAAAATTGAATATTTCATATACAAAATTAAAATCCTGTTGTGGTTTCCTGTTAAGTATAATTTAACAAATCAAATTAAAACTTCATTTCTCACCTTCTCCAACTATATCAATGATCTGAAACTCATCCAGACATCTTGTCTTTGGTAGATTCGGGCCTAGGGTTGTACTGACTAGTGAACCATCTTTACAAGGATTGATTACGGTTGGCCTCCCTATGTGTAGTGATTCTTCAGGCATTCTTCCGTCTATAAATACAGTTCTTTATTAGCTGATATTCTATGCAAAGAAATAATCTGCTTTATTTCCTACGACTTGAATGAAATGTTTGCTTATTTTTCTTGATGAACTTTCAATTGAAGGAAAATAAACTGGTACTTGGATAAAATGGTTGAAAAGCAAAATAAATTAACTTGAAATATCAAATGTGAAGAAGTCGAAGGGGTAAGTGAATAACGCTGATGAACGAAATATTGAAAATATTGAAAAGATGAAAGAACTACTGTTGAACATAACCAGAAAACAGGACGAAAATATAAATGTCAAGATACTAGCAACTAAGATTCAGTCACAAAATTCATAAACGTTATCAAAATATAATTGAAACAAAGCAAAGATCTCTAACTTACCTAGCAGGATTGAGGACCGAGAGTTATACACTTCATTTGAAGGTATCCTTATTTGGCTCGTATTTTCGATCGCGTCAAGTTCTGGTTTCCTGCGTTGAAGGTATAATTCTCCAACCTGTATTTCCAGTGGTTGTTTTTTCACTGGTTCAGACACTGGTTTAGCAACATCCTTGCTATGGATATTCACCAGTTGCGGATTCCTTTGTTGAATGTATATATTTTCTTCAATCTGTATTTCCGGTGTTTGTATCTTCACTGGTACAGGCACTGGTTCAGCAATAACCTTGCTATGAACATTCAACACCTTCTCAACACTCATCAGTGAAGGACTATCAGTATCTTCCTCACAGTCTGAAATCTCAATGATACACTCAGATTGAACTGAATGTTTCATTCGTTTTGCCAGTAAATTTTTCTCCACTTTTTCATTTCTATGATTAATTGCTCCTGCTGGATCCTTCATTTCCTTGGTCCATTCTTCTCCCATTTCTCTTTTGCATTTGTTTCTGATCAATTCTGAGAATAAACTGGAGCCTTCTGTTGGGATTTTCACCAAGGAAACCCTGGCAGAGATGGGAGAAGGGCTTCTATAATTCTGTCTGAAATAATAGAAACAAAAATGTTATTGTAGCGTATCGTGTGAAATAAATTGGTAATCTCCAGTAATTTTAAGAAAGCAATTTGGGTTAATAGACCTATAATTATAATCTAAATTGTACTGCACGATTTCTTAAATGATGATAAAAATTAAATAATAACCATGCAGTGAAACTCAAAAAATAATCTTATTATATTATTAATTGAACTGAATATGCGGTAACTTACCCATTCCTATGAGTCCTTCCAGGACTTTGAAACCGTTGCTCCTTCCTGTAAGGTGAAATATCGACATAGAGCCTTCTACCATAGGATGGAGATCTATACCTTCGAGGGTAAGTTGGAGATCTAGATTTCCTACGGTAAGTGGGAGATCTAGACTTTCGACGGTAAGTTGGAGATCTAGACCTTCGACGGTAAGTTGGAGATCTAGACCTTCGACGGTAAGTTGGGGATCTCGGTTTCCTATCGTGCATTGGGTATTTCAACCTCTTCCGTCCATACTCCGAAGAGCCCGAAGACGAGGACCGATATGATAGACTGCCGTCCGTTGTTGAAACAGAGTCGTCGCAACTTCGCTTTCTGGAGTACGGCATCTGGGTTGGTGGTGTGGTGTCCTTTAGTTCAATGTACTGACCTGAAAATCATTATCATTTTGATGTATAATAGAAAAGTCTACATTACTTATGAATTATATTTTGAAATAATATCAAACAATTTTTTTAAACGTTTGAAGACTCTCCGCTACAAATTATTGACCAATTCGTGCATTTTTATATAGTTTTTATTAAGTATTCACTGAAAAACAATTAACCACGATTGAAAAATCTAAAGAAATGAAAACTCGCCGTTAACAGCGTCAGCACATTTTACACCTATCACAAAATAATATAATTGAATGAATTTGGAAAAATCTTAAACATACCAGGACCGAAATATTCTGAAGACATCATAATTAGTCATGAAAGGAACAATTTCGAAAAATAATGAAGAATAAACAATGTGTAGAAAAAGTATGAAATTGTGGATACTAAAAATTATTTTTGTGTAATGTTGTATGCTACTGACACTTTATTCATCATTCAATTCATTTATCAATACATTTTCATTTCATGTTACAATAATTTGTTCTTCGTCACAAACTATAGTACAATTCCATAATAGTAGGCACTATTATGGAATTGGCACTATTATGGAGACGCCTACTATAGTAGGCATCTGCAAAAGACAGATTAAGGCAAAAACGTTAAGTCATTTCTGAGATTAGTGCCTACTATTTCGGAACTATAGAACTCATCCAAATAGTTCGGTCCTGAAATAGATGTCAAATCTGTTTGGGCATTGGAAGACCGAATCACTAACACTCATCAAGATTATTGTGAAATATAGAAGTAATATAGTCGAAGAAACCGGTATCGTGCCCAAAGGCCAAAAAAACCAATACAGAGAAATAAAGCCGCTGCTAATTAGTCCACGTGAACTGAAAAATTGGCGGTTCGTATTGGATGAATTTTAATAACCGAGTTTTATGATTACGGGACTAATAAAATGCGAGAATGATTACAGCAGTTCAGGAACTGATCGCGATTTGTGTGTTGAAATTCGATATTGGTGCAGTTATAATTTTTATGTTTTTTAGCAGTACCAAGTTAGCGTTATAAAATATAATGCAGCCTAAAACGATAAAATACAAAACTGTTCAAAATGCTTAAGAAGTAAAAGCAAAAGGCGCAAGAAGTAATTGTGTATTAGAAACTGTTAAAAACATTATTTGGGCTTCAAAGATTGATATTTTTACTCGGAATAACAATTTATTGACAAATATCTCATAATATATATGTACTTTTCAGCTGTAAATATCACTATATGTGCGGTACTTCATATTTTCATTTAATCTAATGCCAATATTTCGAATCGCTATCATTTTAAAATGGTGTCGTTCTTTTGAATGATTTGGTACTGTAAGCACTTTAACATATTTTAGCTACTAAGATGCCCATGAAAAATTGTTATGAAACAATTTGGTTTTTATTACAGTTATTTTATTGGTTTGGGAGTGTAGTAAATATACCATACTACGAAATAGTTGAGAAATTATAATTGAACGGGCAGTATGGTATTAAAAAAAAATTGTGTATAAAAGCATTCCAATAAAATAATTTCATTAAAGCCTCAGGAAGCAGTTACAAAATAAGCTTGAAATAGTTTTATGAAGATCATACAAATCTCTTTATAAAACACTCTCATTGCCCACAACTGTATCATGTTCACAGCTCGTCCAACATAATCAATTAGCATTTTGGACGTAATTATAAAATACCAACAAAATAAAACTGTTGCAGCATCATCAAATTATAAAACAATTTTGATGGTTGGGTAGTGAAATGAGAAAAATACGCCACTTGAATATTTTAACGTTCTTATGTTACTGCCTGTATAGTGGTTCCCAAATCATTTAAAAAAATCACTATTACTTCATGCATCATGGACCGGACGAGAAACGAACAAACTTACTCCAAGTAATCAATATGGCTTCAGGAAAAAATTATGTACCAAATGAAATTCAATATCAGCAAATCGAATTCAGAATATTGAAAAACTCGACTTAGTTAGTAAAACATGCGCTGAGAAAAGAGTTACCAGTAGACTGGTGTGTACGAAAAGTGTTTTGTTAGATTCATGCTACTTTAGAAATAACAAAAAGGTATTCAGAAGAATATAATTGACTTTGGTACAAGGTCCCACTTTGACCCCTATCGCGATCTTCAGTTTGAGTCTCAGAAACAAATCCATAATTTAAAAAATCATCAATAAATAAACAGAATACTCAATACTCACTTGGTCACTAATTTCCAGGAAACTTAGTCGGAGAGTTTGGTCTGCCGGGAAACATTTGAAACTTTCACACATGTTGAAATATTTTCAAAACTGTAAGATCCAGAGTATGCATGCACTTTTATATGAATTGTTCCAATTATGAATCGAAAGGTATACCTAATAATTCTAATTTAGGTAAATGAAATTCCTATGAAAATATTGGCAGGTAGGGAAATTTTATTGATGTCAATTCCGAATCTTAGGGAAACTTTCACAACTTGAAATATTAACATAATAATGAAAATGTATGTTCTTGTTGTTAGATAAATCAAATGATTCTTCGTCAAATGTTCTGTTCGAAGGTTCTATCATTTCCACAACTGAATTTCCACATGTCCTTTTCTTTTATAACATGTTCAATACATTTTCGATATTCTTCGAAACATCCATTTTTCGAGGACTCACCAAATAGTATTCTAATATCTTCCATTTCGAATGTATTTGTTCTTGTAAGGAAACCCTTTCTATAGTAGTATTCTAATATCTTTCATTTCGAATGTATTTGTTCTTGGTGGATTTTACAGAAATTCCCATTTCGTGGGCAATTTCTCGTAAAGAGCAATCTTGATTAGAATAATTTTTATAACTGGCCAATCCTAAAAAAAAAATGTTTTCACTGCATGAATTTTGTTTTCTTTCTGTCCAATGTATCATAGTACTCAAATTTCTTTCTAATAGTCTAAACATTTGGATGTTCGGAATACGAATACATATTCCTTGCCAAAAGAGGATTTCTATTTGATTTTGCATAACTAAATAGCATATCAGTCCTTTAATCATTTGAATACATCTTTGATATATATGTTCATAAAAATCTGACAGTTCTCAACAGATATCAACAAAGCATTCACTTTTCATGCCATAGAAACCAAACAAAGCCTACGCGTTTAAGATGGTAAATAAGTTAAGATGCTATTTGATCATACCAAATTATAGAATCGAATTTTGACCAAAAACTGATATTTTCGTTACTTCCAGGATTGAGAATTAGAAAAATATTACGAATTATAATTGATTGGGGAGAAATAAGTCTTGAAAGAAGGATTACGCCAATACAACAATTTCCAAAACGAAAAAGTGCGAATTTTCATTGTGTTAGGGTACCTACCTGTTGAATTTATAGGGTTGTCTGGATTATATTTTGAAGAAATCGAAACAATTTACAAAAGAAGTAACGACAGGACCGTGATTCAAAATTGTTATTACTGATGATAGTAGTCATTTCAAATAAAACGCTATAAAAATATCGATTGTGATATACCCTTGGATTGTGAATTTATTGCTTTATCAATATCTGTAATAAAAAAGACAGGTCCGTATTTAAAAAACAAGTTGATGGTGGCCATGTTGACACGAAACGTTTTATCGAATATTTATTATTACACCGTCATAGTACACTTCGAATATAATATTTCTTTTCCATTTTTTGATATTCTCCGAGATAACAATTCCATTCGAAATAACTGAAAAACAGCATTTCTGGTTTTCCCATTATAACTCGAGAAGGGCGAGAGTCCCCGTAAATTGTATTTGACCATTGTATTGTTCCCGATGACAGTTTTTTCCCATTTAATCGTCTTCGTATCTGTTTCGGTTTAGAATATAGCAATGTTACCACATGATAAAAGAAACGGCTTGTATATTGAATTATATTTTATTATTTTCATGGAGGTATTGATAATATCCCTTTCTTTAATTTCTTAACTGATACAAATTAAAAGTGAAAAATAGATGAAACAGAACCCAAAACGCAAAGCTTTCGTTATTCAACACCAGACAGCATTGTTTCGACCTACCATAGGTCTCATCAATAATGCTAGGTTGAACCATTCAATAGTTCTTAAAGTACACGCCTACGTACGAAAGCGCCATCTATGCGATTCACAGAAGACTAGATCAAAGATAAAGGAGGCTCCCCAAGGCGGCAGAGTTGCAAGCTTCGACAACGGCCACCGAGCTTTCACTTCAAGCCAACCAAATGAAACCGGATCGTTGATATATAGTGAAAATCTTTATTTCTAAATTTTCATCACAGTTTTCAATTACTCACTTGTAAATACTCGTACACTGGAGTTGTGTTGGAATTCATATAAAAATTCATCAAACCCACATTATCACCAACAGAAGTAAGTAGGTATTTAAATTCTTAACATTTTCTAAAATATATGTATACCGGGTGTCCCAGAGCTTTTAGGCCAGCAGATATCTCAGTCACCTGCAGAAAAAAATTGAAAAAAAATATGTATATCATAGAAGACCACCAGCACTTTCATGTAGCAGAGCAAAATCCACCCCCTCGCGAGTAACCCCTGCGAAACCACCCCTAACTTTTGTTTTTCAAATGGCAACCCCATGTTGTTTGTCGTTCAACTGACAGNAAAAACAAAAGTTAGGGGTGGTTTCTTGGGGGTTGTTTACCAGGGGGTGGATTTTGCTATGCTGCATGAAAGTGCTTGTGTTCTCCTATGATACATATTTTTGTTTTAATTTTTGTTCTGCAGGTAACTGAGATATCTGCTGGCCTAAAAGCTCTGGGACACCCGGTATACATGTTATTTGAAAAATTACTTTTTTTCAACGTTTTTGGTATTTAAATAATCACAAATTCACTGGGAATGATTTTATTATTTCCATAGATTATTTTTTCCTGGATCGGTTTTAAAATAGTTGTATTTTTATGTAGGTATATGTATTCTTCATTCTGTATGACGATGGTTGCCTGCATATTTCCTTCTGAAACTTCTTACCGACAGTTCATGGCAATTATTTTGTGGCAACTTGGGGGGAATTATACTGAAAAAAATAAAGGCATTATAAAATGACGTGATACAAATGTTGACCTCAAATATTTTTCATGAAAAAATGTCATTCAATCCAAAGTAGAACTAATTAAATGTTAGGCTTCGTATCAAGGTCTATATTTATGAAATATTTAAGTGACTGAACTTTTTAGGTGTACATTTTACGATAACGTTTTGATTGTTGAAATCCATGTTCAAATAATCGAATTAGATTTTAAAATGTATCTTGCGTTTCTTTCAAAAGTTTCTTCTGTACTGAATCACGGGTAATTGAAAATATTTAAATATCTAAATATTTCATCTGTAGTACAAAATTTCGCTAACACTTATATTTCTTAAAATCGATTTTTTATTTCGATTTTCTTTTGAACAACCTATCAAAGAGTTTACGTACAGAGCCATCTGCCCGCGAATAGATCAAGCAATAACGTCGATAATTCTGTCCCGAGCTTTAGAGTTACAAACAAACAAACATACATACATACATACAGGTGAAGCTAATATAAAGCGTGTAATAAAATGTTAGGTTTCGTATCAAGGAATTGTAGGGGATTTTCAGATCCATCAACTCTTATATTACTATTCAACGCAACAAATTAGAATATGGGGTATCAATATGTAGGTAAAACATGTAGGTATTTGAATTCTTAACATTTGCTCAAATATATTTACATGTAATTTGAAAAATTACCTTTTTTTGAACGTTTCTGGTATTCAAATAATCACAAATTCACTGGGAGTGATTTTATTATCCCATAGATTATATTTTCCTGGATCGGTTTTAAAATCGTTGTCATTCTGTATGACGATGGTTGCCTGTAAATTTTCTTCTGAAACTTCTTACCGACAGTTCATGGCAGTTATATTGTGGCAGCTTAGGGGGAGTTATACTGAAAAAAATAAAGGCATTATAAAATGACGTAAAATAATATGTTCACCTCAAGTATTTTTCATGAGAAGATGTCATTCAATCCTCATAGTTGAAGTACCATGTCTTCAGCTAATAAAATGTTAGGCTTCGTATTAAAAATTGTTGAGGATTTTCAGATCCATCAACTCTTACATTACTATTCAACTGTTATGTACGCAGCAAACTAGAATATCGGGTTTCAATATGGTGTATCCCTTATGCAACCCAAATGAGTTCCATAGAACGTGTTATTTGAAAAAATTTAGTATTTATTCACCCAGGACTCAACATTGATTACTCAATTCTTCTCAATGAAAGCAATATCATTTCACTGAATACTACATGTATTCTAACGATACCTTTCCTTTATAATTCACTACATAATACCATAAGCTGTGAATTCCTGCCAGCAAAAATTCCTTTTAATGTACCTTGACTAAATAGTAGGCATGCATATATCTCCATTATCTTTCATAATAAATTTAATCAAGACGTTTTCTTACGATATGCAATATTTTCTTTGTAGTATCTAATCCATGTGAATGTACATTTCTATCACATTTAAAACATTTTCTTCTTTTTTATATACAGTGCATTTCTTAAATGATCCCCGCCCCTTTTATTTTTTGAACGGGTCAACTCTAAAAATTAGAATTTGGGATAATGAATGAATGAATACTATATTTTGAAGTGAAATTGACAGATAAAACTTTCAAGATGACGACTGGGCGCCAGTTAAATGGAAAGATGTCTCTTGTGACACATCATTTTGAAGCACCTGACGAATACTTCATAACCCTAGAATATGAAGTCAATATCTTCACCTACTACAAAATGGCGGAACATTCAATAATTTCCTGAAGACAAACACATTAATATCGCTATTTCTAGAAATATTCCTTTTTATCTGCCATATGGCAATTCCAACAACCCTATGAGGTTTGTTAAGTTATTTTTTGTTTATAAAAATGTCAGTACGACAATGAAGATCATTGTTTAGTCAGAATATTCTCATTTACCTAGTTTTCGGTTTTACTAGTAGAAAGTTACCACGTCAATAATCTCTAAAATGGTCAATTCTCATCAATTGGAAGAAAAAATTGAAGCGATTTTTATTTACGGTGCGACTCGTAACTTTCAGGAGACCGAAAATATTTTCAATGAACGTTTTCCGAATCGTCCTATCTGTAGAAAATATTTGAGGGAACTTGTATCCAAATTCACAACTACCGGTAATGTACATAACAAAAAGCCCACAGGTCATACGTCCATTCCGGAAGAACATCAAGTGCAAATAATTGGTAGGATGGTAGTAAATCCTGAATAGTCTACTTATTCCGTCGCGAATGTTTGTGAGGTGTCTCCTTCTACCGTGTGAAGACTTTTAAAGAGAAATAAGTATCATCCATACAAAATTAAAATAATACACCAATTAACTGATGATGATCCTGATCGAAGAACAGAATTCTGCGAAATCATGACGGAAACCTTTTGCAAAGCATCCTAACTATCTCCACAATATTTGTTTTAGTGACAAATGTACATTTTTTTTAAACGGCAATGTTCAGACAAAATTGCCGTTATTGGAGTGACACCATCCCTGACGTTTTTCGGGAGACACATACCCAATATCCAGAAAAAATTATCGTCTGGGCAGGAATATTGGGAAACCATATTGAAGGACTTCTATTTATTGATCAAAATTTAACAGGATATGCTGGAAACTACTGTTGACCCTTTCATCAGTGAAATCGTAGAAGCGAATCCTAATGAATTCGATATGGATATTGTATTCCAACAAGATAGAGCACTACCACATTACTGTAGACAAGTAAGAAACTATTTTGATACTACTTTTCCCGGTCGTTCGATTGGCCGTCGAGGTCCTACAAAATGGCCAGCCCTCTCGCCAGATTTGACACCTTTGGATTTTTTATGGAGCTATTCGAAGCAAATGGTGTACGAAACTCAACCTGCTTCAATATTGGATATACGGCAGAGAAAAATAAATATTTGTAGAGATATTGACGTTACTGTGTTCGAAAAAGTTCGGCGTGAAATACTGGATAGGTTGTTCATATGTCAAGAAGTTCAAGGCAACGATTTCGAGCATCTTCTGAACTGACCTCAAGCTTATTACCTCATATTATGTAGTTAAATGTCAATGTTTTCAGGCAACTATTGAAAGTTCCGCCATGTTGTAGTAGTTGAAGATATTGACATTATATTCTAGGGTGGTGAAGCATCAAAAAGATGTGTCACAAGACCCCCTTTTCCATTTAATTTTTTTCTCAGATGGCGCCCAGTCGCCATCTTGAAAGTTTCATCTGTCAATTTCAATCCAAAATAAAATATTACATATATAATATATATCTATTATCCCCAATTTCAATTTTTTGAGTGAACCCGTTCAAAAAATAAAAGGGGGGGACATTCAAGAAATGCACTGTACATTTGTCTAATTTATACATTTTCTGCAATGAGCAAATACCTATTTATCCAACAAAAAGCTATCTTACGTTGTTTGTTTAACGTTCTTCGACAGTATTCATGCAGAAATAATTGCACCACTCACGCAACTTCAACTGTGGATATATATTTAGGCTTTGCCAATTTTAGTTCCCACTAACAGGAATAACTTCATTCTAAATAGTGATATTCATTGTGAAACCATTCGGCAAAAGCAAATGACACACTTTAGAGCGGCTAAGTATAACTCAAAGTGCTCCAAAACGAATAGGACCTAGAATTTACAACTATTTACCAAAGCAGCCTTTCGTGGTATAAAAAAAGTTAAATCATTTCTGTTAAAAAGATGTTTTTATACTCTTGTCGTCATCTCAGACCTCAAGTGATAGTACCTTAAACTTTACACAAGATGAAGGTGCGATAGTACCTTAAACCTTATACAAAAAATCAAAAACTTGAAGTATCTAGTTTGGAACCAAAAATAATCCACTGAAATTTTACGATGTATGAATGTTCAAAAATTTGAAAATATATCAACACTCACCTTTCAGGGTTGATGTTTTTCAACCACGAGGACTTGATCGCATCTTCAGTTGTTACCCTCTCACTTGGATCCAAGGTCAACATGTTGTCCAACAGTTCCAAAGCGAGAGGGGGCAGACATGCGAAGACATCTCTCAACCTCCTCTTGAAAATTTTTTTGGGCCGGAGAGTTTTAAAAGACGGAAGGTTGACGACCGAGGGCCATACATCCGGAGTGGCAGTACCACAAATCCTCGATATGACGAGAAGTTGCGATACTTCTGAATCTCCCTGAAATATGATGTTCAAATAAAACACTGAATTGATGTAATAATCATAATGGAAAGGGCGTGTATGATCTGTTCGAATCTCTTGGCGCAATATTATGAAGTTCATGAACTTACCGGAAATATGGGTTTCTTGTAAAAAAGCTCTCCCAGAATACACCCACAGCTCCAGATGTCTATAGCAGGTCCATATCTTCGTTGTCCCATCAGCAACTCAGGAGATCGATACCAGTAGCTGACAACATTATTTGTGTATGGCCTCTGTTTATCCTCAGGATCCACTTGTCTGGATAAACCAAAGTCAGCGAGCTTCACTTGTCCACTAAAAAAATTGAATTATTTTATACACCAATACAATTCCTGAACAAAAATATCATGTTTAATTCTAAAGAGATATATTTTTAGGAGGAGAGATTATTTTTTGGGAAAGAAAGGTTACTACCAGCGCTCGATCTAGGAGGGGGCAAACCGGGCAATTGCCCGGGGCGGCAAAAATGAGGGGCGGCAAAATTGAAGAAGGCGCGGCGTCGGCGGCGAAAATTTGAAAGACGGTTAAACAAAAAAACCACACCCTACACCAAAGATGTTAGAATATAATACATTACTATTGACATCACTGAAATTTCACATCATATTATAGTAGATTACAAAAATAAAATGTGGTCACACTGCGCCTTTCAAGCTGTGCTGGATGCTGGATTTGAATAAATATCTTAAAACGAAACTTATTTTGTTTCATTAATATCGGCAGGGAAAATTTGTCTTTTTATAGGTTAAATATAAATTGTACTAAATCCAAAGTTATTGTTTTCGGATCGAAAAGCTCCAGAAATGATATTTAAAAATCTGTAAGAGTATCTAGTGGTAAATGGTCATGCATTTGAGGTTATCCCAGAAGTCAAAAGCCTCGACTTCATTTTAGATATGGACTTGAAATTCGAAAATCACGTTAATCAATTCATTAGGTGTGCATATTATTCGCTTAAAATTATATATGGACACCGAAATTTTGTACCCATGAAGGTGAAATAGATTTGTGTGAATCTTCAGTTTTTTTTTACATTCAATTATGCTGATGTTTTATATGGTCCATGTTCAACCAACCAATTCCAGTATAAAATACAAAAAGTTCAGAATTCCTGATGAATAGAAGAAGAGAAAGAGTAGCACATAAACTGAAGGATGCTGGCTGGTTAAATATGAACGATGATATTCAAAAATAATGACAAATTTAATTTTATAAAAATTCCAATATTCATACAGTGAATACAAGGCCAAAGAAGATCTTCACGTTCCATATGCGAGACTCAAAATTACAGCAAATTATCCTTGTTGTATTGGACCTAGGATATACAGGGTGAGTCAACAAAATTTCTTCGGTCCACTACATTATTTTGGCATTCCAAGAATGAAAGGGAATTGCATAATTTGAACAGTATGGATATTAGTATCAAAATAAAAGACTGGTGTGATGCTAATCACTTATCACTTAATATCTCAAAAACTAGCATCATCACCCTCAAGTGCTCCACACTAGATATCTACCTGGGTACTCAATTAATAGAAAACAAAATGTCAGCAAAATTTCTGGGATTACAAATTGATAAAAATTTGGATTTTGAAGGTCACATAAATAACCTATGTAAAAAAATTTCATCAGGATGCTTTGCAGTCAGAGTATCAGCAAATGAACTGGGCACTAATATGGCAAAAAATGTGTACTTTGCTCTCATCGATTCCCATCTGAGATACGATATCTGTTTTGGGGAATGTGTTACCAATACATGTTTGATAGGGTGTATTACAAAATAGAGGAGTTAGAAATATGTGTAGAGATTCAGGGGTTCCTGTCGGCCTTCATTCAGAAAGCATAAAATCTTGACCTTGCCTTCCATACTTATATTGGAAATGTTATGTCTGATGCAAAAAAATAAGGGACGGAAATTTACGTTTCACCACGACGAAATACCAGAAATAAGCTCAATATAGGTTTACCGATTCCAGTATCATCAAAAATAGAGGTCTTTCATATATAATGGAAAAAAAAATGTTTAACCATTTGCCAAATGAGATCAAAGGCATAACATCTACCACTTGATTTAGAAAGTCTGTAAAAAAACTTCTGATTTCAAAGGCCTTTTATTCTTTAGACGAATTCTATTCAGACAGAAATTTAAATTATATAAACAATTAATTTTAATTATTGTGTTTCAGTAGGTACCTACTGGTATTTAAACTATGTGACTTTTTTAACTTTTTGTTTGATGTTTACATTTAGCTCTGAACTGTATAGTTGAATATGTTTCGTAGTTGATACTTACTGTTATTTTTTATGCATTCACTTTTATATTTTTATGCTTTATAGTTTTTATATTCTCATTGTGAAACCGGTCATATTTTATTCATTTTCAAACAGACATTGTATAAAGTTCTCCATTATAATTTTTATATTTTTTCAGATTGTGGAAGGTAACGATTACCCAAAAAAGTGTCGATAAAAAACTGATTTTTTCATCCACAAAAAATGACTTTCGTTGAACACATAATTCAACTTTTCCAAATGGAACACCCTGTATCTTTCCATTTGTATGAAATGTTTTAACATTTCACTACTTTTTTATAAGAGGTATACTATACGAAAAACTAATATTTTACAAATTATACCCAGTTTTATTATCTGCGAGAAAAATTGTTTTCCCTCGTAGCAATGGACCGAGAGAATCTTGTTGACTAGTCCTGTATAATCAACTTCCCGAAAATATTAAAACAACAAAAAATCTTCAAGTGACTTTCTATTGGAAGAAAGTTTTTACTCTCTAGATGAGTATTTTGAAGGAAAGTTTCAATATCAATTTGTTCTTGTTAAATGTATTTTCATGTACTTTCATTGTGACAACTCGTTTTTGTGGTATTTTCGTTTTATTTTGTATGTACTCTATTAACGAACATTATTAGGAGGGTTCTCGAGAAACTAAACTAGTGGATAAAACTCTTTGATTGAATTACTACTTTACAAAAAGGAATTGATGATCGTAAATCGAGAGAAATATTATACTCGTAAGTTTTTTCGAAAATGAAATGTGTTTTCCATCGAGTCAACATCAGTAACGTATGAATATTATTGATTTTTGAAAACATATACCTACCAGCCTGGCCACGGAACATTCGCCGATGCGAACATTCGGGCGGTGCGAACGGCGAAGCGTCTAGCGACTGAAATAAACGCATAGCAATGTACTTATGAAGCCATGCGCCACAGCGATCGGAGAAGCGACTGGCGAAATGTACGGAGCGAATCGCGTGGGCGACTTGCGGCGCGGTGGGCGAGCAAAACAAGGCATGAATTACGGCGTGAGCCACGGAGTCAAGTGGTAGTTACGGCGAATAGTGCAGTGATCAAACGAGTCCAGTTGTTTTCTGAGTTGTTCACCGAGACTTTTATTGCTGAAATACTAGCAAGACCAGCTATCTGGAGGCCTGGCCATCCACAACATAAATTTAAACATGTAGTGAAGAGATTGTGGGAAGAAATAATGATTGAAAAGAACAAAAAAGACTGATTAAAAAGTTAGAAATTCATTATTCATTCTACGGTCAATTAAAAGTTGGAAGTTGTTTTAGTATTACAAAAAATTAGTGTCATGTAATTAAGATTTTTGCAATAAATAACATAATTATCAGAGTGTTTTTATTATTGAAATATTATTATACAAGGTTACATTTGATTAGCTGATAATATTTTGGGCAAAGATAGTTCCAAATAAATTTAGTTAAAAAAATCCATTTGCGACCATTAATTTCTTGGGAAAAGTTGTTCATACTGATGGATACTATAGGTAATTCTCTAAAATTAAGATCAGCTAATTAAAAATTTCCTTTATACATAGGTATATAGATAAATACATAATGTAGATTAATATAGAAGATGGATATGTATAGGTAGATAAGTAAAGTCAGAAACAATTTTTCAGCGGCACTTAAAGTTCTATTTGCATCAACTTTTTTCTCCAATTCTGGTTAAATATTCATAAGAATATAATCGAAGGTTTCAATACTCCTTCTGGTATACTCAAAATTAGGTCTTCAACCAAAAAACTATTACTTTCTAAGCAATATCGAGATAATTTCGATAGACATTTCGCTGTCGGACTACTGGTCGCGGCGGCGAACGTGACTGCTCGTGGTCCACAAACGATGCCCCGCGAATGTTCGCCTCGCCCCCCGCTTCGACGTTCGCACCGTCGATCCTCGTGGCCAGGCCGTACCTGTTGATAGCGCAGAATATATCAAATGTTAAAAGTGTCAAAAACTCACCGACTGTTCATCAAAATGTTAGTGGTCTTGATGTCTCTATGCAAAATATTCCTATTGTGGCAATAGTTGAGACCTTCTAGTATCTGTTTCATGATTGAAGCATTGTGCAGTTCATTAAAATCAACTATTGCCGACTCCAAGAGACCCTTTAAGTCGTGCTCCACAAATTCCATAACTAAGTATAAAGATTGTTTTGCCTGCAACATTAAGATCAGTAATTCCAAACTCGGAATTGTTACTAGGTATGTTCTCCTTACCTTCTTGAAATCTACAGCATCAGATATCACCTCTTTCAGGTTTACAATATTTTTGTGGCTCAACTGACCGAGAATTCGAATTTCTCTCAAGGCTCTGTTCGGAAATCTATTCATTCCTAATTTCAATTTTATCCTTTTGAGTGCTACCAGCTCCTCAGTTTGTTTATCTTTGGCCTCGTATACGACACCGTAAGCACCTGAAAGTAACATGATTCAGAATGATTCCAAAAATGAGACAGTATTAGAGAGAAGCGGTGAATTTGCGCAGTGGTTGCGCGCCCGACTCACGATCGAAAAGTCGTGAGTTCGATCCCAACCTCGACCAGATATTTTTCTCGAGAGAATTTATCTAGTTGAAGCTAGAATGATTCTAAAACGTTACATGGCTGATGGACTGCGGATAGCCATGATGCTCCCCAAGTGGCTCGGGAGTTATTAACATTGCCTACCCAGGACACGAGGCTAATGACCAATGCTGTCGATGCCGATGACACCCCAATAAAAATATGTTAGAGAGAGAGAGAGAGAGAAATATACTTTGTTGTCCCAAAAGATTTATAAAATATATAGATAAAATGAGTGGGTGTATAAAAATCAACTAAAAAGGCAAATAGAATTAAATAATACATTCTGAGAATAAAATCATATCTGAAATAAAATCATAGCAGAGTTTTATTGTGAAATTCCTCGAGATTATAGAATCCTTTTTTGAGTGGAGCAAAAGTTGACTTCAATCACCTCAGATCAATCAGTATTCTTCCCACTCTGTCCAAAGTTCTAGAAAAAATTATGGAAATACAAATACGAACCTTTGTTGAACAGTCTAAAATTCTACCTCAAAAGCAATGGGGGTTCAGACCTGGTTACAGTTGTGTGAGTGCATATTGACTTCTACAATCCTACTATGAAATATAACTTCAATATTCCTCACCTTCACCAATTTGTTTAATAATCTCAAAGGTATCCAGGTTTCTCAGCTTGGTTGATTTCTCTCTTTTCAGCTTTGGTTTCAATTCCATTTTGGATGGCCCCTCCATTGGCAATTTTACTGACCTCTCTCCTGCAACTTTGAAGATATATTTTGTTTCAGTAAGAAAATGGTGACAAGCAAAAACAATGAAGTTCGAATTATTCAACTCAGTAGCACTTGTGCTAACTGAACAGAACAGACAGACAGAACACTTTTTTTTCATTGTAGTGTGGGCTGGTCAGGCCCTATCCCCCAAAGCCCCGATATATTCGGGAGGAAGGGCCAGCACTATCAACAAATGACCACTTTCCACACCGTGGGGTAAGTGGTCATTGGGTCCGAGATTCATGTGTCCTGAGCAAGCGCAGTGAGCCAAGAATGACACCCTTCTGCATCTGTGCGGCTAAGATTTCTACCTTAGTGCGGCAAGCCGGTATGATTTTAAGATTCGAGAGTAGACAGGACATCATTCCACCAAGGAATCCAATAATCAGAACAACCATCTTGACAGAGTGATCTGTATAGAGTCTGCGGAGTTCGAAGAGAAAATCTCAATATTTTATCCGTTTTTTCCTCCTCTTTTCTGACGATATTCGTCTCACCAGGAGCTGAAAACTTCACGACGAATATCGTTTTGCTCTGTTGGTCGAAAATGACTGCATCAGGCTTATTAGCTTGTATGAGCCTGAGGGGGGGACGAATAGTTCCAATGGTTCCAAATATTATTATTATTATTATTATTTTCACCGTAGTGTGCGCTGGTCAGGCCCTATCCCCCGAAGCCCCGATACATTCGGGAGGGCGCGCCAGCATAATCAACCAATGACCACTCCCCACACCGTGGGGTAAGTGATCATTGGGTCCGAGAATCATGTGCCCTGAGCAAACGCAGTGAGCCAAGAATGACAGCCTTCTGCATCTGTGCGGCTAAGATTTCTGCCTTAGTGCGGCAAGCCGGTATGATTTTTAGATTATTATTATCATTATTATTATTACTATTATTCTAAATTATTGTTGGTGAATATTATACAGGCTGTTTCTTGAACAACCTATTCTAATAAAATATTTTGTTCCTTGGTGATTTTTGAACAGACGCTATGTTTCGAAATTCAACAACACCAAATTATTGATGTAGCCGAAATGAAAGTATTAAAACGAATTTGAAGCCGGCCCTGACCGATATCTCAGCCAGCGAGTAAACAATGACTAATCGCGAAAGAGATGCACTCGACAAGCCCCCGCGAAAAATCTAGGCCAGTGCCGAAACCCCTAGAGAGATCCGGTGCGTTCGTTGACGATATAAAAAGGCCGCTCTCCGTCCCGAGTGGCAGTCAGTCAGTCGAAGTCTGTATCTAGAAAGCGAATCGAGCGGTTAACAAACAGTGAAGATAAATTGAGCGTAAGTTGCTGAGTGTAGTATATAAATTAGTTGGGATATTAACATATTGTTAAAAATAAATTTGTTTAAGACAGTTAATTCTTTAATTCGTTACAGTATGGCGTGCAACAATGAGTTTACAGTAGACAAGTTCAATATAGGAAAGAAAATCAGTTTGAAATCAGATGAAGACTATGGAAAATGATTTGAAACAATTACTTCCAACAACCAATTTCAGAATCATTCTCCTTCATGATGGAATTGTTGATGACTAATAAATAATTAATTAAATTCATGAAAAAGAAGAGGAGTACCAGGAAGGTCTCAATGGCAGCGAGATTAGTAGAAGAGAATAGAGGAAAATCCAGGTGGCTCTACTCAAAAAACTGCAGATACTTCAAAAGTAAGTGATGAAACTTTTTAAAAATTCTACGGGGTCATATGTTATGTTTTAGCTCTTCCTATGGCTGATATTCCTCAACTTATCGCGTTATCTCAACAGCTTCTGCACATATTGCATCAAATTCCTGTAAGGACTCTTTGTACCCATGGCCGGGATTTCTCAAGAAATGTAATGCCCAAGAATGTCCAAATGAGGAAGATAAGTTTTAATATATTTTTTTGTTGAACATTTGGGTTATGATTGTGGAAAACAGAAAAAGTGGGACACAATTCAAGAATATTTTTCATATAAATAATCATATAAAATACATTAAAAAGGGACCAAATATCATAACCAGTTCAAGTACTTTTCCACTCTTTCGAGTTAAACGCCAACTTTTCTCAGTGTATCTGCGAAACAAAACTCATTTCAAAAAACATATGAACAGTATGTTGATTGACAACACTGTAAATCGATTATGGAGCGTCTATGTCGAAGCTTCCCATTATTCATATAAATTCAAATTGATAGATATGCTACTCACTTGGTAGGGTTGAAGAAATGAAGCTGCATGGATCAGTTGGAGGGGACACTATGGATTCCTCACATATCTCATCTTCTCCAGTCATTTCCAGAGAACTATCAGCACTGACAGTACATTCCGAAGTTCTTTCGGAGTAGCAGTCTGCCTCGATAGACCTGTAGTGAAGAAAAAAAAAATTTAAAGTATTTGAGTAGCATACTAGTGGCATAAATAGTTGGAACATTTACAGTATTTTTTCAGAAATAACTCACAACATCAAGATGGGAATTTCAATAAAGATAAGTTCGAAAAAACATCTGTACGGTTATTGAGTGATAATAAGAACAAAGTACTGAAAATCACAAGTGAATTTTCAGAAAGATATTCTTCAGTTACACTTGTTTTTGGAAAAAAACTACACGCAATATCCTAGCATGCAGCGAAACAATCAGTTGGTATGATATATCGATGGATTTGATGAAAATGATAAACCCCAATCAAGAACCTAACGATGTCAGTACCTTGCCAAAAGGAAATAAAACAAGGAAAGATGAGCGCTTGTGCTTCAAAGATTGGTGTCGGTTGATCAGTTTCCTTGTGTAATCAGGGCATTTATGAACTGAAGAATAACATCAAGACTGGTCTAGGCCTGCTTTCTTACTAAGTACCTACACATACAGAATTCGCAGACAACGAAAAGGCAGATTAGTGCACTAGACACAGATCGTCAATTCCATCTTGGGTGGTCAGCAAATGATTCAATGAAATACAGGGACCCTCTAGATCTAGAAGGTAACTGAAAAATTGCTTCAAAAGAGGGGAATGGATGCCCTGTCCGGGAAGTCAATGTGGCCTTACGGACGGGGTCGCCAGACTCCGGCCAGTGGCAGAAATAAGTATGGTAGGGGAACTAAAACCCTCCAAAAGCCTTTGCAAAACATGCCACCGAGGACCAGCCTACCCAAGCTAAGGTGTAAGGAATCGTGCCGACAGCTGAATGGCCGCAGGGTGATATGCGGTCACCAACGGTCACCCTTGGGGAACTGGGCGAAACCTCATTGTAATCAGCCTACCTCTGGTAATGCGAGGCTCTGCCAGAAGTGACCAACTCTTCCCTTGCTCCTAGTGGGAACACACATGAATGAAACAACACAAAAAGAGAAACAACAAAAACCAATCCCGAGGCTGGACAGAAGTGCTCACCTCAATCTAAGGCGGTGGCTGGAGATGAACAGAAATGTCAACCCCATAGTCAACCTGAACATATCAGGTCACCTCCAACAGCAAGGGCACTTCCTGCGGTGGGCGCCAAGAGCTTTGCCTTGAATAAAGGCAAGGAACCGGCTGCCCCTGCAGGAAAGCTCCCTCACTTGTGCACCTCCACGAAGGGAATCCCAAGAAGGTTGAAGAAGCTGCACAATTACAGTAATATTACTGCACCTTCCAAAACCTTCGCGAAAGCCACCGTGAGACACCTCAAGGTTGCCAAAGAGAGTGTGTGTTCGGCGAGTCTTGGCTTACACCTGCCAATATGAAGGAGATATCTCCTAGTGACCTGTTCACCTTCCTGGAAAGGACTGGATGAAGGATGACCTAAGAGGACAACTCCTCGGGAGGATGTACAATGGGTCACATGTGGCCTACACTCACCCTCTCTACTCTACAAATACAGATAACTCAACCCCAGGCAATGCAAAAGCTCGTTGCATTGCAGAGACAGCTCGTTATGTTTTATGGACTTCTGAGGCACTGGATGACAGGAGGCAGGCAATACATAAAATTGAAACCTATGGCGTGGAGTGCGTCTCAAAAAACACTTCCCCATGCCAGAAACAAAATACTGTATCATCTCCTTTACATCATCAGTGTATGGCCAACCAAAAATATGTAGAGAAGAATGGCAAACAAGAGGATAAACTGGTCCAGAGAAAAAGATTGGCTCACTTGAGAGAAATGGACAAGTGGCATAGGAAGTTAAGAGTCTAGAGGCAGATAAAAATAACATTAGATGTCATAAAAAAGCTACATTTGAACTTATGAGGTCATTTTTAGGTATTGTGACAACAAAATGAAATTAACAAAATTCCAAAGAGATAAAATGTTACAAAAAGCCATTGAGCTGAACAATTACAGAGTGTTGAACTCCAAAAAAACTTTCTGCCGGGCAGTGGTGTCGTTTTAATATCCATGTTAGTTTAATGTACTGAACGAATTGTTCTTTTAGATGATTTAAGGTACTTATATTAAAGGAAAGCATAAACATTTTCTCTTGAAAGACACCATCTCTGGGAGAAGGGAAAAATGTCCATGCTTACTCGACATAGTCGTTCGAACAATTAGGTCAAATAGTACCACTGATAGTACCTAGGCAGGTCAAAATAGTACTGTATGAATGCTTTGTTTTTCGTCTCCTGTTATTCCACTGTTGCACTGAATGATGGAAATACAACAAATCGACTTACTCTGGACTTCTTTTTCGTTTGAAACTTTCCAACCTGCGAGTGTTGTTGCTGAAAGAGGACGGAGAAGATCGTAGTTTTTTTCTACTATCAGAGGATCCTTCTTCAGCGGAATGCTTCAATCTTTTGTCGTTAGTAGAGGACTCATCTGGTGACGAACTTCCGTCGCTTATAACGATAGGATCGTCGAGCCCGTGATTTTGAGGCCTCACAGTGAACTCCATTGAAGTTGATTGATTCGATTTGATTGATTTGTTTCAAAATAGAACACCAGTAATATGCTGCAGCCTTCAGGGAAAAAGTTCCACCTATAAAAAAATATGTCATGTTTTTGAAAACTATTACACAGACTGATTTTTGAATATCAAAGTTAAATTGAAATGAGCTTATTACTTTGTTATTATTGAAGATACAAAATCATTTAAATACACAGACTTTTAGAATTTACATGCCCATTAAAGTGCAAGACCTAGAAAATAATCAGATATACAGTGCATTTCTTTAATGTCCCTCCCTTCAATTTTTTGAACGGTTCAACTCAAAAAATTGAAATTTGGGATAATGAAATTAATGCATGAATACTTTATTTAGAAGTAAAATTGACTGATGAAACTTTCAAGTTGGCAAATGGGCGTCATCTGAGAAAAAAAATGACATGGAAAGGGTGGTTTTGTGACATATCTTTTTGAAGCTCCTGACAAATGCTTAACTACCCTAGAATATAATGTCAATATCTTCAACTACTACAAAATGGCGGAACTTTTAATAATTGCCTGAATACATTGACATTTAACTACATAATATGAGGTAATAAGCTTGACGTCAGTTCAGAAGATGCTCGAAATGGTTGCCTTGAACTTCTTAACATATGAACAGCCTATCCGATATTTCACGCAGAACATTTTCGAACACAGTAACGTCAATATCTCCACAAATATTCATTATTCTCTGCTGTATATTCAATATTGAAGCAGGTTCAGTTTCTTACACTTTTTGCTTCAAATAGCGCCATAAAAAAAGTCCAAAGGTGTCAAATCTGGTGAGCGGGCTGGCCATTCTCTAGGGCCTCGACGCCCAATCCAATGACCGGGAAAAGTATTATCTAAACAGTTTCTTACTTATCTGGAATAATGTAGTGGTGCTTCATGTTATTGGAATACAATATTCATATCGGATTCATTAGGATTCGCTTCGACGAGGGTCAACAGTAGTTTCTAGCATATTTAAATACAGTTCCCCTGTTAAATTTTGATCAATAAATAGAGGTCCTACAATATGGTTTCCCAATATTCCTGCCCAAATGTTAATTATATTTCTGGATATTGGGTATGTGTTTCCCTGAAAACGTGAGGGTTGGTGTGTACATTCGTCCCTAAAGCAAATATTGTGGAGATAGGTAGGATGCCTTGCAATGGTTTCCGTCATGATTTCGCAGAACTCTGTTCTTCAATCAGGGTCATCTTCAGTTAATTGGTGTACCATTTAATTTTGTATTGATGATACCTATTCCTCTCCAAAAGTCTCCACACAGTAGAAGGGGACACCTCACAAACATTCGCGACAGAATAAGTGGACTGTTCAGGATTTACTACCATCTCACCATTCCGGAAGAACAGCACTTGCTGTTCTTCCGGAATGGACAAATGACCAAATATTATCTACAGATAGGACGATTCGGAAAACGTTCATTGAAAATCCTTTCGGTCTCGTGAAAGTTACGCGTCGCACCGTAAATAAAAATCGCTTCAATTTTCTGTTCCAATGGACGAGAATTGACCATTTTAGAGATTGTTGACGTGGTACTTTTCTACTAGTAAAACCAAAAACTAAATGAGAATATTCTAATTGAACAATGATGTTCATTGTCGTACTGACTGACTTTTTTTTTTCATTTTTTGACGTTTTTATGAACGAAAAATAATTTAATAAACCTTATCGGGTTGTTGGAATTTCCATATGGCAGATAAAAAGGAATATTTCGAGAAATATCGATATTAATGGGTTTGTCTTCAGAAAATTATTAAATGTTCCGTCATTTTGTAGTAGGTAAAGATATTGACTTCATATTCTAGGGTTGTAAAGTATTCGTTAAGAGATTCAAAATGTGTCACAAAACCCTCCTTTCCATAAATTTTTTCCCAGATGGCGCCCACTCGCCATCTTGAAAGTTTCATCTATCAATTTTATTTCAAAATGAAGTATTCATGCAATTTAATTGTCCCAAATTTCAATTTTTTGAGTTGATCCGTTCAGAAAATAAAAGAGGCGGACATTAAAGAAATGCACTGTATATAATTGGTTTTAAGTATTTCACGTCTTTCTAAATGATTCTTGAGATGGGTGGAAACAGAACAGCAATTCAATTTTTTTCAAATTGCCGACGTTTTGAAATATATTTATGTTTTTTCAAATCTGAATTATATAATTGGAGTCAAATTTACCTATATAATAAATAGAAAGAAAGAAATGCTTATTTTGAAAAAAAACTGGAGATATTTGATATGGCTTATTATCACGTTAATTGAATCATCAAGGAATATAATATGAATAATTTCACCGATAAAATTCATTCTTTCAATTTGCTTGATCGAGGTTGAAATCCTGTTTTTCAATGAAGTGATATGATGCTTTTTTGGATTCTTCTTCGAATACAAACATCTTCATTTTGATAAATTCCAATGTACCCTTTTCCACAGTTCAGACAATTCATTTTATTATCTAAATCTGAGCACTGGAGAAGAGAAGCGGCATCTTCAAGTCGTTATAAGATATTTTTTATTTGATTAATTCTCTCAACTTGTACAGCAATTGATAATTATAATAAAAATAAAAAAATGGCGTGGCAAATTATAAACCAGGCAAAGAATACCTTTACACCACTCAAAGGTGCAACTTCTCTCCAATGATTTGATTTGCTTCATAAAGTGAATTGTCAGAAATGTGAGAAAGGTCATTCTGGAATTATAAAACAATATACGAAAAAAAACACTTTAATCAACATAAAAATGACTGTAAACAAAGATATATAGACAAATCAAACAAAACATCTTCATAAATTGAGTGGGCATACTTGGGACACTGTAAATTAAATTGCCTGAAAGAACAATTCATTCAGGCCAGTCTCAAATTACCTGACACCTATCAGAAAACAACCACTCCCCTGGCTAATACCATGAAAGGCGTTGGATTATATCCGACAGGTGTCAGTGCAGGATTCTTCACTGAAGTTATTCCTGCAATATGCTGTTGGCGATACAACTGCCGCAATAGATTTTCAATTATTGGAACACACTTGCAGACCGGTTGCATGCTGTTTGGCTACTCGTTAGTGCATGGCAGTGTCTATAATCAACATGAAGTCGTTGATTTCCCACAGTTGAAAATCAAATTCCTTCAGAATATCATTTCTCGAACTAGGCTGAAGCGAACAACAAACGACATGTTAGTCATCGCTCCATCTGCCCGTGAACGAGGTAACCAACCGCATATCCGAAATATGCCCAATTCTTCGTATAAAGAATAAATTTCACAAATTGAGTGGGCACACTTGGAGATTAGCTGTAAATATATTATTATATTACTTTTTGGATAATTGACAATTCCATGCAGAACTTTTTATAAGCAACCAGCTACCTGCGCCAGCTCCGCACGGGTGCAATGCTGATACTAAGTATTGAGATATAATGGACTTCTACCACATACATATAAACGCCTACGATCGCTGCTAATCATAAAGTTATTTATAGACACGCGCCGGCGGCCCACCGGCCGGTACCGCCGCAACTACTATGTCCCTGCATTGTAAATATGTGATATATTGAAAAATATTCATTTAAATTACATGCTGTGAAGGGTCATATTGATCTAAATTAAATGCATAATGTCTTTAAGGTACTTAATTGGATAAGGATCAATGCTGTATTGCTTAAAATCGCTTCGTAAATAAGCCATTATGTTTCGACGATAAAAAATGGTTGATGTGGGTTTTAACTAAGGCCGGCCACTCACGTACAGTTCCAACTGTACAGATGAAACCGACAGTTTCAACTGTGAACTGAGATGTACACAAAAGTGCAGTTCAGTTGTCCATTCCTTCAGTTTTTTCCATGGATTCAAACGGGAATGACGATATGGCCATGCTCGGATTACTTATTACAATGCCAGTTCAAACCGCCACACACACTCAGTTCAGTTTGTCATTTCAATAAAAAATATGAATAATTTCATTTCTCTCAGTTAAACTGTACAGTTGAAGAATTCGAGTTGAACTGTAACCAAAATAGTCACACACGTACGGTTTTAAATGTCAGTTGAAACTGTACGTGAGTGGCCGGCCTAAAATATATTCCATCACGGACTTTTTTACACCATTTTATCTGGTTAACTATAGTACATTTTTTATCTATCTCACCGGATTCAGCAAGCGTTTGCAATGTATGCGCAATAAATGTGTTTATTTACGACATCACATTAGAAACCTTCAAAAATTATCAGTGTTTCTCTACTATATTATGCATTTTATATACATAAAAAACTTTCTCTTGAATCACTATATCTATTTAAAAACCCCGCATCAAGACCCGTTTCATATTTTTAAAGATCTAAGCATACATAGGGACAGACAGCGGGAAGCGACTTAGTTTTATACTATGTAGAGATAACTTTTTCGGTAAAATTGCTAATAAAAAAGTCTTTCAAATGGTGCCAACTTAGCAGACTCTCATCAGTATCTCAGTATCTCAATGTGGAAGAGGCCATATGAATTCAGGAAGACAAGATAATACAATAGTTTCATGCATCACTTTCTCATTTTTAGGTAAATCGACTTCAGAATACTGAAAATTTTGACATGCGCTGAGAAGAAAGTTACAGTTCTGGTGACCAAGAAAAGTGTTTTGTTAGATTCAGGCTAGTTTAGAAGTAACAAACAAAAATAATCAGAAGAAAATAATTGACTTTGGTATATGGTCCCCTTTGATCCCTATCGGGATCTTCAGTTGGAGTCTCAGAAACAAAATTGCAAATCTATAATTCAAAAAATCATCGATAAATAAACAGAAGCGAATACTCACTTGGTAACTGCTTTCCAGGAAACTTAGTCGGACAGTTCAGACTGCTGAAAAACACGCAACTTCAACAGAACTGTACTCATTTGAAATATTTTCGAAACTGAAAGGTCCAATGTAGGTATGCACCTTCTTTTGAATTGATTGTGTACCTAGTAATTCTTCAAATGAATTTTGGAACAATGGTGAATAAAATACCGGGAAAAATATTCCCAGGTATGAGAATTTTAATTACCCTCATTCTGAACTCAACAGAATCTTTGGATAAGAGGTTCGAGTACCTACATTGTTAATACCTGTAATAAACATAAATACAACACTTGGCTATTGTATGATTTCTCAGCTCTTATTTTGATGGGAAAATTATTGAATACTACAAGTTGCTGATAAATAGAACATTATGATTTTTCTCCACAAAAAATACTTTCGTTCAATATTGACAAAAAATATGACAATAGAGTTTCGAAATTCACATTTCCTTCAAGTTTATTACTGAATGTCTGGACGTATGAAAGTATCTCTTTTTTGAAAAAACCACAAATCTATGGTGTTGGTGATACTACAAGAATCAGGACCAGGAGTATTTCTCACTACCTGAATATCTGTCTGTTTCTCATAAAAATAAGTTAGATCACTTCTGAATAGGTATATTGTGACTCGATGAAAACATTTCTGTCTGTCTTTTTCATTCCGCCATTTTTCCCTCAATCGATATTATAGGAGTCACTTAATAATTATTTGATAACTAGATTTTAAGGTACATATGGTAGAGGAGAATCATTGTAGGTATATTTTTAATTGAGAAGATTGTCTTTTTATTGTATTGTTTTTCAATACACACCGATATGCTAAATGTCAGAATCAATTCTAAATGTCTAAATCAACTCTTGTCTACATGACCTTTTGTTCTTCTACTTGGGATTAATATAATCCAGAATTACTACAGTACTTGACGAATGTCTCATCAATTACCTTTTGATGCAAAATTATACTCACCTATAGGTACTATAATTCCAAAATAGTTCTCAGGAAGTTTATTTAATGAATAAAACACGTTGTCCGTTATTCTATGACCATTGAGCTACGTGTGTATGATTTAAACAGAAGTTGATAGAATACATAGAATCACAACCTGACAACGATGTTTGCGTTTTAATGCAACAATATATGTGAGAATTCAGTGCCTACTAATATGGAATTTTAGTAGGTAGGTATAGTTAATGGTTTGAAAATGTTTTCAAAATATTTGCAACAATTGTAAAACTAAATTGTCCCGCCTTACGATACACGCCTTACGATTACGCTAACCAAGTTAGCGTAATCAGAATATGATGAGGATCCATTTCTATCTATTGAAATCATCAAATATTTTACAATCTGCTTATTGGGACACACTAATGGTCATCTGAAAGTAATAAAAATAGCCTAACAACTAACCAGGATACATGTTATTGTCTTAACAACAATTCTTATAATATTTACCTGGATATTTCACAATGAATATTATAATCTCGAAATTTTAAAATTTCATTTACCTAAAGGCGAGTATCATCGATAGTACCTACGTATATAATTAAGGAACCCTTTTGCGATTACAGGTATAAACAGTGTATTATTATGTCAGGGTTTAAATTCGTCATTTTTCGTCAGAAAATCTAATAATTATCAGATTTGATTTTCATGTAGAAAAATATGCTTGAAATGTACATACAAATTCAAATCGATCTATAAGTTTCTTGATTAACAAGACTACGCACATGTTTATTCTTCTGTGGGAACTATATTTATTTGTCGTTATGTCGTTAACTAAGATTATTGTGCATTTCAAATTGAATGGCAAATAAATATTATTATTATTATAATTACTCAGTATCTATTTCGATGAACACTAATCAGAAAAGTTATTAGATTCAGTCTCTTTTTTATGTATTTTGTTTAACTACCAACATTAAAAGTTTTTTGGATTGTGTCTTACTTATTTCTGAAATGGTCCTAATTTTTCCAGAAAGGTTTTCTTAATTTTAATAGTGAAAATTGGACCTGAACTTTGTTCATCTTATGAACTCATATTTATTTCTGTCTGTCGCCAGGAATTAAAATATCAGTTCTCTTTTATCGACATTCATGCATATTGGAATGTTTTTCATAATTATAATCTAATCTTTTGAATCCCTCAAAAATGCCTGTGATCTAAAAGTACATTACCATTTTTATGAATTTTGGAGGACATTATATAGGTATCAAAATTATTATTAATGAAAACATGAGCGATGCTCATGCAACGGTTTTTCTGGTTAAAATTCAACAATTTTGGAACAAACTTCGATGCCATACGCTTCATGTCCAAAATTTACGAAAAAATTGCATGGCATGAATCAACCGAAGTTCATTTTTACACAAAATTTGATACAAATTCTTTTATCCATTTTTTTCGATAACAAAAGACTTCTAACTTTTGGAACCCGTTCAGCAAAAAGCTCAGATAAAAGTCGCAGAGATCACCTTACTTCTGCGGAAACACAAGCATAAGCCGATGCATGGGGTCTTTTTCAATAACATTGAAGACCTTGGCTCATCAAAGCGCCTGACGTTTGCTTTTCTCAGATCGAGTGGGCTGAAGTCGGAAACTGAGGGGTTCATCATGGCTTGTCATGATGGTGGGTATAGGGGTTCCTGACACAAGGTGCAGGGCCTGCCGTGAGGCGCCCGAGACCTTAATGCACTTGCTATCAGCCCTAAGAGTGCTATATTTTCATCTAAGGCACTCTTACGGTATTGACGAGACATCGGTGGATATTGAATCCGTTGTGGGGAACGAGAAGTGCCGAATTTATTGGAACTATTCGTTCCCCTCCCTCAAGCTCATACAAGCTTATAAGCCTGATGTAGTCCTTCTCGACCACCAGATCAAAACAATATTTGTCGTGGAGTTTTCAGCTCCTGGCGAGACGGATATCGTCAGAAAAGAGGAGGAAAAACGGAGAAAATATCTAGATTTTCTCTTTGAACTCCGCAGACTCTATCCAGATCACTCTGTCAAGATGGTTGTTCTGATTATTGGAGTCTTTGGTGGAATGATGTCCTCTCTCGAATCTTAAAAACATACCGGCTTGCCGCACTAAGGCAGAAATCTTAGCCTGACAAATGCAGAAGGCTGTCATTCTTGGCTCACTGCGCTTGCTCAGGGCACATGATTCTTGGACCCAATGATCTCTCACCCCCCACGGTGTGGGGAGTGGTCGTTAGTTGATAATGATGGCGCCCACTCTCGAATGAATCGGGGCTTCGTGGGATAGGGCTGACCAGCGCATACTATGGTAAAAAGATAATAATATCCTCCCGTAACTTTTGAATGGAACAAGCTATCGAGGTCGGGTAGAATTCAGGTGAAAAGGTACTACTTTTACTACGTTTTGGCATAAAAATGATTGTGGTCACGTGACCTAGTGTCAAGAGGGCACCATCAACTTTTTTTATGTAAAGGGGCATCACGTGGCTCCTGGTTTTGAAGGCCGTTTAATTATTCAATACCGCTGTGTTTGTCAAAATCGGCCAAGCCGTTTCAAACTGACAAGTGTTTGAAATTTGTTCCAAATATTCAACAAATACATTATTTCAACTATTAATTGCAGCTGAAGTTCAACTCCGTTACCGAATCTGGTCGAAAAGCCAATTTTTTGTGGTAAAATAGGGGTGCAGATTATTGGTATTTTGAATTGTGGTTTTTGTTCCAGTTTTTAATAAAACTAATATTACTGGAGTTTTTTTCCAACACCAAACCGTTATTTTAACACCTTGACAGGTGTTTCGATCACCAAGTGATCATCTTCAAAAGGAAGATAAAACTTCAAGACGAGGATCAGTTTGATCTTCATCTTGAAGATGATCACTTGGTGATCAAACCACGTGTCGAGGAGTCAAAATAACGGTTTGATGTTGTTGTTAGTTATTTTGCTGAAGACACCAAATAGCATTTCATTTCAATGTCAGTCTAATATAGGTTAATATAGGTTTTTGACAGTTTTCATAGGTTTCAGCATTTTTCTATAATTTTCAAATGCCTCGTCGTTGAGGCAGTTATTGTGAATAATCTGCAACAAACAACGAAAACGGATATTTACGGCATCTGTATTTAAATATGCTTCAAAATCAGATCCACCGCAGTATTCAAGAAGTAGTTGTGGCAAATCCAAATGAATTTACCATGGATGTTACCTTTCAACAAGATAGTCCACCCCCTCACTGCTATATACAGACCTGTTCGAGAATGGCTTAGCGAGAATTCTCCGGGCCGGTGGAAAGGCCGACGTGGCCAGCTAGGTCACGTGATATGACACCTATGGACTTTTTTCTGTGGGGGTACATAAAATCTAAGTTATACGTCACGCAGCCACAGTCACTCCAGGAACTTATGGACCGAATAACAGATGTGTGTTACAATATTAGGTACTCCGGAAACATTTAATAACGTTATGAATGAATTCCAAAACCGACTTTTTTTCTGTTAAGAAGTGAACGGTGAGCGTTTCGAGCACTTGTTAAAATATTTGAAGCAAATTTGAAACGCTTGTCAGTTTGAAATGGCTTGGCCCATTTTCACAAACTCAGCGGTGTTTAATAGACTCGGAAGACTTTCAAAACCAGGAGCCACGTGTCCTCTTGACACTGGACCACGTGACCAGAACCATTTTTATGCCAAAAAGTAGTAAAAGTGATACCATTTTACCCGACCTCGATCACTTGTTCTGTTCAAAAGTTAAGGGGAGTGGAGGACTTTTTACGTCCTCACTGATGTATAATGAACACAATGTTGTTAAGGCCGCCATACACTGCAATGTTGCCCGACAATTTTAACCGTGACGAGTAAAATTGTGCGTGCAAAATTGCAGTGTGTTGCGTAGTACTGACAATCTTACTCGGCAATTTGAATTACGGTCGCCACCACAATTTGACACGTACGTGCCAACAGGTTCGTGCAAGTCGACGTGTGTGTGGGCATAGTAATCTCAACCGTCATTCATCGACAGCGAAAACTTGTTAAAAAAAGGTGTGTTTCTTGCAAAAATAATTCAATAATGGAAACAAGAACTTGGAGCAATGATTTAGTAATAGAGTTTATTGAGTTATACCTATAGAAGTCACCCTTGTTTGTGGAATGTAAACTGCAAAGAATATAGCAACAAAATAATGAAAAACATAGCGTACCAGGAATTAGTGACGAAAGTACAGCAGGTAGACCCTGATGCGACGAAGGAGACTGTTAAAGAGAAAATAGATTCCATGAGAGGATCAGTAAGAAAAGAAAGGAAGAAAGTAATAGATAGCAAAAAATCCGGCGTAGAAAGTGACGCAGTATATGAGCCACATTTGTGGTATTTTACATATTTCCAGTTTTTAGAGGACCAAGAAGTTTCGCGTCAGAGCCAATCCAATATTGAAAGTCATAAGGAACTAGCAGAACAGGAACATTCACAACAGGTGATAATAAAAATATATGGGATATTTTCTATGTTTATGTAAGGAATTGTTAATTTTTTTGGAAAGAAACCACCACAATTTTACTCGCCACGGTTAAAATTGTCGAGCAACATTGCAGTGTATGGCGGCCTTTAGACATTGATATACATTTGCAGAAAACAGAAAGCAGCAATGTTACGAACTACCATTCTTATTGACGATGGATATACATTAGATTTCGTTTAAATATTTCCGTTTCAATGCTCTTTTGAATTTTTTCAAAGACATCAGTTTAAAATCATCAGAAATTGAGTTGTACACTCGTGCGATCTGGTATGAAAAAGATTTTTTGAATAAATTATTCACGGTGTACAGGGGATGTTAGTCTTCCTCTGTAACGAATGTTGATATTGTGAACATCTGAACGGTATGACAATTTCTTGTCCTGCCTCTCACCAACAAACTAAACATGCTAAACAGCTGAGACTGGGAAAATATGTTCAAGACGAGTGTACCATCTTCGAAAAACGAAGCCTGTGAAATTTGAACATCCACCTTATTTTTTTAACAAACCTTGTTTGCTCTGCTAAGAGGGCTTGAAATTTGTTTATGAAAAACGTATAACTGCTATCATTTCAATGTTACGAGAAATAATGAATTATTAAATGAATTACTTACCGAAAAGGAGTTCCTGTGTGTTGAGTATATACATATTTTTAAAATATTAGACATATTAGATGCATAATAAAAATAAAAAAACCAAAATAATTGAATTTTCGAGACATCAACACTACACAGAGACATGAACAAAACGAATGGCTTTATCTATGATACTGATAACGTGGTGTCTGTCTTTTTCAATGGTAGAAAAAAATTAGTGTGAAAAAAGCGGAATTGTTTAGGTATTTTACTGATAAAATTGAAATATTCCGTATTGAGACCATCGACATGCCTTCTAGTGTCAACACTATCGTGTTTAAGGATATGTATATTTATTGTTCATCTCTGTTTTTGATTTGTATGGTTGTTTTGTTTCGTGTATTTATTTTTTCAAAGTGATTTTAATTGTTTTTATTCCTGTTACGCTCTATTCTATTTCTCCGTTCATCCTCAAACATAGTTCTTCATTTATGTTCCAATATCACACTCTTCCATGCTTCCTATATCTTTTTTCAACTTCCACACTTTCATTCAAGAATTTGTTTCTCTTCACAACTTCAACCTTTTCCTCTCTAATTGAAATTGCAATCCCAGTTTCCCATCTTCTATTATCTTAATCCCCGATCAGTATTTTCGATATCCAATTTGAATCTTCTCTTACCCTTAGTTTTTTGTTTCTCAAATGCATATGGCATCCCAATTTGATTCTGATTCATGTTAATTTCTCATTGGGAATATCAACATTTCCAGTTTTATACATTGAAACCTTCATTTGATTTCATCATTTTATAAATTATTTTGTTATATCGTTTCATCTTTGTGAATATTTTCTAGAATTCAAAATCAATAAAATTAATTATCGTCCAATTTCTATTCTTAGCACAATCCCTAAAGTTTTTTAGAGCATCAGTTTTGATTACCTTTCTTATGACTGCTCCCCAAGTATAAGGACCCAACAATTCGGATTTACATCCAAAAAGTGAGCTGAACTGGGTCTGATTACCTACGTTGATTTTCTGTCTGATGCTCTGTCTAAGGGTTTGCAAGTTGACTCTGTGTACACTGATTTCTCCAAAGCTTTTGACAAAGTTAATCATAAGCTATTGATCCATAAACTTAGTTTATATGGTGTTGATGGGCAAATATTGCAGTGACTCAAGAGCTATCTTACGGAAAGAACACACATTGTTAGAGTTAATCATTACTATTCTCATACCATCGCAGTTACATCGGGTGTTCCACGAGGTTCACATTTGGGACCACTGTTGTTTAACCCTTTCATCAACGGTCTAATCAGCTGTTTCCATGAAAGTGAAGCTTTGCTATTTGCCGGCGATTTAAAATGTTTTAAAATCATTAAAAGTGAGGCTGATACATTGTGTCTACAAAACGATATAGATTGCCTATCTCACTGGTGTCCGCAAAATGGTATGTGTTTGAATGCATTCAAATGCCAAATTCTTCGCTTTTATCGAACACATCACCCAATCGCTTTCGAATATAGTATAAATAATCGGACCCTACATTCTGCTATTGAAACCAAATATCTAGGTGTGATCCTAAACTCCACACTTAGCTATAAATCACACATTTCCACTGTAATTCAAAAATCTATGAAGATGCTTGGCTTTATAAAGAGAACCACTCGTGATTTCACCAACATCACTGCTATTAAATCTCTTAATTTTTCCCTAGATAGATCTCATCTCAATTATTGTTCCACAGTTTGGTCCCCTCATTACGTTACACAAAAAGTGAAACTCGCCGTACAGTACAATTTCCTGCGATATATTGCCTTCAAGATGCGTGTATAATATGACTATACTGCATTGGAATGCATTTTGAACATACCTTCTCTTGAGGCTCGCAGAAAACATAGAAATTCAATACTTCTATTCAAAATTATCAATGGGCTAAGTATCAGCCCCGAGCTTCTCTCCAAAATATGTCCCCGGTCGACCAATTAGACAGGTGCAAACGTTTTATGTTCCTTTTCACAGATTCAATTATTCATATAACAGCTTTATTCCCAGAACTCTTCGATTGGCTAACTCATTAAATAACCTTCAAATCTTTAATATATCAGTTTTCCGCTTTAAAAACCATATTCTTCACTTATAGCCATATAATAATCTCTGCTTGTGTTGTTGTATTGTGTCAATCAATCAATCAATCAAGATATGCTTTATTGTCAGAAGAACATAATTCTCGTAGACAAAGCTATACAATGTGATATGGTCAAACAATTAGTTAGATTACATCTACGTAAAAAATCTCAATATCTAAATCATAATACTAATATACATAAATTGAGATTTATACATGTTTTACAACTCTACACATGATTTTTATATTCCTATATGGATACATGCTGAGATGTTTTATGAGCAGCCCACGTAGAAAACATACAGTTATTAAGATAATAAGTCAAAAGTGGAGGAAAAATATTCATTAAGGGTATGAGGTGAGATTTCAAGCAGTAGTTTTTTGGACGATTTTCGGAAACGGTTAATGCATGCGCTGTCCTTTATAACTGTCGGAAGATGGTTGTAGATTTCAATCCCATTACTGTAACTTGCCTGTACTGTAACTTGCCTGTAAGAATTATATTACTTCATATAGTTATAGATTTTAATTTCCTCTCAAATAATGTACTTGTTATCTTACTTCGGAATTGTATTATTCTCATACTACATAGCACTGTACTACTCATATCTGAATTGGGCTTGCCCGTGTAATGTATATATAAATAAATAAAACAAAATCTACATACTTTCTTATAATTTATTAATAATGATTTTATAGCAGGCTATCAGTGACCGCCAACGAATGTGTGAATAATAATAACAATTAACTCAAGTCTCGCAGTGAATGAAAATATCCAAGTTAAAAAATAGTTCCTTATCCATTATAAAAACTCTATACAAAATAATACTCATCTATATAACATCAATTTGAAAACGATCTTTTCATAATATTTGCACCCATTGTTAAACCAAATTGTCGAAGTAAATCTGATAACGTTTTACAAACGATCTCCGTATTTAAGGACACTCCTTGGTTATGTTCATCTGAAAAATAAAAATAAGTTACTATTCTCAGAAAGTACTAGAATGTATTGGCAACGATTCAAAATTGAAAACATAATCTGAAACAATACAGTTGTCAATTATTCGATTCCTCAATTCATTCACATCTAGAACAGAAGTTTTATAAAAAAGAGCCTTCAAATGACTCCATAAATACAAATCTAAAAGATTCATATCAGGACTGCGAGCTGGCGAATTTTGAGGTCCTGCACGTCCAATCCAGCGATTAGGGTAGGTGATGTCGAGATGCTGACTTGCAGGAACATTAAAAAGGAGCCCCGTCGTGCATAAATCACATGTTACCTCTTACAAGTACTGACGTATCATTTAACAAAATTGATAAATGATATCGCAAAAAGTCCATGTAGGATTCACCTGGTAGAAAAAATGGGTCAAATAGGTAGTCAGTCACCAATCATTTGTACCCAAACCTTCAGCAAAAATTTTTGCTGAAAATACTTTCTCTAATAATGTGGAGATTTTTATTGGCCCAAAAATGGTCGTTGTGAAAGTTCATAATAGCATCTCGTGACAAATTCGCTTCGTCCGTAAATAAAATATTTGGTAAAAAATTATTCTGTTTAAATCTGTTTTTCCGTAAATGTAATATCGTATGAATCAACCACCTAAAAAACATTAATCTTGGGTGATATGGATATAGAAGCTTTCTTTTTAGAACTGTCCATACGATTTTTGGGCTGACTTCCAGCTGCAGTGCAATCGTCCTGGTACTATTTCAAGGATCTTCTTCTAACGCAGCAAGTATAGCTTCTTTTAGTTCAGGCGTTTTTACAGTTTCTGATCTTCCACCATCTGCATTTTTATTAAAACTCCCAGTTTTTCATAATTTCCCAACCCCCACCCAAAAGTTTCTCAATTCTCAGACCTGCAAGAATTTCTACCGACCGGCCGACAATTTTTTGAGAATTGTGAATTTTTTTGAGAACTGTGAAATTTGGGGGGGGGGATTTTTTCTGTGGTTAATGATTAACCTGGTCGAGATTCATGTAAGGCAGACCCGACCTGCAAGAATTTATTTCCAACTACAAGATTACGAGAGCTATAGAACAATTTGCTGACCTGCAGACCTGCAAAATAGTTACACCCTATTTTACGTTCACTCCATTAATGTATATATGCCGCTTTTTAAATCGGAAACAGTGTTATTGAATTGCCTTGAGAGAGAAGCTTTTTGAAACGAATTTAAGTATTATATTTCTATTGCCACCCACACATTATTCAGTTCAAATTAATTTGCCGAGGCCTGAAAGTTTGAATAATAATTGTATTGTGGTGACCCGTGCCTGCAGCAGCATCTCATTTTAGGTAGGCGATGGTAAGCCATTAGTGTTCTATTGTGAGAAATAAATAAATCTTATTTTAGGCTGTGTATTTGCGAGTAACCATCCATTATCGACGCCCTGTATTGTCCATTTATTAAAGTATGAATCAGTAACTGTTCCATATTATTCAAGCAGCAGTCTTATTTTTACAGACCACCCTTGAAAAACCCTGAGAGAAAAAAATTGTTTGAGCGATTTTTTGTTCAAATTGAACAAAAACGCTGCCGAAACAGCCCGGCGTTTGGCAATGATTGTGTTAATATGAACGCACTGTTCGGCGTTGGTTTGCGAAATTTCGTTCCGGAGATTTTAGCCTCGAAGATGATACCCTAAGTGGCTGACCTACAGTAATTCAGACCTCTCGCCAACCAACTGCCATCTTTTTAAGCACTTCGATAACTTTCTCACCGGTAGAACCTTCACCAATTAGGACCAGATAAAAACGACCTTCTTCGACTTCATCGAATCCCGATCGATGTGTTACGTTGGCAAAAGTGCGCTGATTCAAAGGACACTTATTTCGACTAAACTGAGTAAGTATTAACCTAGATATTACAGCTTGAAATAGTCTCATTAAAACGGAGAAAACTTTTGAAACGACCTAACAAGAACGTGTAGAGTATTTACCTTCAAAAGACAGCTGCAGCTGGTGAATTGACCCAGGATTAACTTTGCAGATTTGTCTCAGCTCTCCCAGCAAGGCATCCAAAGGAGCAGAAATCTGTTGATCCCACTGAAACATATTTTTTTGACACATTATGTAGGTAGCAGTAATATTTTGGAATCAGATTATTCAGTAGTTATTATAGGAGGACCTTCACGAAACGTATGACGGGCCACGATTTTTTCACCTTATTAGATAGACTTCACATCAACTTTTTGCTATCTGTCGTGCTAATGATCTGGATAATTTATCAAGAACAAACATAAGTTTTTTTCGAAAACAAACTGTCGTAAGTACAGTCTGGAAAATCAAGATAGGTATACATACATACACGTACAATCTTATGTGACCTGTCAAAGGAATTTGATAATGTTTCTCATGATATTTTGTTGAAAAAACTCCACAAATATGGAATACGTGGAACAGCATTAGATCTCATCGATTCATGCCTAAAAGACAGACAGCAGTACGTTTTACTAAATAATAAGACATCAAAAACTATAGAAGTCAAATATAGGGTGCCTCAGGGCTCAGTGCTAGGTCCCCCATTGTTCATCATTTACATAAATGACTTACCAACTTTTATTGATACTACTGATGTTTTTATGTATGCAGATGACTCTACCCTTTTGTTACAGGACAAAAACTTGAGCGTGGTAGAACGTGAGTAAGAGGAAACATTATTAAAAATGGAAATCTTTTCAAATTCAAACGTTATGTCCCTAAACAAAAATAAAACAAAGAACATGACTTTCACAAAAAATCGGCAAGCGCTCGACGATGAAACAACAGTTAAGCTACTGGGTTTTCATGTTGATGTTCAACTGAATTGGAAAGTACATATAAATTAAACTCAAAAAAAGCTATCCAAGGCTCTATTTGTTTTGAGAAACATATTTTTTTATTATTAAATATTTTTTTAGTTTGAGAATACTCTTTACAATATTGTGATGTACCTAAACAAAAACTGTTGTATGACTATTGTAACATACTGTTTTCTGTAAAAAAATTTGAAGGTGAATAAATATCTTATCTTATCGGATCTTATCACTTTGTTATTACAGGGGATGGATATCTCGTACACTGTTTCGCAAATTCTCAGCACTTCTTCAATAAATGTAATACGTTTGGTGAATCCATGATCTCAGATTGTGCAGACTTACTAGCAATGTCAGCTAGATACAATATGTCTTCCAAGCCACTAGTGGTGAAAATGAATTCAAATTGCCCTATGTATAGAGTGGGGCAATTTCGAAATGCGAAGGGGTCCAATTGAGTGTCCTCCTTGATAACCCGACTCGAATTCTCTAGACTTTTTGTAAGAACTCATTAAAAATTAAGTATGTCGAACTCCATCAGACTCATTAGAAGACCTGTGAGAACGATTCTTTAAAAGCTTTCGAAATTCAAATTCGTAATTTTGAATGAATTCTATGATTCACTTGAAAACATTTATTGAGTTCGTTTGCAGTTGTTTGGAATATGTGCACCACTTTAGTTGTCATGTGCTATTTTGGAACTGTCAAATCAGTGACAATCATAAAAATGCCTTTTCCAGTAAATTTCAGCTCTCTTCATCAGTTTAAACTCGTCAAATTCTACCATTTTACTGATTTTCATGAAACATAATTCAAATTTCATATGCAATATGAAGAATACATGCAATATGAAGAATACATGCAATATCTACTCCTACTTCTTCTGTGTGTTGCATCGAATTTGTATTCAGTTCTATTATATTTTGACTAAGAATTCGGCTGCAGTTGATTTTATAATCAAAGAGTGTTAACTTCCACGACTGGTGGGTACTGTGAAATTTATTTTTCCGCATTCTTGTCCGCGGTCTGCAGATTGTTATTCCATATGTTTCGTCTACAACTGCGGTAAAAATGAAGCAAGATAACGATGAAATTTAGAAAAGATAGCCTGAGTTCATTTATGTTAATTTCCTCTTCTTGGGCTTTTGAATTTCTGTCATTTTCTAAATTCTCCTGGATAGTAATTCTGAGATTTGTCAAGTGTTTGCGTTTCATCTAACAAGATAACGTGAGTGCCCCATTTGAGTATATGTAAGGCTACACCTGATTTGGTGGTTTTCCCGAGCCGACAATTTCTATTGTGTTCAAAGAGCCAGGTACTTATACTTCTTTTCGTTGTTCCAATGTAGACAGACCTGACCTGGTGTCCCTGAAGACTCTCTGAGGAATTAGCTGATCGAACACTCTCTCTGATAGTTTTATTTGTTCTGAATATTGGTTTCACGTTGTGTTTCTCCATAATTTTCCCAATCAGGTTCAACATTTTTAACATAGGGGAGAAAAGATTTTCCAATAAAGGGTCTCGCTAGAGTTACTTTTGTGATCTCTCTCCTGGGTCATATCGCCCGCTAGATTTCGGCTCAGCTATACTCCCTTGAAGGCATTTTTAGATAGAGATACGTCGATGCTAAACAATGAGCTAACAGGGTGGTTATGTCTGCTGGAAATATTTCACCAATTACCGAGTTTCTTTGACCGGGACTATCGTGTACAAGGAGACCCCGTCGAAGCTATATATCTCCTAGATCTAACCTCACTTCTAATCTTCTGACTACCATACAAAAAACTGTTCGAAACAAGAATTTAAGAACAGAAGAAACAAACATGTACCTGTGCTTGCTTTGTTGAACAAATTTCCATCAGATGGGACATCTGCACATTGGTCTTGTTGATTACCATCTGCTCCAAGTTGTAGAGAAGCTGATAAAGGTAGTTCCTTCCGTCCAAGTCCCCTTCCGTAGCCTCTCTGGGTGGAGTAAGGGATTCATCTGGATGTTTTTGGGGAGCAGATTCATCGTGTGACATTCCTATCATACCTGGCTTAGCCTTGAATGTTGCAGTGGCCAGGGCGTAGGATAGCACTGCTGAGTCGTAAGCTTCCATTTTCAGTACTTTCGATGACCTGTATCATACAAAAATGTAAGTATCTACGAAATTGACGTATTGAGATATTATCAGGGGGTCAAAACATTGCACCAAATAACGACCTCTGAACATATTTTAGATAAGGGAACCCAATCCAACCCTTGGAACGTACTTTCCTAAGCCAAGTTGGCGTTGTCAAGTGATGAACTTAACTAATATCTAAGACCGAACTAGACTTAAGTCTATTTCATTTCCTGATAACCTCAACTGGGTTATTCGAATGGGTGTCGAAACAAGTATTGCAGTTCTCGTGTGTGGGGGCGGTGCTTCTCTTTATTCAATAACAATATCAGTTTTTAAGAAGTAACCTGAATTATCTGTAGCTATCTCCGTACCTTTCAAAGTCAATTTCAGCAGGTAACAGGCACCAGTTTTGTGTGAAAATTGACTAGGAATAAGGAAAGGGGGTCCCGAGATATGGAGGAAAAGTTGAAAAAAATCATTTATTGCTGTAGTTTTTTATAAAAAAAAGATTACACATACACGCTTTTAACGCGAATGCTATTAGTATGCTATTCGTGAAAAACATGATCTTGTTTAAAATCACCCATTTTCAATGTCTAGAATGTTTTGTAACACACAAAACAACGTTATTTCTTACAAGATTTTTTGACTTTGTTTTCAAATTCACTATTATGGAGAATCGTTGTTCCCAGTTGTAATATGTAATAGAAATTGGCATCAACATTTTTAATGCTGTTGTGAACAGTTCTGGGTATTCCTTTTTAATACCTCTCCAAAGTTTCTCGATACCAAGCATTGTTAAAAGTTGGAGTTTGAACTTGACATGAAACCACTGTAAGTTCCGTGGGTTGGACTACTTATCGAGCGCGTCCCCAGGTGGGGGATAGGGGAACGGCCAGGGGTCTGGAGGTCCTGTCCGGAAAGCCAATGGGGTCGCCGGACTCCTTGGCAGAAATAAGTAGGGTGAGGAAAACTAAAACCCCCCAAAAGCCTTTGCAAAACATGCCGCCGTAGCCTACCAAGCTAAGGAGTAAGGAATCGTGCCGACAGCTGAATGGCCGCAGGGTGATATGCGGTCACCAACGGTCACCCTTGGGGAACTGAGTGAAACCTCATTGTAATCAGCCTACCTCTGGTAATGCGCGGCTCTGCCAGAGATTACCAACTCTTTCCTTGCTACTCGTGGGCACACACATGAATGAAACAACAAAAAAACAGAAACAACGAAAACCAATCACGAGGCTGGACAGAAGTGCTCACCTCAATCTAAGGCGGTGGCTGGGGATGAACAGAAATGTCCACCCCAATCCACCGCTTGCAATGAGGCTGGAAATAGCAGATCACCTCCAACAGCAAGGATATACTTCCTGCGGAGGGCGCCAAGAGCTCCGCCTTGAATAAAGGCAAGGAACCGGCTGCCCCTGCAGAAAAGCTCCCTCACTTGTGCACCTCCATGAAGGGAACCCCAAGAAGGTTGAAGAAGCCGCGCAACGACAGTAATATCGCTGCACCTTCCAAAACCTTCGCGGAGGCCACCGTGAGACACCTCAAGGTTGCCAAAGAGAGTGTGTGTTCGGCGAGTCTTGGCCTACACCTGCCAATATAAAGGAGATTTCTCCTAGTGACCTGTTCACCTTCCTGGAAAGGACAGGATGGACGATGACCTAGGAGGACAACTCCTCAGGAGGATGCACAATGGGTCACATGTGGCCAAAGTGCTGTGAGTCTCACCCTCCCTACTCTACAAATACCAGATACCACTTCAAGTGTATAAAATCGGTGAGATCTACTACTGTCTCTTATTACAAAATAATTAAAGTGACAAAATTTAATGTTTATTTTACTAGTTACTAGTGATTTATATGTATGAAACTCAGTCATTAGTATAGTTTTTCAACTATTGTTTCAGAGTTAAAACTGGAGAAATAGCCAAAATATTCAGCCTAAAAAGGGGATCGCAGTGCCTAAAAGTTTGAAAATCCCAGTCTTAGAAGAAAGTTTTAGACTAACCGCGTCCAACTTGGTTTTTTCCTGCACTGATGATAAGTAATACCACGACACCGGTCTGTTGATGATCGACTCGATTGATTTCAGCATGGTCCTGCTGCTGGATGACAGGAAAACATCTGCAAAACTCTGGCACTCTGCACACCTCTTTGAGGTGTGTTGCATAAATGTCTGTGGGATTTAATTCAATGTCCAGCGCGGTACTGGCTGGAGAAGTATTTGTTTTCCGGCGGGCATTGACAAGAACCTACTTTGTCGGTACGTTGGGAAAGAAATACGCATTTTCTCGAACTGAATTTATTGTGATGTTATCAAATTTATGCGGCATTTGAAACAATACTGAAGTTGTTATGCACTGTTTGGAACCTTTGGTGAAATAATGAATATTACTGGAGTTTTATCCCAACACCAAACCGTTTTGATTTCAATTCATTGTTTTCCTGCGTCCCAATTCCACAGACCTTACGATACCTCATGGAATTACTAGAGAAAAATAATTTCAATAATAACGAAATTGATGAATTCGTCTCTATCACTAATTTGTGTATGAAACAAAACCGTTTCCAGGTAGAAGGTTGCTTTTATGAACAACAGAAGGGAGCGGCTATGGGTAACCCTTTGCCCACCTACCTGGCAAACCTGTTCATGAGTAGATTTGAAATGGAAGCCAAAGAAAAGTCAAAGTATTTTCCTAGGATATGGCTGAGGTATTTGGATGATGTTTTTGCGATATTTGTTAACAAAAAATCGAATATTGAGGACTTTGTTTCCTTTTTAAATAACAGATTTCCATCAATAAAATTTACGTATGAATTAGAAAATGAAGGACAACCTCCATTTCCCGAAGTTTTGGTAATGAGGAGCTAATATGGAAGGCTAGAATACGATGTATTTAGTATTTAGGAAGGAAACAAGCACGTACATGTATATTCCTGACAATTCACATCACTGTTGACAGCACAAACGTACTGGGCTGAATTTTCTAGTGCATCATCTTTCGACTTTTCCTCTCACACAAGAGCAAATAGCAGTCATTAACGGTTTCTCGAGGAGTATTGTAGATGATATTATAAGGAAGAAAAAGTTTAGGTCAAGAATGAACGAAATCTCGATTTTTTAAAACGACAAAACCAAGATAAATATATCTCACTTTCACCAATGCACGAATAACTTTGGAAAGATTTTCAAGAAACTAGGTATGAATAAGGTGGTTTTTAAAACAAGTCATACACTACAGGCACTTTTAGAAAATTCAAAGGACAAAGTCGAGAATTCGGAAAGTCTATGGACAGGCTAAAATATCTTAGATAGATAGATAGATACTTACGGAAAGTGTTCAAGTGACTTGGCATGTTTGATTCCATCAAGAACGGTACTTATCAGAAAAACCCGACGGATTGTGGGTGCCCATCGTTTTGAGGTTCATCTCAGTACACCTCGAACTACACATTTTAAGAACTCTTTCATTTGAAGAACTACGTTTATGTGGAATAAACTTCCTGAGAACGTTTTTCCAAATGGATTTAATTCCAAGCGATTCAAATCCAATGTCAATCGCTAATTTCGCACAGGCACCGCTCTTAGAGCGCCTTAATGCTTACCCTGTAGTGCTTGTATTTTGTCCTTAAAAAACAAAACACCCGGAAAATAGCTTCGACACATGTAACATCCAAAAACAGAAATGCAATACTCTTCTCAACGCGTTTCACCACTCAAGTTAGCATCTTCAGGAGATGACGAAAAATGTAGTTTTTGGTGCACATATTCTACGCCAGAGGTTCCAATTCTTCGTTTATAAAACTATAAATTATCCAACTACTCGTAGATTGGTTATGAATTATCCATACTTTGACATGACTACAGAGGGGACCAAGTATTTTTTGGCTTTTCTGTTTATGATTGAATGTGTCGTGATAGAATCTTACAAATAATGAGATTCATATATTGTACAGCCTTCATCCAACAGACAAAATTGCCTTTCATGGATAAAATAAAAAAAACATTTTGAAACACTACGTAATAAGTTAGGAGATTGTTCATGATGAAAGTGGGATTGAATACTAAGGAATACATGGATGTAAATAGTAAATTCGTGGAAAGACTATCTGATTCGGTTATAAAGTGTGGTGCATGAATTCAAACAAGTGCAGACTTGGTGCTAGCAATCATAAACCATCAAGAGCTGCATACCAAATATGGCACATTTTTTATAAAACAATCATCCATAAAATTGGTTTTCAAAATTCAAAACCATACATGTTGACCCAGTCTCTATGGGGTCAACATTTATGGTTTTATAAACATCTAATTATTCTTAACCTCGTGTCATTCACCAGTAGTCATGAACAACAAATCTGATTGAAGTCCCTCAAAAAAAACATAACGCAACAAAATATTATCCAGCAGATTTTTCGTTAAAACAATAAAAAACAAAAACAGTTATGGATGAGAGATTCGTGATTCTATAGGTTTTTTGCGATGTTAGATTCTAGATAAATAGTCCCACTAGTCTTTTTAACTTCACTTATACTTACCTTTATCATCCTTCATCTAACCATGCTCCTAAACCATGTGAATAGAAACTTTACCCCAATTTGTAAACTATTTCTTTTGCTTTAGTATTACTTTTGGAGAAAGTAAGTTGAATGCATGTTTAAAGAAATGAATTCTTTGGGATAAGTCAAGTCAAGAAAATAAAAGGTAGAGTATGGTTACAGCACAAGGCTAACCCAATAAAAATTCATGTCAATTGAACTTGTCTCCAATTTATGGGTTCGAGGTAAATTGAATATTTTGTAGAGGAAACTTACAATTCTTTAATCTGAAGCCCTTTTTCAGACAAATCGTGGACTGGGTATATTATATAAAGACCAGTATTATGGGGTTGCTGTCAGGTTTTGAGAGCTATTCAAAGAAAACTTTTTTTGTTAAGCTTTCGAGGGTACTTACCACCTTCCTCAGAGCAACTGAGTATACTAATTAGTATAATAATAATAATAATGGTCTTTATTGGGTGAAATAGAACGTAACATCCAAGAGGCGAAGTTCAAAACTGCAGTTTAGAACACTTCAGGTTTGTTCTACCACTTAACCTTAATGGTTTTTGTATCGCAAACTGATTGAAAAAGAAATTAAGTATGTCTATGAAACATTTTTTTGAAGGAAGTAACTAACAGTGAGAATAATTATGTGCATTTATCAGAACCATAAAATGGATTTTAACAATTCCAATACCCTTTGTAGAGAATCAAACCAATTAGAGTTTTTCTGGAAATGGTACACATCAATAATGACGATAGATCCATCAATAAAAGAAATTTAAATAATCTCCGCCAAATTTATACTTACATTCTAAAATATCAATAAAAAAAAGTCAAGTCCTCTTCTAATCAAATTTTCCTCCTTGAAATTGTCACCGTCAGTCACTTTCTTGAAAAAAAAGTTTTATGTTTTGTAGAAATACTTATTTTCTTTTTCAGTCACACATTAGTAAATAGATCAGTTTGAAGTACAAAAAACATTGTTAATATATTTCAGTTGTCCTGAGGAAGGATCTGGTGTACCACAGGGTTCTGTATTAGGCCCTATTCTATTTCTGCTATATATGAATGGCATCTCTATGATTGACATATCTGGTAGTTTCACTCTATTCGCGGATGATACTACAATCAGTGAAGCTAAATAAAATAATATCATCCGACTTGAAGAAGGTGAAGAGCTGGTGCGATGCAAATTTACTCGCTTGATGAAATTTCATATGAAATTTTCATATTACAAAATAAATTAAACACAAAATGTCTCAGTGTAATCATTGATATTAGGCTGAAATTTGATGAACACCTTAAACAACTCAAGAATAAGATCTTCTCCGGATGTTATGCAGTTAGAGTGGTTTCAAGTGAGTTGGGTTTCCATATTGCAAAGACCGTTTACCATGCACTTATTGAATCTCGACTACCTTTTTGAGGAGCATGCAACTCATTCCTTCTCTCTTCTGTATCAATATTACGGAAGAGGGCACTAACATGTCTCTGTAAAGTCAAACCCAGATAATCATGCAGGAACTTGTTCACAGCCAATAAAATTTTAAGTCACCACAGTTTTTATCCTAGAGACGGTTTGCCTTATTTATAAACATATATCGAAGTTCAACTTTGCTTTTACTCCTTATGCTACTCGTAATAGCAATTATACCTTTAGACTTCCCATCCCAAGTTCGAATTTATTCAAGGATTCCATATACTATATTGGTGGTAAGTTACTCAATTATTTACCATTAGAAATGAGATCTGCAAATCTAAACAACATTCATTTCAAAAAGACGCTGAAGAACCACTTGATAGACCCTATTATAGTTTGGAAGAGTATTTTAGCGAAACCTTTTAACAATAAACTAACAATTTATTCTTTATACAATCACTTGAAAAATGGGGGTGTTTTATATATACAATTTTAGATTTTTTTTAAATTTACATTTATACATTTTTGGAACTTTTTTTATGTCTACATTTGTATTTTTTTTAAACTTTTTCTATGTATATGTTGCATTTCTTGGACTTTGTCAATAAGATTCAAATCTTCGGGCAATGAAGTATATTGTGATTTGAAGCCCTCAAAACCTGACTGCAACCACAAAATACTGTTCTTCATATCCAGTCAAAATTTATTCAATTCAGAAAAATTCATTTTTTTACAAAACTTTGAGCCACCTATGTAGTTTTTTGACTCAAGCATGCCATCCAAAAAGAAAAACAAACTAATAGTAAGCTATATTATTAAATAGGTAACGTGATGAAATAGTTTACATTTTAGATATTTGGAAAAATTATTGAAACACGGAAAACATGTTCATATATAACGAGTAACAGTTGTGGATGAGAGATTCGCTTTTCTAAAGGTGTTTTGCAAAGTTAGATCCTAGATAAATAGTTCGTCAAGCCTGTCTCACTCAACTTATACTTACCTTTATCATCCTTCATCTAACCATGCTCCTAAACCATATGAATAGAAACTTTACCTCATTTGTAAACTAGAGGAGACTTCTCAAGATATTGTGTGGTAATAAATAAATATACTAATACATTCATCTTATTAGACTTCACCATTCACAAACTACTGTACTGAAAGCTATGTTTTTTTGAAATGAGGCATTTTGTACTCTTCAAGACTTTTTTTTTATATTCATCTGGAAAAACCGTCATTTTTTTGAAAGAATCAATTCAAGTTATTTCTTTCCTTAGTTTATTACAAAAATTTGTGAAAATTAACGGAAATTACCAATGATTAATTTCAGTAAGAAAGTAAATTAGGTCTTGTTTGATTATTGTTCATTTTCATTGTCGATAGATTGGTTAGCAACCTATTGAAATCCACCTCCCAGATAATACTTGATTTGAGTAAACACTGATTTAAATGAAAGAATAAATTGGTAAATAGTTTTATGCTTTTATAATGAAAATAAAAGCCCCCTTTTGAAATAAAAAAGACCATGTAGTTTTGATGATCAAAATTATGGGGTAAAGTTTCTCTACTAAAACGGCATTCCAATTCTACCAAAAATAACAAAGGACAAAAAGAAAGGACAAATAAAAAGCAAAAAAATAATTTAATCCCATTTATTTTGAATTGAAAATAAAATAATAAACATATATACAAACATCAGTTAAAGAACAGTTTAAATTTGCTACCTATTATAACTTACAGATATGTACAATAAATTATATTGGTTGAATTTATATATTTATTCAAAATGACTATAATTTTTTCAATAAATATTGTCACAGTATCAAAGAAGTCGCCTCGATCCATATTTTTATTGAAAAAAGGCACTCCATATAGGCAAAAGGCTCCCATTTAAAAAGATCATTTCAACTTGTAAGGTGCTCTTACAAATTAATATATATACAATGAAAATAAGGTCAACATGCTAAAAAAATATAATGTAACCTTTAGCACCTTAGTTTCTTTTCTTTCATATTCTACAAAGTCTATACAGAATTACTTTTTGTGTTTGGGAAATACCAGCAAAAAAATCCATAATTAAAATCTCAATATACAAAAATATGGACTATCAAATAAAAAAAAACTGAAAAAAACGACCAACACAGCATTCCGTGATAGATTCTGTCCAAGGATGCAATTAAAACATTGATTTCCGAGCTGTTTCCATGGCCACACTACTACCATGTCCGCTCTTACACCTCACTACCATCAAACTAGATATTTAATTACCGAGCGACGTTTTCCAAAGAACTAACAACTCAGGGTTGCAACACAGCACCAATGAAAAACTCACCCTCCTCCGTCCATGGAATCTTCCGGTTTTACCAAAGTCTTATCTCCACGACCAATTTGAACTGGTTTGCCTGGAGGCAGGTTCTGCATCGATTCTGCCTGTTCCCGTATTTGTCGTTTTCGTTTCTTGCTCCACATTTCGTGACAATCTTGCCATGTGGGCAGCTCGGGGGCGGATATTCTAGAAGAAAAAAAAACGTTCAAGTTCAGTTTTTTAATAACGTTTACACAAACACAGTAAATAGGTTCCTTTATCTGAGATGATGAAATTTTTTCGGTCGTCATTACAATTTGAAGAATAACCTTTCATCAATACACAGGGAAAAAAATACGCAGTTGATGTAGAAGTAAATTACAAGTAATTTATTTTCTTCCAAGAAAAAAGTTGAGTTAATAATAGAGTAACGTAACCACTCTGCTGCTCTTCTATTATAGATCAAACATATTACTAACCGAAATAGTAACAGAAATGAAGTTTTTTGGCTTTCTACTTACTTCATAATTCAAGGAACTTACATTGTTTTTTGTTTTTTATATGCATCTCAAAGGCCAAGCAATAATGTTCAACCAGACAATTGAAACCTCTCAATTATTATTACTTTCCTATTTGCACTTAGGTTTCAAAGCCCATTTCGATAAAACACAGAAATAATATCTGTAATCCTTGTGTTCATCCTTGGAAGTATAATAAGTATAATTGAGCTTGTCTTCTACTTGGGTACTACTGGAAAATTATCAAATAATTCACCAGTGACCATTTGTAGAACATTTATTTTGACCTTAATTTGACTGCAGTGTGAATAGAAACCACAGTACAGCTTCGAAAAGGTCTTAAAACCCATCAAAAATATCCTCCACAACTACTCGGTATTAGTCAGTTCAATTTTTCAACGAAATCACAGAATTGCTTGAAAACTGATACTCAAACTTAAAAAACTAAAAGAATCAAAAATAATTTACTGTTCGGGGTTGATGTTCTTCAACCAAGTCGACTTGAGAGCATCCTCGGCCGTTATCCTCTTATCGGGGTCCAACTCCAACATCTTATCTAACAAGTCCAATGCAGAAGCCGACATGAATATGAAATCCTCTCTCAATCTCCTCCGATGAAGCTTGTTGGGTTTCAGAGTGTGAAAAAGTGGTAGTTTGATGACCGAGGGCCATACAGCAGGAGTGGGGGTACCGCAAACCCTCGATATCCTGTCAAGTTGCATCAACTCGGAGTTCGCCTGAAATTTGACAAGAGGAAAAAATTTCAAAAAAGGGATGATGTCGCACTATACAAATGAGCGGAAAAAGTTAAATAGATATGCTTTTTTGTCTAAAATGGTGACATTTTGTCGACAAAGTCAATACAATTCAATGAATAGTGTATGTACATACTGAAAAAAGAGTATCATTACAAATAAAAAAATGCAATTAACAAAACTGAGATCTGATTCTACTCATCAAACGTGGTTGAATGAATTATTCTGTATAATTTCCGAGATTACTTATCAGGTTTAGGTATTTATTGCCATAAACTCACTTGAAACAAGGGTTTCTTCAGAAACAGCTCCCCTAAAATGCAGCCGCAGCTCCATATGTCGATAGCAGGTCCATACCTTTCTTCCCCTAGTAATAGCTCAGGTGGTCTATACCACAGGGTGATCACCTTATTGGTGTATGGTCTTTGCCTGTCTTCGGCATTGTAGAGCCTCGCCAGACCAAAATCTGCCAACTTGACTTCCCCTCTGCAAAAAAACAATCATAGTACCTTTCGATTTATTGTTTTCAATGTCAACTATCTACAAACTCTTGTAAAACAATATGTCAAAATATTGCTCTCAAAAGCAACCTTTTTCTTTAAAAAATTATTTAAATACTTAAAAAAGAGGAATGAAATAATGCATTCAACATTTAAAGGGATTCGTTTCTATTTCACCATTTGGCAACATCGGTTATAGCTAATAAAGGACAATGAATCTGTTACCTGTATGAGACAAACAAAGATAACATATTTCAGATGCGTGCTTCTGTTTACTTATGTTCCGAGTTCCAAGACATTCTGTGACATATGACATTTTGTGCACCTCACCTATCTTCCTCTAAATAAATAAACAAGTTTACCAAACTTGTTACTTACAAGTTTACTAAACTTGTTACTTACAAGTTTACTAAACTTGTTACTTACAAGTTTACCAAACTTGCAAGAAACCAAACCTTGCATAATGCTTAAAATCTAGAGATTTCATCTTCAGCAATGTCAAGGTTAAAACCCCATTCAGATTATTGAAAGGAATTATCGCAAATTTTCTTTCAAAAATATATTAGGAGAACAAAAGTTTGCTCACTATTATCAATCATAAAGTGTCTCCATAGCATATTAGCCCGGTCAAATTGGACTAAAAAATAAGAGTGAAGGTACATAAATTTACAACAAGCTACAAATGCGTGTAATTGTTCAAAACATAGTTAAACATAAGATTTTAAAATTCCAAGTCAAATTCCAAGTCAAAAAGTTGTAAATTTGTAATCGTCATTATATGCATAAGTATGCCACGTATATACATCTCTGAAGTTGTAATTTAAAATAAATACGTTCAGTATGTACGTAGACATTTTGGTGCCAGAATTACGGTCGTATTTGATGGCTATGATGATTGCACGAGAAATTTTAAATCTGCAGAACAACGTCGTCGAACTTTAGCAACATCTTCATCTTCCGATATTCTATTTGATGAACTTATGACAGTTCCTACCAGTCAACAGAAATTTCTTGCAAATGCTCGCAACAAATCTCGGTTCATTTCAATGTTGAAGGATAAGTTTATTGGCGAAAATATATTGGTTAAACAGGCTAATAACTATGCCGACGTACTGATTATTGAAACAGCTATAGAGCAATTCAATTTGACAAATACAACTATTGTTGTTGGTGAAGATGTATACTTACTCGTACTTCTTACTGCTCGAAGTCCACCTGAAAAATCTATTTTCTTTCTAAAGCCAGGAGAAGCTCAAAGTCAAACCGAAATATATTTGTCAAAAAGTTTATCTACTTTTGCAAAGAGTCAAAATCATGTGCTATTTTTACACACAATAACTGGCTGTGATACGACGTCTGCATTTTGCAGGAGGGGTAAAGCAACAGTGTTTAAAATGTTTGAAAAACAAGATTCAGTTCAATGTACTGAAGTTTTCAAAAAAAGTAATTCGACTCAACATGAAATTATCACCAACGGGATTCAGTTTCTTCTTTCTATGTACAAAGCTCCGAAAAAAACCACCTGCTTAAATAAGTATCGATATGCATGTTTCGTAAAAAATACTAAAAATAAGAAACAGGTGCAATTAGCTTGTCTTCCTCCAACCTCAGTTGCTGCTCATCAACATCTTTTCCGGGTATATTACCAAGTTCAAGTGTGGCTTGGTTATCAGCTAGACCCAAAAGACTGGAGTTGGAAGTTGGTCGACAATGCATTAGAACCTATTCAGACTTTACTCCCACCTGCGCCGGAAAAACTGCTGAACACAATTTTTTGCAACTGTAAAAAGGGATGCAGCGCTAAACTTTGTAAAAAAGTTGGACTGTTGTGTTCTCTGGCATGTACACATTGTCAAGGCCAGTCATGTTCTAATGCTGAATCACCAATAGTAGAGGATTCATTTGATACCAACGAGGAAACATGCGATACATCACTCTTGACGCAGTTTACCTACACCCAGGATGAACATCAAGAAGAAAAAGAAGAAGATCACGAAGAAGAACGACAAGAAAAAGTATTTGAAGGTTATGACTCACATTTAGTCAGTTGTGAAAGTTTTCTCTCCTTATACGAGGAATTGGGCAAATTTTGGATATGCACTTGGTTACCTCGTTCACAGGCAGATGGGGCGACGACAAACCTGTTGTTTGTTGTATGCTTCAGCTTAGTTTGAGGAATGATACTCTGACGGAATTCGATTTTCAATTATCGAAAATCATCATCCTTATGTTGATGATATACATTACCTTGCACTGACGAGTGGCCAAACAGCCCGAAACCAGTCTTCAAGTGTGTTCCAATAATTGAAAATCTATTGGGGCAGTTGTATCGCCAACAGCATATGCAGGAATAACTTCTGTGAAGAATCCTGTACTGACACCTGTCGGATATAATCCAACGCCCTTCGTGATATTAGCCAGGGGAGTAGTTGTTTTCTGAGAGGTGTCAGTCCATTAACCTTCTGTGTAGGGAGTTGAGACTGGCCTGAACGAATTGTTCTTAGATAATTTGGTTAAGACTCAGATGAATGAATTTTTACTTTTTTTTTAATTTCAATAGTTTTTATAATTCCCACCCCTTCCTGATATATTTTATTATGCAAGTTTTCAATTTGACAGAATCACAACAGACAACGCGCTAAGTACACTACCTCATAGGTGGCGTGGAAATGTAAGCATATAATGACGATTACAACTTTTTGACTCGCCGTATCTCAGAAACAGTGGCTCTAAGAAAAAAAAGTATTGAAACATTTTTTGTAGAGAATTTCATGATCTACAATTTTTATCTGAGGTTATTTTATGATAAAACTTACCGTTTTCCTGAAAATCGCGAAAAAATAATATTTTTTCGAGATGTTTGACCTTTGACCTCGAATAATTTTTTTTCAGGCATCTCAATCATTCGGAATTTTAAAATCTTATTAACTATGTTTTGAACAAGTACACGCGTTTGCAGCTTGTTGGAAATTCATGTACCTTCCAGTGTCTAGATTGACCGGATTAATAAAACTTAAACTTACTTGTTGTTCATTAAAATGTTACTGCATTTTATGTCCCTATGAAGAAAATTCTTCTTGTGGCAATAGTTCAGGCCATCCAATAGCTGCTTCATGATGCAAGCATTGTTGAGTTCATTAAAATCGACCATCCCAGATTCCAGAAGGCCCATCAGATCATGGTCCATATATTCGAATACCAAGTAAAAAGAACCCTTTTCCTGCAACACCCAAAAATCCAATGAGTTTTGATAAAAAAATTGAATTTCTATCGAGACCCTTACCTTCCTAAAGTCTACAGCGTCCTGTTTGTCAGTTACAATCTCTCGCAGATTAACTATGTTTTTGTGATTCAGTTGCCTGAGAATTTTTATCTCTCTCACCGCAGTGATGGGAAATCCTTCCTTTTCGTTCTCCAGTCTTACTTTCTTGAGCGCTACCAATACATTTGCTTGATTATCTTTGGCTTTGTAAACCTGACCATAAGTACCTGTGAATCATTTGACTTTTTGAAATAAATACTTGATACTTGATGAAAATCCATTATGTATTCAAAAAAACACTTAATGTGAGATTTTCTCTTGAAACTTTACAAAACCATGACATGTGTTTCTCTATGCAATAGCATCTTCGGTATCACAATATGTGACGCACCCAGAAATTATCATCCGACTGGACCGTGGATTAGGTGGAAAAAGATAGTAACTTATATTGTTTAGTATAAAATGGTTAACAACAAATGTCACAGTTTTGAAAACCTTCCAATGTAAAAATCTCCCAGTAAAGTGTACCAATCAATTAAAAAAATAATTCAACTCAAAGTTTTCACAATAAAAACTTCCTACCTTCGCCAATTTGCACGATGACTTCGAACATATCCACACATCTTTCGCCCCAATCTTTCCCGCTGGTCTGGAAATTTCTCGAGCCTTTCCTTTTGAGAATGGTCGGCCTCTTCGTAGGCAGTTTCGGTTTGGGAGGTTTCACTTTTTCTATAACGACTGGAATATTATTTCTTGGAGGTGTGACAGGAACATCTTCATCGCCGCTAAGCTCTTCCGTTCCAGGAATAACTGGAATAAAATCTATTTCCTTAAACCAAAATGAAGTCAACTATTCATTGATAGATTGTTATTACATTGATTGATTGATATGTGGTAAAATTACATCACCACATGTAAAAATCTTTGCAATCTATAAAATGCCCTTATCAGAATCAGAATCAGAATCATTTTATTCATCACAAAAGAATACACATTGTGTGGTGAAAACTACAGAATATGTAACTTATCGGACTAGTCAAACAAAAAAAAAAATTGTATATAAAGTAGATTGACTAAAATTTAGATGGTAATGATTTGCTGATTTCAATATCCTACATATTGTTTCATTCTGACCATAATTGGTTCTACAAAAAGGAATTTTAAAAATATCACTATTTCTGGTTCTTCTATCATTCACAGAGAGAGTAGTACAAAGCTCAACTATTTCTGGAGAATCAATATAGCCGTTTAATACTTTGTGGACAAACACAAGATGAAGGATTCAAGACATATTTTTGTGGAGACTCAATATTTTCTACTGTTTTTGGGTTTATAACCTAATCTAACCTTCCACATTATGAAAAAATAAAAGCTGAATCAATAGATAATCCGCTGAAGTGTAATAAAGGGTGAAAATTTACTGCATAATATTAACTACCGAAACCGACCAGTCAGTAACTTGTCGTATTAATAAATTTTGTCTACAAATTGAAAAAATCAATTGAAAAAATTAAATATTAAGACTTAGCTTTCCTAAGTGGTTAAAGGCAAAATTTATGAATACGGCAAGTTATTAACTAATTAAACTTTTCAGTAGTTTATATTCTAGTATAACACAATTGTATGTAACAATTATGCTAATTTTAAAGAAAGATATTAAAAAAATTAGCTTCTCTATAAAGTAAGCCATTTTATATTTTTCAGAACACAATATTCAATAATTTTATTGTTCAAAGCCAAATTCTCTTTTTTATGGTTCTGTTAGTGGTTATCGCCATTAAAGAAAACTTTTCATGATTTAAATTCAATTTATGATAACTTAACCTAGAGGTAAAAGTTTCTTTACTTTTGATCAAAAAATTAAGTAATGTTGTGTCATCCACATATAACTTAATATTACCTTTTAAAAATAATTTCCAAACAGAATTCATGTAAATCAAAAATAAAACTGGACCCAAAATAGCCCCTTGTGAAACTCCGCAAGTGATAGTTTTTAATAACCTGGCATATTTTCCTAAACACATAAACTGTTTACTCTCAGATTAGATAATGTTCACAAACCATTTATGAATAATCCCTCGAATACCAATGCTATTTAATTTTTTCAATAAAATATGCTTAACTGTGTCAAATGCCTTTGCAAATCAAGAGACAATAGTCCACATTTCATATCTATCTTTTTCATAAATATTTATTCTCCAGAGTTTATTAATAATGATGAAAATTCATTTCTTCAAGCTGAAAAGACATATCTTTCTATACTCTATCTCTCTCTCCCCTAGCACTTTCTCTCTCTTTCTCTCGTGTATCTCCCTTCGTTTCCAGCCTTTTCCTAACAACGACCTTCATACTCAATATATTATACGAAATCTATATTTTAACCTCTTCACCTTTAAAATATTAAAAACAATCAATATATTTGTAACTCACCTGGTGGCATAGGTAAATCCTTGACCCCTTTTCTCGGTGGAGTCTTGGCCCTTATGCTGACTGGAACAGGTGGCAAGGGACTAGGCGTCCGACTAGGAGGAGAAACGATTGCTTCCAGCTGCGTTTGATCTATGCCGGGAGGTAAAGGCATTTTAGTAACGCTTTTCGTCTTCGGTTTGGGTATTTCTACTGGCTGTTTCTTTACTGGTGACACTTCTAATGGAACAGGAGGAGCACTAGTGAAGTTCATAGATGGGGTTACAGACACGGTATTATTTACAGGTAATGGAGGAGTCTTGGGAGCAGGAGGGCTTTTTGGTATTTCCATACTGGTTACGTTATCCCCTTCGGGCAGCTGGATATCGTTCAGCTGATTAGTAGGTTCGCTATCAGGAATTGGAATATCGTCGATATCCATGGGCACGGGGTTATCAATAATATCCTTGCTATCTGGAATCATAAAAACGTTGAATAGCAAATAATTTAAAGCACCACAACTGATTCTCACCATTCTTTTGGGAACTATCGGTTTCATCTATACTAGAACTCCGTTTTGCAGCATCCGCAGCTTCTGAATTTTCTTTAACCTCGGAATTATTCTGTTCAATTTGTTTGGACAACTTTTTCAATTCCAACTCCCTCTGGTACTTATCCTTGATTAATTCCGCAAATAAACTTGTGTCTGTGATTTTGTTTTTCAACTGTAATGATCTGAATGAATGGGGAGAAGGACTCCTCCTATACCTATTGTAAATAAAACAAAAATAAGTTGAAATAGCCAACTGTAACTATTACAATTCTCAACATTTTTGAAAAATTAATTTTATTGACAATGACAAATGTTATTAATGAAATATTATTCTGAATCATGCCATTAATAAGTATTGAACCAGTACAAAATACTAAAAATGTGTGCACTTCATAGTTAGTTCTTCATCAATTCAAATCACCTGCTTGAGAAGGTTTTAGATAATACTTTTTAATTTATACTGATACTAAATATATGCAATATTTTCAATATCCACAAATGTTAACTTATCTCTTTTATTCTGGGTCATATCAGCTAACAACTATTGACTATCCATCTGAAAGATTATATACACTTCTCTGATAATTATTTGAAAAATTATGAAAATTCTCTATTCTATTCTATGGGATTATGAATATGTATTTAAGAGATTGGAAGATTAATTCTAGATGGTTAGAAACTACACTAAACTTTGAAATCTTTTGGCGTGTATCACAACACAAGGATCTGTGCAATGTGAAATTCTATTCTTTTTTTTTTTATATTTCAATGGATGGAGTTTCATTCCAAAAAAAGAATTCTTGCAGATGAGTCCTCTACATTGACTTCATGTAAAAAAAACTAGTACATAAATAGAGAAAATCTCATAGGTGAGATCAGGAAAACTTTGTGGATAATCTCAAATCATGTTTCTACAAATCTATAAATTATGCAACTAGAACATACAGACAATTTGGAACTTATACTGAAACATATTTGTTTTCAGTTTCAATACAATTTTGCTAATTTCGATTCAAAGAAAAAAAATTAGATCAAATCATTATTCAGTAAATCGAAAAATCACTCACCTCGGACTCCTATCCCGTTTGGGGCTTCTTGACCTATGTTTCTTTCTCCTGGACGGCGACGGACTGGCGTAATGCCTACTCCTACCGTAACTTGAAGACCTAGACCTTCTCCTAACGACTGGACTCCGACTTCTCGAATACCTCTTCTCCCGCTCCCGCTCTCGCATCCAGGCCTTCTCCCTCTTACTCTTGTGCTTTCTATGCAGTTTCTCTCTCTCCATTCTACGTCTTCTGCTGCTAGGAGTCATCGATCGATGCTTATGTGAGTGCATTATCGGGTCTGGGGTCGCAGATATGTACGGGGACTTGACAGGGGACAACTGATCATCAATGAGGATGGGGGAATCTCTTATTCGAATCGGTTCGTCCGAAATATAGTGATTGTACCTACTAGAGTGATGCAAAGGGGGTGTATGGGGAGATTCTCGGGGTGTATAATCCCTCGGATACTCGCGATACTTTATGGGAGGAGTCTTCACAGGTGGGGTGGGACTTCTGAGGTCAAACTGGGGCTCGGGGGATGCGATATGGCTGTCATTGGACACCGGCGAACAGGCACTCGTGTCTATCGTCGCTTTGACGTCCGAGGCTCCTTTAGCTGACTCGTGGTGTTCCCAATCCGACAGAGGCTCAATCTCGGGCCTGGGGGGCGTTTTTCTAGGCGAGCTAGTTTCCGAACCTGCCGATTCGCTTGCAACGCTCTCCAAGCTGGTACTGCGAGACCTCTGCTTGGGTTTCTTCTTTTTCTTCTTGGATTTTTTCTCTTTCTTGTGCTTCTTGTCTTTCTTTTTTCGCTTCTTTCTGTCGGAGCTGTAGTCCTCCTCGTACGTAGGAGAAGCCGCCGGGGCAACATACTCCACAGGTGACGTTTCTACTTTTCGACGGTGTTTTACGACTTTTACTTCACTAGAGCGTGAGGAACGCGAAGATATAGACAGCTGTCTTTCTCTGACGAGTATCGGAGGTGATGGAGACCTTGGTATCATCGAAGGATCCAGACGATGCCTTCTTCCTGAAAAAGAACAATAAATGTTTGGTGAGGGGCCGTTCAAGTATTACCAAAGCATATTTACTACAATTATTTACCCCCCCCCCCCAACCCCTTTGTCAGCAAAAGTAAGCAAAGCTCTTACCCCCCTCCCTATGTTATCTAGACTCCTCCGCCCCCATGTCATAAAAATTAGCAAAGCAAAGACTCCCCTCCCCCTATAGTGCTTAAGTAATATTTGAACGGTCCTGACTCATCATCCAAAAGTGGAATAAGAATATTTGGTAGGGAAAGAGAAGGAATTGCTATTCAAATGATATTCTCTATCATTCCATCATTGTATTAGGAATATTTCCACAAAAGATAAATTCAGGCATATTATTGAAAATTTCACCCCCACTGAAATGTTATTATGCAGATGAAATTTTTAAATTTTTACTAATAATCTGAACTAGCCTACAATAACTACAGTTAAGTACAACAAATAAAGACATGAACTAGTTCATGTCTTGTGTCAAGACATGAACTAAGTAATCTCTAAAAACAGCTGTCTGTTTTGTTCATTTTTTTCTTTCTCTTAACAATCACTGTTCAACACTGAGGTCATAATTATGAAGCTAGAGTCACTGTGACTGGACTTGAGACTTCAGCTGAAGCATAACACAACAAGCTTGCCCCTATCAAAGGGCAAAGTCAATATATACATGGAATTACTGTAAGAGATAACCAAAATGCTATTAATTTGACACAAAATTAGACACTTTTTAACAGAAGTCAACAGCCTATAAGTTCTCACTGGAGAAAGTATCCCAAAACGAACTGAATTTCTAGACTCAGAAGTGAAGAGAATAAAAGCTAAGTGGTAAACACCAAATCACCTTTTCAAGAAGCAGATTGATTTGCAATAGTATTTATCATATCAATAGTAAGTTGCAAGAACTATGACGGAATTGGCCGATACTTGATGTAAATCCATAACTAAGGTATTCAAAAAACATTTTATTTGTGAGATTTTCATTAAACAGTTTTACAAAAATGCAACACGTGTTTCGCCATACAATGGCTTCTTCGGATATGTCTTTACTTACTCCGAGAACTGTAGCAACCTCGCAAAATGCAGAACAAATTTAGCTACCTTTCACTTTGAAGTAATACCATCAAGCATTGCAAAACTTTCAGCTATTTTTGGCAATTCTTCTGACAGTTGTCTTGGGAAATTTTCTATGAAGAATAATAACACATTTTACTTTGTGATATAATAAAACAGGATTCATTCCATTTCAAGTTTTCACACTCCACAAACTGTTATTCAATATCTCAACAGGATTTTTTTTAATGTTCTATTTCATGCTGTTGAGGTAAGCCATTAGTCATTTAATTTGAATCTTCAATTGTGAATTATCAAGTAATAATAATAATATTCAATTTGTATTATCAGAGCGAATATTTAGGACTTTTTAATAGAACCTCTACACAATAACAATCACCACAATACATACATACTAGTTTAAGACATACTGTACTGAAGTGTCAAATTAATTTCATAAGATTTTTATGGGGATTTATTTTTGTTCAATGAAAAGTAATGGAAAATTCCACAAAAATAATATTTCAACACTGAATAATTTTTGGTTGCATCATGTTTTCATAAATACATCACTTTATAAATTATATAAAGCACTCACACTTTCCACCAACAACAAGTGAAGTAAAGTAATGCACATTGATTGAAGTTAAAGCAAAATGCTTTAATAAAAATTTAGGTAGTTTTGAAAATTTTACCAAGATGTTAATATTATTGATCTAACAGTAAATAAGAATGAAAATCTAACCTGGTGAATGTAACATAAGTGATGTCTCTCTGCTGATATAGATCTCCTCTTCCAGGCGAGAATACCTGTTACGGTGACTACTTCTATGCATTGTATCAGCTTCTACTTCCAGCTCACCATCCTCACTAAGTACAAGACTGCCCTCTTCACCACTTTGTATTTCCCCTGCTTCAGGACCGGATAAATCCTCAGAGCTTACATCAGAGTATTCAACTAAAGGTTTTGCTTTCAGAAGTCCTACGTAGTTATTAGGGGAGCCGTTTTCATCTCTGTGTCTACGCTTTTTTGACTTCTTGGATTTATCCTTGCTCTGTTTGCCATGCCGACTCTTTTCCATTTTACGAACTAATCGTAATCACTATCCAGCACATAGTATATCGTGCTGGTTTGCCTGAAGGCAGTTTAGTCCTAGGAAAACTCCACATACTCAATATTTGAAAATTATTTGGTTATGTTGACATTTATGTTGGCAATGTTGGCATGCATGACTGGGAAACTGTCACCGGAAGGATTGTGGACGGCGAGTATGGTAATTATTTATTAGAAAATATTTTTCTGATCAGTGGAACTGATCAAGGAATAATTATCTTTTTTGCAAATATATGATTTTCATGAGTTGTGTTTATTTGACGTCCGTGACCTTGAACAAATGAAAATGATGATGGCGATTTGTCGTGTTTTGGGTGGGTCAAATTTTGTTTAAAAAGCACAAAAAAGCATAGCAACGTTAATGAACACACAGAAAACATAAATCCACTTACCCAAATAACGAAAAATAAATCCGGAACTTTCACTTCCTCACTCACTGACGCACCACAGCACAGCACTACTTTTGAGCAAGTCGTCGGATCATTCCGATGCAATCTTTTAAACGTTTGCTGGTATGTAGTTTAATACATTTTAAAATATCAACAACATTGATGAAAATCGATTGTTATATTTCATTTTTTTGAGCTCAGTATATTGGATGTATCATAGGTCATTAAAAAATTCTAGATCTTTTGATTATTATCGAGAAGGATCCTGACAACAGGACGCCATTTTCGTCAGATTTGTATTCTACCTACATCGCATGCGTCATCAATACCACCCCCTCCATTACAAATTTGCACCAAGTTCAAATAATGAAATTTTTATTTGAATGACTTTTAATAAATCTTTGAATTTTGATTATTCCCCAATTTCTAATTGACTGACAAAAATGGTGAACAATTAATACTATGTTCATATTTGTGAATACAGCAGGAACTCAGTCACTATCAGGCCATTATTCATTAAAGTGATGAAAAAGATCAAAATATTTTCTTCATCTCGATTACTTAATAACTACGAAAGTTGTACCTGAACTAAAAAAAGTATGGAAAATATTTCAAAATGAAATACAATTGTGCCATCTATGTTTGTTAATATAAACTAATAACAAAAACGGGGACCCAATCATAGTATAAATATAATAATAAATGTGGAAATACTAAATAATAGCATGCGAACTAGATAGTATTTAGGGCAAATGGAATAGATATTCCCATAGGGGAAAAATGTTCGTATGTTTTTGAATAGATATCTGAATGTTGACGATCTGCCTCTGCCTATCAAATTACTGAGAATTTTGGGGAATTTTGGATTTCTATGTTGAATATTTTAAGAAAAGAAGAGAATAGCTGTTGTCAAGATTTAGAGTATTCTCTTTGTTATTGTTTCCCATTCAGTTTTTGAGTTTTTTTAATTTGTCTTTTTTTGTAATATTCGGCTGGATATAGAAAAAAAATTGGTGGAGAGAAGGGACACAAATTCGCAGTCTCATTAGGCGTATCGGTACTTGTCATTATAAAAATTTTGAACTTTAAAATACCGTGTATGTACACGCCATAGGCGTTGAAACGTAACTAACTACTTCAACACTGTAACAATGGATTCCGCCAACCGCCAGTCAAATTTAACTATTGCAGTTAAATTTGACGCCAGCGTAAGGAGGCTTGTTTATTTTACCCAATAGATGCAAATGCGCGTGGTGATCATGCTTCGATCACACATTTATCATTGTTTGGGTTGCTTTTTTGTTGGATTGATATAGTTTAAGAATATATCCAATCAGATGGGTATAGGCAAGTGTATATTTCTCACATGGACTCCAAAAGTGAACGCTCCCATACCTTTATGGAGAATACCAAATCGTTTTTCTCATGGGATAACATGCTCCTCTAGGAGAAATGTCGAGAATCGAATTCCAGGAGAACTTCTAGGACTGCCAACATAAGATCTAAAGCTTTTTTAATAGGGGTGTGACGCATATGTTGCCATGCGGAAAATTTATCAATAAAAAATACAATTACTTTTATTTTGACCCGCTTGAGACACAATATGATGTGTTGTTTTTCCGGGTGTTCATCCGTTGTGTACTATTCGATAGTCGACGTTTCGCCATCATCTCAGACGGCATTATCAAGACGAGTTACTGCTTCGCTTCGAGAGGTGTAACACTTACACCTCTCGAATGAACATAATTAGGAAGATAGTATTTTTGTTCAAGTTGGTGACAAGTGTGGCTCGGTCCAATAGAGTTCTAAAAGGCGGAACCGATTTTAATATTGTTTACAGATCTCTGAGGTGCAATTTTTGAAATTCCCCGTATACGGAAAATGGACATCAAAGTGGACGACATCCCTCGGCTCTCCATCTTCGAAAGCGTCGGTCGTTGCTTCTCATTCGAACGCATTTGGCCTGTCCATTGCTTACACGTCCATTGCCACGAGGCAATGCTGCCACCCTAATTTTTTCATTCATTTTTTCTTTAAAACACATTTCAATTTTTTACTGGCTGTCTCCTTCTCAAGAGGCCTCCGCATAAAAAATCTATTATCGAACTGACGACCTCTGTCGAATCCGTCGACATCTAGCATGGTTACTGTCGTAAGGGACTATAGCCCTCTCAATACGTCTTTCACTTCAATATTTATTCGAATTTTACTTTATTTCAGAATACATCTCACTCCGACATCCACGTACCATCTTTGAGGGCAGTCGTGATCGGCACAACCGCCCTCTGTCGCCATCGGAGAGGAGGTCCTCGAGCAGAACTTGACGAACTCATGTTTCCCTTTCGCAACTCTACCACCACGAGACAACTAGTAACTAGTCATCTCCTGCATGTGATGACGTTAATTGGTTAGCGAAACGCACGTCGAGAGAGAAACTTTTCGATAGATTAATTTTGCGTTTGCACCAGAGGTTCACTTTCCTGTAACTTATTGTTCACGTGAAAGTAGTTGTTTCAAAGAATATTTTTTTCCAATTTGTTTAAAAAACTTCTGTTTAGATAAAGAGTTTTTATTTTATTTCTTCCTTTCTTTGAAAGTTTCCCCATTCTTTGCTAAATGATGGAGAAGTAGAAAACCAAAAGAGCATAATAAAAAATTAGATGATTTTGATGAAAAAAAAATTGTAAATCTTCAGAAATATGCCAAAGTAATTATCTACAACTTTTACAGTGTCTGAAACAACTATGAAAATAAAGAAAAAATCGAAAACAGTGAGTTTTATTTACAAATATCCTAGATTTCTTATCATTGTCATTGTATAAATAGGTCCTTATATTCTATTACAAGTTGGCACTTCAAATATATCAGCTTGGCAATGCAAACAAAAAAAAAATCAGGAAAACTACGACTATGCTTTATTGTTTTTTGCTATGTTGTGTGTAGCCCAGTTTACTGATGTCTTCCATGAATTCGAAAGGGCTTCATCAAATTTAGACCTAAAATGTTGTAAGGCTTCTTCTTCTGTTTTATTCATAACCTACAAATAGAAAAAAAATATTTAGTGTGTAGATGAATATTCTAAAATAAAAAAATTATGCGAAACTACCTCCACAAATCATAATTATGTATTCTTCCTTTCCTTTCCAGTCAACCATATTTTATTACCATGCCAAAAGGAAAGAACCAACTTAATTTTTTTTAAGCAAATCAATAACAATTTAGGAAATGTATCATATTCTATGAAGATGGAATAAACAAAATAATATCCGAATATTCCTGGAGTTCTATCCCAACACCAAACCGTTATTTGTAACACCTCGACACGTGTTTCAATCACAAAGTGATCATCTTCACAATGAAGATGTATCTTCCTCTTAATTAGTTTATTCTATCCCAACACCAACCCGTTATTTTTAACACTTCGACACGTGTTTCAATCACCAAGTGATCATCTTCTTAATCAGTTAAATCTATCCCAACACCAAACCGTTATTTTTAACGCCTCGGCACGTGTTTCAATCACCAAGTGATCATTTTCAAGAGGTAGATTAATCTTACTCTTGAGAATGATCACTTGGTGATTGAGACATGTGTCTTGGTGATTGAAACACGTGTCTTAGCGATTGAAACGCGTGTCTTGGTGATTGAAACACGTGTCTAGCTATTGAAAATATCGATTTGGTGTTGGGAAGAATCTTCAGTAATATTCATTACTACACCAAAGGTTCCAAACAGTGCATCACAAAAAAAATAATATCCAATTATAATCTTGAAATGACAGCTTTCATGGACTAAGATTTTTGTTAGGATTTTTTGATATATTCTTAGTAATTGCTTTTAATTCCAAGTAAAGAATGTAATGTTAATGATTTGCCGAAACACTTATCATATTGTCAAATTACAATGTTTGCTGATGATACGACAATTGCTGTATCAGGAAGAGATCTCAAAATATTGATAGAACAAATCAATTGTGTTATTAAAAAATTCTCAAAATGATGTCAACTTAACCACCTCATCTTAAACACTGCCAAATCTGTTTCTATGAGATTCTACAACTGAAGGAGCAATATTCCAGATCACATATGTGAGTCACTCGATATTGATGTTGTAACTTGCTAAAGTTTTGGGTACAATTTTGGACGAACAACTGACTTGGGATTTACATTAGTGTATGTCGTAAATTGAACAAAGCATATTTGCAATAAAACAGATGAAGCAATGAATAATCAGGTCAAGTCTGCTGAGTGTCTACTATGCAATGACGTAATCACACATTTATTACAATATAATATCTTGGGGAAGTGCAAAAAACTTCATCAAGATCTTTGTAGTTCAGAAACGACTAGTGAGACTGATATTTGACATGAACTACTTAGAGATTGTAGGCCAGTATTCATTAGAGAAAGGCTTATGTCAGCTCCCTGCATATACATATATAAATGTGTGAACTACGCCAGAAAAAGCTAGTCACTACTTGAAAAAATCTCATCATGTCATGAATATCCAACCCGTAATGGAAATTTATTAAAGATTCCTAGACACAAAATCTCCAAATTTAAAGAATCACCACTATAATGCAGTCAACCTTTACAATGTGCTGCTGTCAGCTATTACATAAATTAAAACAGACAAGTTATTCTATAGGAATTTCAAAAACTACACCTCACGATTTGATCTCCACTGTAATTATGATTCATATCGAAAGTTCGAACCTACCAAGGTATCTCTCAGATAATTCAGATCTTTTTCAGAAGTCAACTCTGGAAGACCTGTGGAAATCATCATAGCAAAAAGTGATATGAACAAGTTACCATGCTTCCTCAAAATCATAAACGCCTGAAAAAAAAATAATTAGCTTTGATTGCTTTGCATTGAACTAAAAGAAAATTAACCTTCTCGCAGTATTCTTGAAAAATTTTAAATTCCAACGCTTTTGAGTTCTGTCCTTTATTGATCACATAGACGAAATCGTGAGTCAAAACGAAGGGAACACGTTCCCTTTTGAAGCCAAACTTCTCTTTAAAGTGACCCAAAATATGACCAAAATCAACGTGGAACAACTAAAAGAAAAACATACATTGTGCAAATATTTATAAAATGACTGATGTTTAGATTTAAAATCCAATATTAATGATACTTACTTGGCCATTTTCTTTGACCATGATGTTGTCAGAATGCCTGTCGGCAATTCCTAATACATAAGTTGCTACACAATATCCTGCACAGGATAAAGTGAATTCGTTCACAGCTTTATTCAAGGCAGCTTCAGAAGTATTATAATCTTTCAACCAAGCTGAAAAAAGTCAATCAAAACATTTGTTCAATGATTCGAAAAAAAATAATTTGATTTGAAGAGATCTTCAAGATATCGTAAATTAATCTTGTACCTAATATTGGACCTTTTCTGAACGCAGCTGTGGCAGTGAACATCCCCTTTTCCTTCTGGATGTTGGCAATGGTATCAGCATTCAAAACTACCTCAATCATTCCTACACGATGCTCTAATGATATGCAACCATAAGGATTCATCCTGAAATCAAACAAACCTCTTGATAGATAGAAAGAAACTACCACAAAGTAACAAACTTTCATTTAGAACTCATTATCTTATGAAACAACAAGAATTCACAAACCATCTCAGAATATTTTGACTATTCACTTCACTACTCTTACTTTTAATAAACTCTGGTAATAAACTCAATGAGTTCTTACTAGTAATTTTTCGAAACGGAATTCCAACAGGGCTATTTTGCTAAAAAGCTACAATAGCGGTATTCAGCTTCAGTTGTTCAAAGAAACATCAGTACGGAGTGTATGTATCATAACTACAAATCTTAGGCAGACCAAATAATGGCTTCTAACATGGTTACAAAATTAAACAAATAATCCTGCAGAAACGTGATGTGTATAAGTGGTATCTGGGAGAATTCTAAATTATAATGGGCTTCAGATAGAAGATTATCAAAATCATATAACAGGAAAATAAAACCTTGGGAAACCTTAGATTTGCTTTGAAGAAACGATTGAAATTCATTAGACATACTTTTTTTCCACCTACAGCTAATTTCAAATGAAAGCTAAAGCTGATAATATTTCAACGTCCATTTGAAAAGTGTCTACTAGGCTATCGTCTGTAAGCTAGTGATTGGGCATGCGCATTATGAAAGAGGTCATTTCTTTTAACGTTTTATCACTCTGAAAAAAAAAATGTGACATGGTTGAACCTGAAAACTTCGTAATTTTGAAACATAAAAACACATTTTCATGATCAAGGACTCAAAATTATATGGCAACTGACAATGACATGTTTATCTCAGCTCTTCTTATTCTTCTCCTGTATTCAAAAACATTCAGTTCAGTTCTTAACTCTGAATCATCTCTTCAAATTTATTTATCATATAAATGAGTTATCGAACCTAATACTTTAGATTTCAACGATAAATCTTTTAACAACATGCGGCAGAATCCTTTTTATATACTTATGTAAATAACAAACTTATTTTTTCTGGAAATTGTCCATTTCTACTCTAAAAGCACTGGACTTGAGGTCTATCACTAGAAAACTGCAATCGAAACTCGATTAACGGAAACAGAAAAATAATCGCCCATTTTTTTCTTTTGTGAACAAGAGCAAACACCCAATAATAAATTAGTACTGTATGACTAAAACTATTTTTTATCGATTTGTAGCTTATAGCTGTAAATTATCTACAGTGAATATTTTGTAACTTCACTACAAAAGTCATTTCTCTTTGGAAGAGTCATACTGGAGAGAAATATCCAGAAATTTACTCACCTCAAATCCAAACCCTCTCTTTTCCATAACCTATCCATGATTCGAATCATTTGCAAAGTTAACATATCTTGCCGAAGATCATCCCCATTTTTAAAAATAATGTACACGTCCTCCCCATAAGTGTCAGAATTCTCAAAAACAATCCACAAAGGCTTCATTTTGCTGTCCATCACTCGGCATTTCTCTAGCCTAAGGAGAAAACAGCACACAAATAAAATATGATCATATCATTTCCTTGAGATTTACCTTATCCTTGAACACCTATAACTCGGGTTTAGGGGATTTCTAGTATGATTCAGTAACATTTCGGTGTTTGATTCATTAAGATATTTCCTGAGAGCCGATTTGGCTTTATCTTTGTCTTTCTTTTGCCGTACCAGATCACTGCATGTTTTCAATCTCTCTAGGCATTCCAACTGTCTCTGCAGAGCCACCATGTGCTCTTGAGAGCCCCTGCAATAAGCTTCCAGGATCAGACCAAAGCGAACTGACACAGCAGGAACCTGCATTTCCGACCTGAAAAGAAAATTCTTCCAGAAAACAAATATCATATTTAAAATGAATAATGAATTCAACTGATAAATCAAGCATTTCTAATACAGATGGTTTTATAACCAACTCCTTACATAACTCAAGAAATATTGGAGGACCTGTAAGAAACAAAAAATGAATGGAAATCTACCAAAAGTAATCTTTCAACTTTATTGTATTTATAATAAATTTTTATCTTTGTGATAACCTATAAGCAAGACTAAATAAGAAAAGCGGAAGTGACCTACACTTGAAAAACAACTACCAATTCTGAACAAAACTCTTGAAGTCACTAGGCCATATCCCCAAATTTGGGATAGTACATAATTCCCTAGGTTAGTTAAAGACAAGCAGACTTCAAGGCCAACCCAATTTATGAAATATTATGTCTCCGAACCAGATGTAATAATGTCAAGACAGACAATTCCGCTTTCTGCTTGGATAAGTTTGTTGGGGGTTTAAATAGACACCAATACATCTTGGCACAATTATGTCGCTGGAATTGCAAAGGCTGCTTCTCAAAAGCTCAAAAACTTTCATTGGAAAATGATTATTTATTTTAGTAGTAACTTTATTTAGTGGAATTTCAAAAGGATGAAACTTCTGAAGAAATAAATAACTCAAAGGACATCGAAACGAGTGAATCTGATACAGATTATATTTCAGTCACAGAAATAATACTTCGTTCAATCTACCGCAACAATTATTAACAAAAATTTTACTTACCGGAGATGCCAAAAAAGAAAATGCCCTATTTGCTGGTTGGTAAGCGCCCTTTTGATCAAGAAAATTACTAAATCGCATTCCAAGTAAAGTTCATGTTTCAGAGCTTGCACCAGTTGAAGAAGATACAACTGAAGATCACTGTCGCTGCAAAAAAAATGAAAGAAATTATGCCTTTTGTAAAATATTGTTTCTCCATTCTTACCTAACGTCCATCAAGCATTCCACAGCAAACTTTCTAACTTCCTGATCAGCATAAGCATAATCGAGCAGTTCAAGGGCCTTTTCCACTGATAATTTGGGCCAGTTTTTAAGCATGGCGACAACTTGGCTGACCACTTCTCTTTTATCCCAGTCGATACAATAAAGGAGGTTTGGTAGAACTTCTGGTTCTTTCTCTCTCCAATAATCCCTGAGAGCCCAAATGTTTTTGCGATCCTAAGGAAAAATATTTGCTGATGATATTTTTTGTATAAAATAGTAAATCCATCATAATAGCATTAACTCTGTTTTGGTTCTCAAAAAATTGGTATATATTATTTTATTATTTCGAAAACCCAGTACAACCCATAAATCTCTAAAATGACATGTTTATTGCTGAAACTGAAATATGAATTGCCTCACATTGTTTCAGTTGAATGTGCAGCTTGAATTGAAACTACTGAGGTGAAGAACAAATATATAAAAATGGTTCATATAAGTTAATATTCAATCTTTTGAAATTATTCACCTATTCACCAATATAGAGGTTACAAAGTGGAGGAGTAGCATTTTTTTAGAGAGACCATTGTGTATGATGAAATTTTAAAAATGTAGTCTTCTTGGTGACAATAATTAGCTTGATCAAAATTGTTTCTTGTACTACTTGGAGAATGAAAATGCCCAAACAATTATTTCATAACACGCTAATTTAAATAGCTATTGTAAGTGAACTCCCTTTATAGAATACTAGTACTATGTTGCTGTATCGCTGCTGTTCTAATGTTTTGACAGAATCAGAATCAACGAACTTAGTCGTGCGCAGCGTTATAGAACAGTGCTTTCAAAAAATTGTTCTACAGCGCCATCTAGTGCCGAGTTACAGAAAAATTGATAGCCTAAAAACCTTCTCTATGAAAAATTACTTATATATGTCAAGTTTCGTCACGATCGGTTGAGCGATGTAGAAGTTTATCGCTTATCAACCAACCAACAAACATACATTTTTATATATTAGATTTTCCAAAAATATATGCCTATTAGTTCAATAGTTATATCAAAAATAAAAATGAAAAAACAGATAGTAGATGATTCAAAATAAGAAAATTATAAATTTTTTAAATGAAATGTTATTTTTACATTCCCCCTTCTTACTTTTATATGTTTTGTCCTTCTACACTATTGTGTAAGAGGGTATTTTGAAAATGTAGTTTTTTCGTTGACAATTTTCAATTTGATTACTTTTTTTTGTATTAGGTTCTATACTGTTTCTGTTATACATTAATGATTTTACCAACATATTGATTACAGGAAGTTTTACCTTATTTGCTGACGACACCACATTAGTGTGGCATGACAAGGACAAAAACAGATTGCATAACAAAATGTGCTAAGACATGAATAAAGTGAAGGATTGGCTTGACTCGAATCTTTTATCATTGAATACCAGCAAAACAAATATATTGGCATTCAAATGTAATATACCTGATATTTCCCTAGACAATAACACAATAAAAAACACACAGGCAAATAAAAGATAAAGTGTGCCATTTATCTGAAGAACCCAGAAGCCATAACAGCACTTTACTGTACCTGATCGTGAGCTTCATATAAATTATCGACTTCGTTCAACAACTTCCTGCAATTTGCTATTTCTTCTTCAGTCTTCTCACTCATTTCTCCTTCTGGATCTTCCTTTTTAAAATTTGCATAGTCGATCATCGTTTCTATCGATGGAAAAATTATACTTTGATCCCTTGGACGACTAAAAAAAGGAATTGAGTTGTTTTGAAGCACAACAGCAGAACAGTATTTCCATCCGCCCCGAAATTCTTCTTACCTTTTAATGAATAAAGTGATTGTGGTGGAATATTCGGTGTTTGGATTACTAACAACTGTGCCTAAGGGATGAAGAACATCGTCTGATGTCATGTCTTCAGCATAGGTCCACATATAGAGAGTCATGGCACCACTTTTTAGTTGACTTTTAAAATCGTATACTGAGGTATTGGCCCAAGCTAGAGGGTTGTTTATATCCTAAAAGCGATTTGATTGAAATATATTGAACTATAAATATCATTGGTGTATTTTTATTTATTTACAGTTGAAGATTGCAAAATAAATCAAACATAAATCTGATTTGAATATTTTCACATGTTCATAAAAAAAATAAAGATAACAGTTCAGTTTCCAAATGAAAAAACTTTAGATTTTATAGCAGAGAGAATTGACAGATGAATCAATTCAATATTTGTTTGAGGGTGATTGACAATGTTTCATGATTAGTTCAGACTTACATTGTCTAATATTATATAAAATGATTTGAAATCCCTAAAAGAACCAATACAAATGAAAAATTAAAAACAATATCTGAAAATAACAATTATAGGAAACACACGTTAATAGGTAAGACCTCGTTAGTCCTTAGCTCGCACAAGTTTCTCAACTTCTGAGAGTTGTCGTTCGTATGGGGCCAGCAGCTGATTAACGGAAAAACAGATTTTAAACAAATAAACAGATATTAAGCAAAAAAACCCTGAAATGAAATTACAGAGAAATAAAACGTATAGACAGACAGAAGCCAGAATTGACATTAGAAATCTTTTTCAATAATGATTATTTTTTATAAAATAACTCATTAAACAAAAAAGTTCACATCACAACTTTTTCTTATTTTTGGGTACAGCTTCAACTGATGAAGATTCAGTGTACAGAAATGTGTAGAATGTGTAGTATTTCAGTGAATTGTTTTTTGGAAAACCTAATTTTTTTGGTTATTATGGATTTTCATAAGTATAAATTATTTTTTATAAAAAGCCAATACATCAATGTCTTATACATGATAGCTGAAAGAAGAAGTCAATTCACTACTCACCTTGCTAGATTCTTTAGTTTTCTTAGTCTTAGTTCCCTTACTATATTTATTTACTTCATAAACCACGAAACACAACTTAGCGTTTCTAGGAATATTACATATTTGAATATCAAAGACTAGTTCAGTATTTATTTTACATTCACACTTATCATCTACAACGCAGTCAATAGTTCTCTTAGGTTGGCAGAGAGATTTTCCACCGTGAAATATTCCAGCCTGTATACCGATCTAGAAATAAAAATCACTGAATAATTTTGACATACTCAACTTTTGTACTAATATTTTACCTCTGGTGCCTTTCTGGGATCACAATTCAATTTACTAACTGTACAAACTTTAACTATATAATTTTCATTAACATCCCATGATGAAACACTATTTTTCTTCTTTCTCAATGTATTTGTAGATCCATAGGAGGTTGAGCGTGTCTTATTTTCAAATATATCAAGAGTTTCATAATCATTAGATTGAAACACTACAAAAATTAAATAAACGTGAGTACAAAATTTCCCTAAAAACCCTGGTGTAATCTCCAAGATTTATAAGTGTAAATATTTTTGTGAATACTCTGCGTATGGTTTTCTTGATGCCAAACAGAAACACTTTTGAAATAAATTCCTCTAACCAAGAAAACCAAACTTTTATTAATCTTCTGGGAATGCTGACGTATTACAACTAGAAATGGATGAAACTTATGAACATGTGCAGTAAACGAAGTCAGTTTTTGCTATAAAAAAAAGTGCTAATGCTCTCAGGAGTCATAATGATCTCTTGAGGACGCTAACTTGGTTAGCAAAACGCGTGTCGAGAGACCGTTATTTTATTCTGGTGTTGGGAAAATGTTTTCATGTTTCAATTCCATCAACAAATGTTTTCAAACCTAGCTATGACAAAATAACAACTCAGTGATTACACCATGGTTTTTATAAATTTTGGAATTCATTAAATACTTGACAACAGATCCCTGTTCAATTTTACCTGGAACTCTATCAACGTGCATGGTAACTAAAGTAGGCATGATATCCCTGGTGAGGCAGTCTTGAATGTATTGGTATTCGATAATTTCGTTGTCTCCAACAAGGAACTCATCTTGACCACTCACTTTCAAAACGTACTCACTAACCCTCTCGTTCCTGGTATTCATAATCGTAGCTCTTTTATATAATATCATTTCGAGTAATTTCTTGGGATTGATGGTGGGGGGTACGTTGAAAGTAAAGGAACTTTGCATGATCTCCTTCTCAGTTCGTTTTTCATTGAAGTCCAATTCGTGGTCAAATTTTGTTGAAATGTTTATATTCCTGTTTTCGCTAAGAGTTTCATTAAGAATATAACTATTCTTTGTTATTCTTGGGGGAAATTGGTAAAAGAGACGGTCAACCCAAGTTTGTTTTGATCTGGCCTGAGCAAATTCCTCTCCCATTCTAGCCATTTTAAAGCGGAAGTCGTTTATTTCTGAGCTATTCAGTGCATCAAATTCCTGGAGACCTGAGATATAAAAAAGATGAATAATACCTTGATGGAAGGGGATTTTTTTGAAGAGATTTGGTAAACATTCATTTTAATGTTGAACTTGACAACAATTAGTCTTCTTTCGGTGATATGGCCATACAAAAGTCGAGAAATTGACTTAAAAATTGACACTGTTTTCAAATTTATGTGGTAATATCATCTGGAATGTAATTCCACAAATAGTGTGTTAGATTATGGGTTTCTGGTTCTGGGTGTGTAGAAATATTTGACGAAGTTCACTTTAACATTGATATACAAAAAATACAAAGGAGTTTAAAATCTGACATCACTATTCAAAATAGCTATATGGTGAGTCCAAATAAATGAATAACAAGTGTTATTTTGTTGATATGGAATTTGGAATTAGATATTGAAATTACGCTTGGTGCAAGGTGTCATTTTGAGTTTTAACCCCCAAAAGTGAGAAATAGTCTTTTTTTTAACGATTTCAACGTTTATTTGACCACATCTCCGAAAGCAGACAGAAACACCAAGTTTCAACCTCGGATTCATGATCAGCAGACAAAAATTTGTAAGTCTAAACATGTTTCAAAAACTAACACGAATATTTACCGAAAAGATAAATAAAACTTTTACAGCTTAACTGAAATTTCTTACGTTTTCCTATGAGATGACCAATAGAAATATTTATTGAATCGTCAGCTTTTTCTCCTCTACACTCTGTGATGATCAGGACGGCCCCAGTTGGTCGAATATCACATAATTTTCTTGTCTCATCAATGAGCTTTTCTCTCTCTGCCATTGAATTGACATAAGTGAATATGTAGACCGACATGTCGTGAAGTTTTCCGAAGAGAGGAAACTTTGACGCTTCCTCCCACAGATCCTGAAAAGTTAATAAAAAGTTACCCTGGTAAAAAACTCCCCAAAATCTCGATGACCAACCTCTTTGATTTCAGCAAGTGTAGCATTGTAATTAACGCTAAGTAGAATTATTATTCCATTAGGTAGTAAACATGTTAATTCGATCATGCATTCTGTGGAGACCTGATTCCAGAAATCTGGCATATACTCTGCTGGAATTGGTACCATTTTGTAAGATGTTTATTCACCAAGATTTATTATATCATATTCCCAGGGGCTTTTTTCTGCATTATTTGACGCTTTCTATGAAGTATATGCATTTTTTGGGGAAATCCAGTTGAATCATCCAAAGAAGTTTCAATAACTTTTCTCATCGGTCCTTGGTAAAAAAACCTGTACTTAGCAAAGAAATGAGAGAAATTAACAACGAGATATTCAAATACTTTTGAATTAGTGAGAAATAATAATATTTTGATAATAAACTTATTAAGACTTCCGTCAGTTTTTAACACCCATGAAAACAACAGTGTAGCCAACTGCTGGTTAGTTCTTAAAAAAAAAATACTTTTGACACCACAAAATTGTTTTGTCTTGAGTAAAGGAGTTCTTGAACCCAACAAATCTGATTATATGCCTCAATCAATAAAAACGTATTGAAATTCCGAAAATATGCCCTATTTGATTCCATAGAACTTATCATCAGGGATGCTAATGTTTGAGAAAATCCTCAATGTTTGAGGATTTCTGAAATTTAGGATTAATGTGTGGATTCAAAATATATGAGAATTTTGTGGGGATTTCATTTGGTAGACTTCATGAATTATCAACTGTGTTTTCATTTTTCACGATAAGGTTTCTTAGTGAATTTATCCTCGTTAAAACAAAAATTAGAACTTATCTGTTCAAAAGCAGCATAAGCCACAGAATACCTAAATGTTTATGATAGGAGGCAAAAATCCCTCCCAGGAAATATATAAAAACCTGAAAAAGTGGATTCCGAAGAGGCCCCTATCTAGAAACCTTGGTTTCAAACAGAATTTTGTGTCATCTAGGCCTTGATTTGGGACATAACCTCAGTTCATTCCTTTTTATTTCTCTGATCGATTCGGCCGTTACCTGATGAAGATCCATAGTAATTTCAAAAAGTACACCTTACGATTTGATCTCCACAATTTTTTTTTGAAAAATATCACAACATGTTTGTCTAGCACAGTAGCTCACTTGAAAAAGCTACTGTGCTAGCGAAACATGTTGTGATATTTTTCAAATAAAGTTTGTGGATATCAAATTGTGAGGTGTAGTTTTTGAAATTACCTTTTTATTTCATATGATACACATGAATTTTTCATTTTATAATGAATTCACACTCTCACAGAACACATTCTGTATCTGAATATGTTTTCTTCTTCTTCAACATTTATTGGCCTCAGCAACCAAACCTGAACCTGAAAACGGCTTGGGTTTTTGACTTAGAGTAACAAAAAACAATATTACTCTGAGGTTTTTGACAATCATGCAATTTTTTGTTATCAACAGCATTGACTACTTTAGGCATTAGCCTCTTGTTCTGGGTAGCAATGTTAATAACTTCCCAGACCTATTTTTTAGCTGACAGTTGTTATATTAAACAAAATGGTTGAGTTACAGGTATTTTAACAAAAATACAAACTTTTGGTGATATATTTTTGACTTGATTGTGAGCACATCTTTGTCTTTTGAAAATTGTTCACGACTCATTGTTATTGATGGCCTTCTTTGACGTTGTCCATTCTTGAATAGTTGTGAACAGAACATTAAAAATTACCGTTCTGTTGATGAAAAAACTCCATCAATCATATGTAACAAGTTTTGTGATTACAAATAATATCACAAATGTCAAATTCTCATTCAGATAGAATCGAGTGTTCCTTAAATATATTTCGCCGAGTTGATTATATGATTATGTGATATCAAATCAAATTTGAATCTGCACACTCGGTTCCAGGTTTTTATGAACGAACATACCTACGTCATGTGGTTGGGTTGTGGTTAGTTACAGTTATGTTGGACTACTGGAAATTGGAAAAGTTAATCATATAATCATCTAAAAAAAAGGTAATTATGTTTAAACATTCAGTGAAAGTTCCCAGATTATATAAAGTGGCAGCTACTATAGCTAAAGAAGTAAGTGAAGGTCTTGGGAGTATCAAACAGCTCGTTTATGAAAAACAAAAGAAACACCCTGTGAGTACTTAGAGGTTAGGTTGACTGGTTCTCTTGTAAGTTCAGATTTGAATTCATTTTAGAATATCAAAGCCCTATACGCTTTAGTGGCAACACTTTTTCAAAAAACTGAGGAACTAGATACAATATTGAAGAGGTCACAGTTTTTAACAAAGGAGTCTCGTTTGGATATTTGGCTAGCTAAAATTCTTATTGTAGAATTGATATGGGGTAGGAAAACACTTCCCGGACAGAGTAAGCCGGAATCTACTGTCCGAGCCTATGAACAAATTTTCAAGGCACATCTGAGTGATGATAAAACTAACTCATCAGAAATCATAGACGCTCAAGGTAATTATGTGTTTTTTATTTTTACAGACTGAAATATGGCCCAAGAAAGTGACGTTCTGAGTGAAGACGCACCATTGTTGCCTCCACACACTAAACAGGCTGGCAAAGCTTTGGGGAAGCTGCTGGTATTTAGTTTCTTGATGTTCACGCTGCCTTTTGCTGCATTTTTTGGAACTAAACACCTGTTGAGAGATTATTTTCACATAACTGGTTTTGCTAATACTGTTTGGTCGGTTTCTTTAGCTGTGATAACTGTAAATATAATAATAGCTATATATTCTTATATTGCATATAATGAACCAGAATTTGATGAACATGGCAATCCAATTTTAGAAGAGAAGAACAAAACTGAAAAGAAAAAACACTAAGAAGTATTAAACTTGTATTATTCTTCATTTTCTTGCATTATTAAGTATACATTAGTTCAATTTCTATTCATTCCATTATTTTTCTTTTGAACATAATTTTTACAATTTTTATTTACATTATGATTTAATAAATCAACATAGATAACTTGTAGTTTGTGAATTATTTAATAAAGATTTGTGATAAAAAAATCTTCCATTGTTTCATTACTTGATTCTATTCATTTATCCTACTGTTTAGCAAATGTGTGTTACATGTGATTGTGCCTTTAAGCTTTCAAATAATCATTCTGGCAGAAAATATATTGTTTTGATTATAAGGGCTCAATACTTTCATTACTTTTGTTGTTACAGAGAAAAAAGTGACTTATAAATGACAGTGTGCAAATCTTTACTAATTACCTAGTTGAAATTGTTGTTATGAATTGAGGATCACGTTCTTCAACAAAATCTTTCTTTGCCTTTCAGATTTGATCAACCCAAGTCTCCAAATTGTGCTTTGTCGAATATTTCCAGAACGTCAATTCTGAAGTCATGTTAACAGTCTAAATTTTATTGTATTCAAAAAACATATATTTCATGAATGACATGATTTATTGTTCTGTAGTGTTTTGTAGGTTTTAATAGCAATCTAATTTTTATTGTATTCTTTGTTATTTTCTTTATAGCAGAGTTCAGATAGCAACTGTCTGTATAAGAAAGTTTCAGGAGTTCTTTATTCTGACAGTATGGTCAAAGAGTAGAGTATAATCGGGTCTGAAGCCTGTATCAAAGAGAGATACATACGTATAAGAAAATGAATTTTCAAAATAAAATCTCGAAATATTCATCTCTCCCAAATATGAACACCATAGGTTCTGGTAAATGCTTGCCAGAACACAACTACTTCCCCGGCTAACACCACGCTGGATATTAAATTATATTCGACAGACATTTATGCAAGATACATCATGGAGGTTAGTGTGGCAGATGTTTGTCGTTCATCCAGCTGCATGTTTTATTGTGTTCTCAACTTTAGTGGAATGTTTTTCTCAAGATAAATGAAGTTAAGTTAATTAGTTTGTATAACAGATTAGTCATTATTAGTTAATATTTTTTTCACCCAAGTTTTACCAACAATTCTATAGTTAGTTAACAGTGTGGTCAATGGACTTAGGTCATTCTTGCTCCCCAAATATGAGCTGCAGCCCTTGTGGTTTTTGTTATCTTTCAGTGGAAGAGCTTCAGGAAGCAAGAGCCGAATCGATCCCTCTGTGAAACCCTTCATCACTTGGAAGGGTTGATTGTAGCTTGAGAAATGGTTCTTATGCAGATTCTGTGAGACATGTTCTTCCTTACGAATCATTAGAGAGTTGTTTTGAAAATCTTGCAAAGAAAATTGAATTAGATAATTTAGAAAACACTTGCTACATGAATAGCATTTTACGAGTGTTGTTTATGACGAAGAATTTCAAAAACGATGTTTTAACGAACAAGAACGAGAATGTTTCCTACTTATTCACCAAACTCAAATAATTGTTCATGCAGTTGCATTTTCATGAGAATGTATCATATTTCCCACCAACCGATTTCCTGGAGTCTTTGAAGTCCACTAGATACTCGTTAGGACAACAAGAGGATTGCTCTTAACCGTTCTGGAATGATTCTGTACAGTCTAGTCTTGTATTTGTAAATATTTTGTTGGAAAAATCCTCACTTGTTTACTTTATAGTAAATGTTCAAGAGGTAACATAAACTTATGTGATTTTCTTGAACTTCAATTAGTGTTTCCTAATATGGCTGATAACCAGTCCATGCAAAGCTTATTGTTTAAATCATCTGAAAATGGAACTTGTAACGGGTGATGATCAACTATATTGCCAAACATGCGCCAAACTAATTGACTATTATAAGAAATCAAGTATAGCTGAGACACCAGTCAATCTAATAATAACACTGATAATTTTCAAACATGACTCAACCTCTGACGGAAGCACCAAACTGTTACGAAGGATCAAAATACATGAACACTTCAATCTAGCAGACCACTATTATAATTTTCATGCAGTCATTGTTCACTGTGGTTGTGGCGTTGAATCTGGTCATTATTACGTATTTGTCAAAGATGAAATGGACTGGTTTAAGTTTGATGATATGCGTGTCACTAAGTGTTCTGGTGATGTCTTAAATTTATTGGAGCCTCTGGAGACACCCTACATTTTGTTTTATGAAAGAGAGCACATTGGCAGATCCAGATCTTCAGATGATGTGGTGCTGCAGGATTTTCCGGGTTTTCCTGCAGCTGAGAAAGCAAATGCGCCACTGGAATCAATGAAGTCGCCCCGGAGCGCCAATTAATTTTTGTTGTTTCATAATTTTATGATTTGTATTACTTTCTTCACAAATTCATTACATAATAATTTTTCGTCTGTTATTTGGTAATTCAACCTTATAGACTTTACTGAATTTAAGTTTGATTTTTTTTGTTTTTCTTTGCTTAATTTGTTTATATTTTTCAATAAGTTTTTTTTGGATGAATGATAATTTTTCAATTTCCTGCTCACAATATTCTATTTTGGCTTAATTTCTGATTTGAATATGTTATTTTTGTAAATTTTTTATTATTTTTATAAATACAAATTACCAATGTTTAATTTTAGTTCTTGATATAATCCATTTTTTATGTCCATTGAATTAACCATTCTATTGGTTATCCATTTTTTCTTTTTTTTTAAATAATAAAAGTAAACACAAATGTTTGAATATGTAAGTTATATAGATATTTAGTCTATATACAGGGTGATTCACAACTATCGTTAATTGACATTTCCTTGAGGCTAAGAAGTTTATTGTTATATTTTTGAGAAAGAAAGTTTTTGGCTTTCTACTGCTTCATCTTGATACAAAAAAAGGATGAGGGAATCTTCCAAAGGAAGGAAGGAAGTAATCAATTTGAAAATAAATAACTCTATACGTGGATGTGTAAATCATACAAAGAAGTAACTTTCAGACACAAACTGAAAGAAAGTCCTCCTGAAACAGCAACTTTCATATAAACATTGAATTACACAAAAGAAAAAAATTCTTTCGAAACGAATACTTCTATTTAAACACTGAATTATACAGAAGCTTTTTTCTCAGTTTGTATTTCAAACATTCGTTGTGGAATAAAAATCAGATATCATTCACATGAGTTCTACTTTAAATGAATGGTAACAAATTGCACTTAAATGGAACACTGTCACCCTCACTGGTATACATCGATGTTTCGCCTTAAGACACTTGCCCTAAGGCTCTTCAGTACCAAATTGGATAACATTATAGAAAATACACACAATTCATTCATGAATTACGATTTTTTAACGTCACAGAATAAGCTTGATCTGCTTATGTCATCGATGGCATCGTAATGACATTCATTCACCTATTTGATTTAATTCCAGCCAAGAGGAATCTTATTTGAATTGAAGGGGTTATATTTTTAGGAGTGATTAATTTTGGGAAAGAAAGTTTTTGCCTTTCTACTACTCCATCTTGATACAAAAAAGAAAGCCAAAAACTTTATTTCTCAAAAATTAATCACTCCTAAAAATATAACCCCTTCAATTCAAATAAGATTCCTCTTGGCTGGGATTAAATCAAATAGGTGAATGAATGTCATTACGATGTCATCGATGACATAAGCAGATCAAGCTTATTCTGTGACATTAAAAAATCGTAATTCATGAATGAATTGTGTGTATTTTCTATAATGTTATCCAATTTGGTACTAAAGAGCCTTAGGGCAAGTGTCTTAAGGCGAAACATCGATATATACCAGTGAGGGTGACAGTGTTCCATGTAAGTGCAATTTGTTACCATTCATTAAAAGTAGAACTCATGTGAATGATATCTGATTTTTATTCCACAACAAATGTTTGAAATACAAACTGAGTAGAGAAAATAATCTTCTGTATAACTCAGTGTTCATATAGAAGTATTTGTTTTGAAAAAAATTTTTTTTTTCGTGTAATTCAATGTTTATATGAAAGTAGCTGTTTCAGGAGGAATTTCTTTAAGTTTGTGTCTGAAAGTTACTTCTTTGCATGATCTACACATCCATGTATAGAGTTATTTATTTTCAAATCGATTACTTCCTTCCTTTCTTTGGAAGATTCCCTCATCCTTTTTTTTGTATCAAGATGGAATAGTATTAAGCCAAAAACTTCCTTTCATGGAAATATTTTCCTAGAACTGATATATCTTTCGTAGAATTGCACCCAGCACACACTTTATGTGTTATTTTGTTTTGTGTGTCCTACATGATCTTCAAGTTTGAATCAATCTGTTACATCATCATAAAAGAATTTACGACTCATAGAGCGAGAACAAACGCTGGCAAAATTGCCACTGAAAATGAGAAATGTGCAGACGGGATGGAAAGTATTATGCGGAGTGTGAGTTGTGAATGTCGCATGCTGGAAATTATATTTGAAGTGAACGTGAATGAACAAAGTTGATGTTTATCTGATAATAAAGTCAGTTTACGACGAATCTGCACTGGAGCATTAAAATAAGTTCGAAATCATTGCTTGTCTGTGAATACTATTTCTGATGGAAGTTTCAGGTTTTCTGTGAGCTGAAAGAGTTTGGTATTTCGTTAAAGGAAAATATTTTGAAATTATTAATGATATTCATTTGAAATATTCTTCGTTAATATAGCACTGAAATCAGCCTCAATTCAGTTGGAGCAAAATGGGTGATCCAATAGATAGAAAGAAGTTTATAATGAAAAGAGGAATGGAAATTTCTGTTTTTTACCACTTTTATTTGTATCTAACGTTACTGCAGTTTCGTCCTATATGGACATTCTAAAACTTATACAATAAACTCTTTCCGGGTTTATTGTATAAATTATGATCTCCTACCACGTAGTAACTACGTCAATTCATAGAAAGAAGTTAATTTAGTCATATCATGCAGAAAAATAAATTTGTAACAGCCCGGAAATGCAATAGAATATTTGCTATATACGAATGACTACATAACAAGAAGTACTGCCATTGCGATAGTTAACGAAAAATATCATTTCATTTATAAAGATCGGGGTCGGTCACCCGGTTTTTCGATATTGATATTTTTGCAACAGAGTAAGCGTTGAATTTAATTCATGATTGTTGAACTTTGGCGGCATCATGAATGATCATGTTTCTAAAAATTAATCACTCCTAAAAATATAACCCCTTCAATTTATTATTATACTTATTTACACCCCTATATAGAGAGAAGCCTGCAAAAGTTTCGTATATTTATGATGTAGCAATATTTTAAACATAAAAGGGGTTTGCCTATGCACTTTCTTCAAATATATTTTATGTTCTAGTCAAGCTGAAACCAAGATATGTCAGAGTAAATTCACTGGCATTGACCCTCAATGAAGCAGTGGAAGGATTCAGAGATGAGGGTTGGATAATGTCCAAATTTCTGGACAAATCCGATTACCAGGGATTCTTGAATAAAATAAGTTCACTAAATGAAGATGAATTTTTGGTGGATATTCACATTCCGAACCTGCTCATATTTCCACCAAAAACCCAATTTTACAATCACCCTGCTTACAAAAACGGATCTATCATTTTGCAAGACAAGGTTAGTGCAATAAAAAGTGAGAATGAATAATGTACTTATTTTGTGTACATTTTAGGCTAGTTGTCTTCCAGTTCATATTCTGAATCCGACGCCTGGTAGTAAAGTCCTAGACATGTGTGCTGCACCTGGAATGAAAACCACACATTTAGCTGCTGTTTTGAATAATGAAGGCACTGTTTATGCTGTTGAGAGAGATCCTAGGCGGTTTGAGATTCTTAATAAAATTATTGAATCTTCTAAAGCTACATGCATACAGTCATTCAATAGAGACGTTTTAACGTGTACTGCTGAAGAACTTCCAGGAGTGGAGTATATATTGGTGGATCCCAGCTGTTCAGGTTCAGGTAGAATTGAGCCAGCCACCTGAAAATACAGATTTACATTATATTGATTTTTTTCAGGTATGATCGATCGCTTGGAAACTTAAGTAAAAAAAGGGCAGCTTCGACTAGAAAAGTTGACCGGATTTCAAATAAAAATTCTCAGAAGTGCTCTAACGAAGTTCCCAGATGCCAAGAGGGTTGTCTATTCAACTTGCTCTGTGAATCCGGAAGAAAATGAAGATGTCGTTCGCCAGGTTTTAGAAACCAACTACAATTTCAAATTGGTTCCTGCAAAACAATTTGTGGGAGATAGTTGGCATAACTTTGGTTCATCTGAATATGGTGAAATAGGAAAATATTGTTTGTATGCCAAACCAAATGAAGATCTCACAAACGGTTTTTTCGTTGCAGTCTTCGAGAGATTGAAAGAAGGAGAAGAAAACCAATTTTTCAATACAAGAATATTCAATTTCAAGAAACATATACAAGCAAGAGAAAAAAGACAGGACAAAAAGAGAAAACTAGAAGATGCCATGCTGAATGATGGAAATAATGAATTCCTTGAAGGAAACAGTGAATATTCAGAAGAAAAAGCAGTTCCTAAAGTGGAAGAAATGAATGTCGAAGAGCCACGAAAAAAGAAGAAGAAACAGAAGGAGGGAAATAAAGAGGAAAGGTCACATAATGGCCAACATGATAATGAAGTTGTTGACTATAATCATAGTCAAGACATTGATGTGATAAGTGAAAAGCAAAAGAAACCAGATGTTTCTGTAGATGAGGGAGCAGAAAAGAAGTTGAAGAAGAAACATAAGAAAAAACATAAAAAAAGCGAGGAATCAGAAATTAATGAACCCGAAAATCAAAAAATAGATGATGGTTCTGAATTAAATGCTGTAGACAAAATGGAATCTATTTCTGGAGTTGAAAAAATGGAGGTGAGGAAGAAAAAGAAAAAACACAAACAGAAACATACGAAACATATGGAAATGGAGGTCATTCAAAATGGAAATTATGAAAAAAGGATTAGTTGTGAATTAGCCGCTGTAGAAGCAAATGGAACTACTTCTGAGGCCTCGCCACAACCATCTAAATCCAAAACGAAAAAGAAGAGAGGAAAAAATAGAGTTCATGAAATTTCAGAAGATTCAGCAACAGCAGAGTCGGAATGTAAGAAGAAAAAGAAACATGAGTGTGATTCTACTTAACATAAATAATATTAATATACAATGTTTAGATTCTCTGAAAAGGTGTTATTCATTTTTTTATTTGTTGAATAAAAATAAATGAGGAAAATAAGAATTTATTTATATTTATAAAATTAAGTGAGTGGTTATTTCTTTTTAGGAAGCATTTCGCATAGTATATGAGTAATAAATGTTCTTTTACGAAATGCAGTAGTTTTGAGAAAACTATTTTTGTCTTTCTTCTTCTCCATGGCATTAAACAAAAAAGGAGAAGAAATTTCATCCTTTTTTCAGAGTGTCAAGTACATGTTTCTTACGAATACAAACTAAGTCAAAACCCAAACAACTTTTTTCATTAACTTGGAAATACCTTTTTCTACTTGTTTTTACATGGTACTACAAATCATTTACATAATATTGGATGAAAAAATAATTGATTCAACTTCTTGTCAGCTCTATATCGGTTATTTTGAACGACCATTCACAAGGCGAAAATAGAGAAGATCTGTATAAGGAATTCATACAATACTAAAAATTTTAACACACTTTAAACTCTAAAATTACAACGATCGCTGATGGCATGGCAGATCACGAGGTGATCTGCCATGTCCAGCCTCATTCCACGTGGTAGATTGGGGTGGACATTTCTGTTCACCTCCAGCCACCGCCATAGATTGAGGTGAGCATTTCTGTCCATTGGCTTCCTGGACGGGGCAACCAGTCCCCTGGCCGTTCCCCTATCTGCTACCTGGAGACGCGCCCGATAGGTGGCCAACCCACAGGTATTAAGCTGCTTATTTTGAGCGCAAAAAAGTCGAACTTCATGATTAAATTTAGGATTCGAGCTGACAATGCAGGACATGTTTTTTTATGTTTATTCTTTATTTACGCTCTTTATGTTTGGACGAACGTGTATTATTTCTAGACACTATGCACACAACAGAGCCTCATTTTTTGACAGAAACTCCAGTAATATTCAGAAACTTAAAATATTGTCAGACATGACAATATTTTAAGCAAGTTTGAGAAAATTGGACTTTAAATGAACATATAAAACAAAATAGACTACCATTGCTCCGAAATGGTTACATCCGGCTTGAAAGACCAAAACACGTATTCACTTCTTTTTCAAGGTAATACCAATGTACCCTCCAAAGGAAATTCTGTGACATATTTGGAAACTTGTAACGCCATTATAAATTTAACTCTGAAACAATGTACCGTATAATTTTGCTGTTTGTCCCACTTATTTCGGTCTTGATTCTGATATTCCGTGACCGTATATTAATTTTCATACTTTAGAATATGTCGCGTCTAATGAAGGGGAGTGCGGCGGACAAAAAATGAATTGCAATCATAAACGAATTTTCAAAGTGGTTATTGAGGTCAAACAAATCTCTGCGTCTATAATGGTGAAGGGTGGTTAACGCCTTCTGACATTGTTATGCAGAGGCGGAATAAGATGTTATTATGATATATGTGCGAAAAGGCGGATCGAGATTATAATAATAAAGTCAGCAGTTGAGGAAGGTCTTATGATACATTTCTATAAAAAATGTGAGTAGATGATTTGAAGTGAAAAAAAAATATATAGAAAGAATCAGATATTGGTGGATAATGTATTGGTATAAACAGAAATGGATTGGAAAATACAATGTAATTGGGGCAATCAACCATGAAACATAAATTATTCGTCTTTCTCGAAAACACTAGCTTCTGAACCTTTAGCGCTTTAGTTTGGTGTTTTCAAAGATAATTTCCAATCTGCTCAGGAATAAACAGTTAATCAATTAGTAAAGTAGGTGAATCATCCAATACACTGCATTAAAAAATTATTGTACAAGCTAGGTACAGGCTAGTCTTCAAATTCTACGAATTTTCACAGAAAAGAGGCGTTTCATCAAGTACCTTTTCTTCATTGCAACAATTTTCTGATATCCTTGAGGAGAGCCTAATTATTCGCTTGGGATCCTTTGGAGATCAATAATTACCTGAATATGACTATACAGAATGTTGCCTAACTACGGTAAAAAACTTCGTTAGGTCGCTTAAAAAGAATCTTATGAAAATGTCCGCAATTGCTTCATATCTGAGATACAGGGTAGTTATAAAATATTAATGTGTTCTGAAACTGATTTGGTTGAAATTTGGTACAGGTATTTGAGTTAATAAAGCGCTTATTTAGCCCTAACCAGATGTTCGACACTTTCACATTCATTTTCTGACAATAATGAAGCTTGTTTTTGATGAGAGCATCTCTTATTCTATCCAACAGCTCTGGAAAATACTTGTAACGTATACACTTTAGCTTTCATGAATCCTCACAAAAAATCTAAGGGCGTCATATCAGGTGATCTAATTGGCCATTCTAAGGGACCAAAATGCCTATTCACTAGTTTGGATAATGGTATTCTAGCCACTTTCGAACCAGCTTGTCATAATGAAGAAATACCTTATCTTGCTGTAACATAATATCGGTTGAAAACTGATTTGGATTCATCAATTATACAACCTGTAGATGAACAGACATGGTCTCTTAGAAGAACCCTCTGTGGATCACGCATAAAGATGTTTTTGAGGATATACGTTACATCTAAAGTATACAATACACAATCGCAACTCATTAAGAACTTGTGGATAGAAAAAAAGTACATGCAACTGAAATACCTCTAGGAACATTTTATAATGTAAGAAATATATTTGTGAACAGACTACATTATTGTGAGGAAGTAAATGGTAAAACATTTATTGGAATAAAATGGGGTGAGTTTTGAACACTTTTTTTCTTGAAGTTATGGTTTTGATCATTTGCTTGCTAATTTTCAAAACGAATATAAAAATGCTAATCACTCAGGAACGGCTCATGAGATTTTCAAAAATGAAAAACTTTTGTATAGAGAGAAAATTGGAATAGCTATCAAACAAGTTATCACAATATATTTGAGAAAAAAAGTTGGTAGCGCCGTCTTGGCGATGATTGATGCAACACTATTATCTTTTTTATCATAAAGTACTGCGAATGATACTTTTTACAAGACTTTCGTTCGACCTTGATATCTTGTCCGACCTTCATATCTCGTCCTGTTCAAAAGTTAGAAGACTATATATTTATATCCGCACTGTATCTTAGAGCATGTAGTTATTTCAGTTGGACTTCACTTTGCTATTTGATCTGAAAGAAACATTTGCGAATGATCTTTTAAAAAAAATTGATAGTGTTTCTTTTCAATTTTTTATGGTTTTCAATTTTTGTATATACTAATGGAGAAACTAATGGCGAAGTAACATTCAATATAGTACACCATGCAAGAAAGTAAAATTATTTCCAAAAGTTGAAAAATAAAGATATTTTTTGTCTAAACTAACAACCAGACCCCTGTTTTCTGGTTCGCCAATATATTCTTTTAGATTTTTGTGAAATATAAAGGAGAGGTTTTTCTATATATTATATATGATATGAAATAACTTTTCTTTATAATAGGCCATTTTTAATTTGGACGACACCTACTAACAATCTTTGAGAACACCGTACACTTCTGTAGAATACCTACTCAAATTAGTAAAAAAAAACAAACAAGAAAAATATGTGAAAAACGGCCTGTCGTATTCAAAAGGTGTTTGAAAAAGTGAAGACGGCCCTGCATTAGTATTTATCAGCTCGCTAACAAATCACGCGACCCTTTATGCCCGCACAATATTCCATTGTTTTTCTAATAACGAGTTAAAAACTTATATTTTCTTCATATGTTCGGCGTAGTGTATGATTTCAATGCAGCAAAATTAATAAAGGTAATTTTAAGGTGTACCAGTTATTGATTAAAAATTATTGCTGTAAACGTACATGTGAATTATGAACAAAAACCAAAACAGTCTGCTGAATGTGTAGAACAAAAACAAGCTGAAAATTTACAACAGTCAACTAAGTATACGAAGTTTTCTATACAATATGATTCCCTCACAAATACCACGACGAGCATTGGAAAAGCCTTTTTTATTTCACAATGATTTTTATGTATAAAATAATAAATCACTTCATTATTAAGTCGCATACGTTTATATAAAGATATACTCACAGATGACATGCGTAGAAAAGATCCTATTCACATTATTAAATACTACGTATCGGAGCCCTATAGAATACTTATTTTTCGGAAGTTTTCAGGAATTTAATAAAGTTAACAAATAGCATCATAACGATTTTATCGCTCTTCATCGCTTGATTTAAATAAATTAAGTTTGAAAAACTAAAAAACACGTTTTTAAAGAACATCGAACTAAAAAGTTAAAAATAATTGTTTTCCTATAAGCTTAAAACAATAACGAACGAAAAATACAAGTATTATTGTGAAAAAAGCGTAGGCGCTATGTGCCATATTTTTTGTATATCAAACGCTCGTCGCTTTTTTCACAATAATACTAGTATTTTTGGTTCGTTATTGTTTTAAGTTTATTTGTA